TGGCGTAGCAATGGTTATTGAGCTATTTGTAACCATTACTCCTGAAGTATATTGTGGAAGTGAATTTTTTCGGTAATAAAAATATACACTGAAATGTTACTTAAACCAATTTAATACCACGTCGAACTGCTCAGGTTGAACTATTTAATACATGTACTGGAAAACATTAAACCTACTACAAGAAGAATGTCTGCCCTAGAAACAAGACGATACAGCCAAGAATGAATGCCCAATACGAATGCACAAAAGCTTGGTTGGATAGCGATTGGTCCAACGCACACGTTTTAGATCATAAGGCCTGTCATTGAGGCAAGTTGTGTGGTTTTGATTTGTCCATGACAAGAAGTATTGTTGCCTGTTCAACCTCGTGGATTACTTTCTTCGGTTTCATTCAACAGCAACTAACACCCCTACGCCCCAGCGAAATATTAAATAAAATTGAACGGTAAAGCCCACCCCCACCTCCCACCCCCTCTCTCCCCCTCTCTCTCTGAATGAATAAATGGCCATTTATGTATTTTATAAATTTAATAACAACTATTTAGTCTGATTTAAACTTTTCGCAACATGTATATTTTGATATTGGTATGCTACATATTTTTTACATGTTCCTGGATTTTCCATACTTGCTTGAATTGTTACGCTAGTCGGCAAAAATTAGTGAAACCTTGAAAATGTCACATGTCATTGTTCTTAGAAATTTTAGGAAAATAACTGATAATTAAGCAGCGCAAAGGGCACCCAGCAGCACATTCAACTGGTATTTTTTACTTTAAGCAAATGCGGTCCGTTTAAAAAGAGAAATGACATGAAATGGGTTATAACGTCCTGCTTAATTGTTTGCACCATCAAGGGCTAATAAGGCCCGGAGTACACCATGAAGTTTGCTACAAGGGGTCCTTTTCTCTTTTCAAGGACTCAGGAACCCTTTTCGTAAAATTTGGAGGTGTATTGGGGGCGGGGGGCTGCCTCCGCGTGTTCATGTTCGGTTTTCTAACATAGGTGTACGGGCTCGATGACAGTTAGGGGAGCAGAACCCGAAATGCCCGAACAAATTTCGGGTTTACAGACAGCGGCGCCGGCCTTCCTCGAGAGGCTAAGAAGCAGAGCTTACCTTGTATGGGCCCCCTTCCCCCACCCCCAAAGAAAATTTTGGAATATTTGACGGCTGCAAACACGTTTTCCTGCTATTTCAAAGCAACTTTAAAGTGGTCTAATATAGCCTAATTAAGATGGCTGACTCAAATTCCAATCAATCGTTTACAGTCCAAGGAGACGGGGCCGTCGGGAGAAAATTTTGAAAATTTAACTGCCGCAAACGCGTTGTCCTGCTATTCCAGTCTGTGAATACAGCTACTTCAATTTGGTCCAATATAGCCTTCCTGGCTGACCCGATTTCCAAACAACCACTCAATCGTCGCGGGCATGGGGGCCTCACCCTCCCGGAGAAAATTTTGAAAAACTAACCACCGCAAATGCGTTTTCTGCTATTCTAGCCCGTTTAAGCAACTCCAAAAGTATCCAATGGTTTTGTAACCGAAATCCCACTCTGAATTCCAAACATCCAATCAGACTGTTGCAGTTGCATTCACAAATAATATTCGATGCTCGAAAAATGTCGCACAAAGTAGAGTCGCTCCAGACAAAATGTTTTAATCCATAGTCAACTCAGTACATATTCGTGGTAATCAATTAAAAGAAAAGTAAAATTACTGTTTTATTAGGGCTTGATGACAGTTAGGGAAGCAACTAGAAATTCCCGAAAAAATTTCAGGTTTACAGACAGCGGCGCCGGTTTTCTTCGAGTGGATAAGAAGCGGAGCTGACCTTGTATGGACCCCCAAAGAAATTTTTTGAATATTTGACGGCCGCAAACGCGTTTTACTGCTATTCCAGTACAATTAGTGTTTTATTAGATTTCGGGCACTTTATTTCTTCCCGGGGATTTGGCGTTATCCGCTTAATGCTTTTGGTGCAGTTGTTCTGTGTACATGGCCTTGTGTGGACTTTTACCTATTCTAAATGGAAAGACATGAGTGCATAATTGGAAATGACAAGATAAACATCCAACTGATGTTACTGGCTACAACATATGGACGGTGGATAACCTCCCGGCTTGGATTCGATCGGACCAAAAAGACCCCCCACCCCCACAACCCACAAAAACATTATATACTTGATTCAGGTTTGTGTATCATTAACAGAGGATTTCTTTCGAATGTTGCGAAATTTCAATTTATCACATCTTTGTAAATAGTGAACGATGACATACCTTTATAAGTTAAAGATACATTCCAACTTTATAAGGAGTCCCAAAATACCGGGGAAAGTGGTGGAGGGGAGCTACATGGCGCAGCCGCCATGGGTATAAATCAACCACTGAGCAACCATTTATATATTGTGTTTGAGAGCACAAATATTGACTAAAGGTTTTAATTAGTGGCGCCATGATTTTTTTTTTTCATTTCCATCCTAATTTTACAATATAGTGGACTCTGTCTAATCCGACATCATACGGGATCGTCATAATAATAATATGTCCGATTCCGCAGAGTGTCCGAATACTCAGTTTTCTCAAAACCGGAAGTATTATTATAATGTGGCTTCGAATAACCAGAAAGCTATTCCCCTTAAAAATGATAAACCTTTCTGCACATTCAAAATTTTATTACATTAAAATATCTAACAATAACAATGCATACGTGTATTTACAGATTTACAATTTATTTTATATTCATATACATGCAATCACGTAAAGTTGTTTGCTTTTGGTTTTCGGATGCATACCGTAACGCTGAGTCCTGCACACAACCCTCTAGCACTCGAATGATGTTTCTTGATAATGTCACACACAAAATTTTGTGCGGATTTTAATTGCTTGATTTCAGATGTGTCCGTTTATTTTTCAATCCATTATACTTGTTGCAAAAAATGGAGCTTTTGTTTTTTATTTATTTATTTATTTATTTATTTATTTATTTATTTATTTATTTATTTATTTATTTGTTTATTTATTTATTTATTTATTTATTTTTGATCAGGTAATTGCAAACTTTTATTTTTATCAATTTCCTATTTATTAATATTAGTTTTTTATTATCTTGCATGCTTCTGAAGCAACGAAGCAATTCCCGAACTTATAGCTACGTTATCACCCTTTACCGCAGACACATGAACAATAGCGTCCAATCAGAGGTTATGACACAAACACACTCAAATCAAACATGGCGACCTCCACAAAAACCTTGACTTTGAACGAACCTTGAACTTTGCAACTCGATTATCACAGGTAGACATTTTAGTTGGAAATCTCGAGACTTGGTATTCGCGATGATCGACGAATCTGACAGGCTCGATCGCAGCTGGGTCAGTAGGCAATCGAAATTAGTGCCGAAATATGCAGGGTATTAAGTGAAGGGCTTGAAAAGATGTACGGAGTGAAAGCGAGACCAAGTCTTCTATTGAAGATGGGGGTTTTGTTGATTGGTTAAGGTATTCTGTGGTTTTTATTTCATATTGCTTTTGTTGGGGTGGAGGGAACGCGAACATGTCTCTGACCTAATTTTTTTTTACCAGTGTACGTAATATAATAATTACTATAAAATACGTATACGCTGATGACCTTGAAAGATACATTGTACCGAAAGTATTTATCGGGTGGGTTATTCCAATAAAAGTATGGCAAATTTGGTAAAATATATGGAAAGTAAAGACACCCAATCCTACTAGAAAAATATGTATTAATCAAATGATCATTAGGAACATTGAGGGGTGTCAACGTACAAACGACTTCGCAATTAAACGGCGGAAAATAATTTGACACAAAATAATTAATAACATATAGGTCTCAATATGTATGGTAAATGGACAGTAATGAAAATGCATTCTGAAAAAATGACCCTCCCTCAATGAAGTGAGGTGACAGACATGACCTCTAAAAACAGTGTATTTATAGCTTGAGGTATCTCCCCACGAAAAAAAAAAAGTTTTGAGAGGGATTTGCTGCAAATATTTGATAGATTTACATGTATAGTTTGAATATCAGAGGCGCCCCCCCCCCCCCTAATTTTAGACAGTGCCCTTTTTTACTGCTGAAAGTGCCCTTTCTCAGACCCAAATATGTCCGTTCCCAACCCGTTGCAGGGATCCCAAATGACTCAAACCATCGATTCAAACACACCAGTCTGGTCTAATTAAAATGCTTCCACTTTCAAACGAATTCTTGTTGTTTAGCTGACGGTGCCCGAATCTTATAGAGTGACTATAGGCAGACATCTTGTGGAATCGGCGGCGTATACACTCATGCCCATCACCGACGTGCATGAGTGCAACTTGATGTAGCATTGTTTCATGTGCGGGCAGTACAAAGTACAAGTTACAAGGCGTAAATAGTGAAGTGGCTAGGGAATAGATTCGTCTTTTTTCCCATCATAATGCCTTGACAATTTTCGAGTCGAATGTTCAACTGGCTTGTTTGCTCGATTTTAAGTCTCTTTTTCAACGATTTCCAAACGTTTACTTAGACGAAAATATCAGCCAAATAGCTCTTGGAATGGCTACAGATGCAAGGAAATGACGGATAATTTTCTTGGGGGACCCCCCCCCCCCAAAAAAAGAAAAAAAATCCCCTCTCAGCGGCGTGCCCCGTCTCCACGGTCAGTGCCCTCATTTTGCGGCGCCCCCCCCCCCCCCCTTTTCAAAATTCCTAGATCCGCCCCTGAATATGTTTTTATTTTTAGGCTAAATATATCATCAAATCACACAGTTTGTACATGGGAATAGCTTGAGGTATCTCCCCGTGAAAATAAAAGGTTTTGAGGGGGATTTGCAGCAAATATTTGATAGATGAATTAGTTTGAATGCTTTTAGTCTAAATATATCATCAAATCACACAGTTTGTACGCAGGAAAGTACCGTTATATTTAATTAACACAAGAGACTGGGTAACCAAAATCAACAAGAGACTGGGTGACCAAACATACATTTCCTGTTAGCCTCGTTGTGGTATTGTTTACATCACGGGTCAAAACTTGTTGTGATGTGAGAGTGTCTTATCATTTCTTCGATGTTTGGAAATTTTGCTAACAAAAAGAGAAGGGAAAATGGTGTTTCCTCGTTGATTCTTGTTAAATAGATCCAGTGATCGCCTAGAGCGATTGTCAAGTTAATTCGAGATGCCCGTGCCTGAAGAGTCGTTGTTTTCATTGGAGTTAGTGATCGACAAACTGTACATTCCACATGTAACATGTCGCTTTCCCGCCGTTGCATTCCGACTCTTAGATTTTCCGACAATTTTAATTAACCACGTAGAAGATGGTCTCAGTAAAACAATTAAAGAAAAGATTGCTCGTGATCCATATTATCAAATGCCAGACCAGTTTGCTGAACTCCAAGACAACCATGGGAATTACATGGTGAAAAAGGGAAAATCATGTCTGTTCACAACAAGTGTAGACTCTTTAAAGGCCCACTTATTAAATACACCTCTTTATGTTATGGTTTTAGACATGTATCCTGAAACACCAAAGCTTGTAGGCAATAGCAGTGTTCCGCTTGACAATCTTATGAAAGACATTTGTGTAGATATTGTGAAAAATGGTGCTTCGGTCCCATCAGTTCATGGTGACAAAGGCTTATTTAAAATCTACAGCCTGATGGGAAAAGAAATAGGGTATATTGTGTTAGGCTTTCGTTTGCTGTGTCTGGGGCCAAGTTTAGCAGGACATGTATCCAGTAAACCTATTCTCAAGTCAAAGTTACACACAGCGGAAATCGAAGATCAAAGAAATGTTAATTTCATAGATGTAAAGCCAGTTGACAAAGATGAAAAGGCATCCCCTTTTAAAAATGACAGTCAACCTAAAGATATCAGCAGTCATGAAAATAAACTAAGATCATCCCATGACATGGGTTCTATGACTGATGCTATGAAGCATGATGTTTTACTGCAAACTATTCCCACGGAAGAAAAGGCTGTGCATGTCGTTATTTCTGAACCAGAACGTCCAAAACCAAAACATTTCTCCTCTTCCACACAAACACATAAACGTAATAAAAGGAGAAATAGACACTTTCCCCTGCAAGGACTAGACATAAAACCTGATTTGGAAAATCAAGAAGATGACCTTGAGGTTCCAAATGTCATATGTCCCCCACCATTATTTTACAATAAATACTCTGAACCAAGATTAAGAACTGAACGGCCTGTTGATTATACGGATGACGAAAGTTTAGATGATATTAGTGAAATAGGAAGTATTAATGGACATAAAACCCCAAATGAAGTTTCCCATGTTGCTAAAAGTTCAGAAAAGAAGCATGTTACACTGAGCAATCAAGTAAAATCAAGGTCTGCAGTGAATCATTGTGGTCCAAGAGTAAAACAACAGGGACCAGAGTTACACTTACTTCAAAATAATCAAACAGAAGCAGTGTTCCCGATCCTGACAGCCTTATTAAATGAACTAGTTGGTATCCAAGGATCTCATGGTTTAGAAAATGTTATTAGCAAGGTAAACACTGCAATACAGTCCCCAAAACAACCAGATAATATCAGAAAGGTTAAAAATGAGTATCCCATTTCTTCATCTTTCTCTAAATCAACAGTTAGCTCTGAAAGAAAGATGAATCTCCAGAAAGAGGTACCCATCAAATCCCCCCGAAATAAAAGTTGGATTAGGAAAACCCCAGAATCTATTCCTAGAAAAGGCAAGCTAACTTATAGACTTACTAAGACTCAGAAACTGCGATTAGCAAAGGGAAATCCCAAGTGGTTAAAAGAGAAAGAAAAGACTGAAGAAAGTTTGAAAACACAAAAACCATTGCATGCAGTCCCTGAACAAGAGGATGAATTAAATGTTACAAATTTTTCAGATACGTTAACTGAAGTCAGAAGGCTCGCGGAAAAAGAACTAGCTAATCAAACTTTGGATTCTGTCCATGATATGTCAACAATGGCAAGCAATTTGTCAAGCCCTCCACGTTTGAAGAAAAAGTACACATCCAAAACAAAATCAAAAGAATCCAGTAGTCCAAAAGTTAAACACAAAGAATCTCTGTCAAATTCAAATAATCGGCTCGGAAAATCCAATTCTAATAAAGATGTAAAATCCCCTACATCTAAATTACATTCAAAGGACATGCCAATAACACCAAAGTCGACTAGGGGTTCACCAGCTGTAATGGAACATGATGATGCTCCTCAACCTCTGGTTGCAGTAGAACCAGAACTGAGAAGATTTGTGTCCCCAGATGTACCCAGTACAACAAGTGGTGTTACTGATGAGGATAATGAAAGAGTAGGGAGTGTCATGAATCAGAAAAGTGTAAAGGTGCATATACCTAAAGCTGACACTGAACATGAAAGTGATGAGGATATTCCGTTACCTGATAATGATAGGGCTGGTTCAAAATTGGGTAGCATTCTACAAAGATCTCAAACATCATTTGATATGTCAGAAACTGTAGATGAGGATGCTCCCATGGAGTCAACAAGAACATCTCAGAATTATCGCAGTGATTTTGCTGACTCTAAAGTGTATCAGTCAACAACAGACAATGATACTAAACAATTTCTGTCAACTGAAGAACCAGAGCTGAAGAAATTAATGAGTGATGATAATTCTGAGGTTTCTGAGCCCTCCCCAAGATATGTTCCTAATTTTTCTTCCGAGAGTAAACCAAGTGTTAGGTCATCTTTAAAGTTTCCTGTAGTCAATCCTGTTGCATCTGAAAACTCGCCCATTCCTGCTACCAGAAAATCAACAATAAAATCTGAGGGCAAGTTAACACCTAGGAATTCCGAAAATGTTTCATCTCCCGCGAGCTCCAGGGTCCACACACCACGGGTGAAAAGATATGTCCCGAAGCCCAGAGAATCTATCCATACTGAATCTGTTAGTTCTTATTTACCATCAGATGCTGATGCAGCAGTGTCTCTAACCAGTTCTGCTAATTATTCGGATGATTTTCAACTTAGTGCAAGTTTTGGTAGTGGCTCTGATTTAGCATCATCACCAGAAGTTCAAAATGTGCCTCACAGAATACCTTCAACAAAATTAGGGTATACAATATCATGAATACATGTTGGTTTTCGTAATGTGCCTTTGTACTTGTTTAGTTGCCTTCTTATTTCAAGAAACTTATTACACAATCTCAAGTGCTCTTCATGAGATAGTGCCTGCTTCAATGTGAATATTTTTGTGTATGTCTGTTCTTCATCTTGATAAATCATTATAGTTCACTTTTGCGGTGGGGTGGAAAGGGGATTGAAACCTGAAGAATTGTTATTTATAAATTAAGCCTAATTGTTTTTCATATGGGTATCCTCTTAAAATTAAAATATTTTATTTCTAATTGTCTATAATTTTGATGATCTAAGCTATGTGGATGTACAAACTGTATGTGTATTACTGCAGTATATTTCTGTTTAGAATTCATAATATTTTCTGATGTATATTCCCATTTCTAGCTATGAATTGTATTATTTATTATGATAATTGTTTATGTATTTATTTTTATAAAATATATAATGTATTTATCTGAAAAAGAATCAAGAATTTACATGAAGTCTTTTGTAGTGGGGCTATACTGGAGTTATCTCCTTTCAACCGTTTAGAACTCAGAAGCGTTACCTTCCTCTGAAGACTTGACGTATACCACTGCCAAATTGTGTCATCAACTGTGCAGGCCTATGGTTCAATTTAATTTCAATAATTCGCTTGAGCGTAGGGGTCTTTAATAGTGGAAGGACCCGGAGAAAACCCACTTGGTTGGACAGGCTATCCCACTCCTTGTTACGTACCACTGGGGAATCGAAACCACGCCAGTTGACTCAATGACAGACCTTATGGTACAGCGCACCACCACCAATACCACCACCACCACCCCAGGCCTATATGACTCCGGGCAAGTTCTCCGTTTGATATTGGTAATTACTTTGACATTGGCAATCTTTCTCTATACTTTGTGTAGTGACTTAACTGATAACCCAGGCAGTCGCAAACCTAATAGTAGTACATTATGACTGATAGGGATGACATCAGGACGAGTTCTTTTCAAAATAAAATTCTAAATACATGTATATATTTTTATACGCCCACATTTAAATGTGGTCGTATATATTGTCGCCCCCGTCCGTCCGGCGTCCACAATTGCTTGTGGACGCTCTAGAGGCTAAAGTTAATATCCGATTGACTTTAAATTCATACACAGCGTTTAAGGTCGTGCGACGAAGAATCCTATTGATTTTTAGCAATTTCCGATAATTACTGCCAGAGTTATGGCCCTTGATCACTTTTAAAAATCTTGTGGACGCTATAGAGGCCAAGGTTAATATCCGATTGACTTTAAATTTATACTCAGTGTTTAAGGTCATGAGACGAAGAAGCCTATTGATTTTCAGCGATTTCCGATAATTACTGCCAGAGTTATGGCCCTTAATCACTTTGAAAAATCTTGTGGACACTCTAGAGGTCAAAGTTAATATCCGATTGACTTTAAATTTATACACAGTGTTTACGGTCATGAGACGAAGAAGCCTTTTGATTTTCAGCGATTTGCGATAATTACTGCCAGAGTTATGGCCCTTGATCACTTTGAAAAATCTTCTGGACGCTCTAGAGGCCAAAGTTAATATCCGATTGACTTTAAATTTATAATCAGATTTTAGTGTATTATAAATGTTTCATTACCGAAAATTAAAAATATGCGACAACTCTTGTTGACTGCCCGGACGATTTAGCTGCTGTGGGCGTATGTTTCGTTGCCTGGCAATCTATCTTTAAAAAATTATGTAGAACAAAAAAGGATTTTGAAGTGCCAGGATCTGGTTGCTTCCCATTCGAACGACTCGAAACATAGGGCAAGGCCAGCAGACATCTTGATAATTAAGACGCAATCCATTCTCGGAAACATGCGCGTATCTATTAAAGGGACAATAACACTCTTGCTGGCTTGACAGCTCCAGAAAATAAAAAATAGCCTTATTCTAAGTACTAGATGTGTTAGTGTCCTACCTGTTGTGTAAATTATCCATTACATCCTATTTTACTTGTCCTGAGGGTTCGAAAATGTTTTTAAATCCCAGTCACATTTGAAAAGGTTTACGTTAGGCTTTTCGGATCATTTACATGTAGTTGAATTTTTCCAATTTTTTAAATTATGTGTGTTAAGATGAAATTTGTATCATCAATTAATTGGAATATTGTAAAATAGTACAATTTGTTGACCATAATAAAGATTGGGACATATTATTCAGTTACAACAAGAGTGGTATTGAGCCTTTAATCAATTACAATACGGGATCAGCGTTTACATATTATGAAATGATACTGGGTTTAACGCCCAATTTTCTGGAGCGACTGGTCTAATGAAGGCAGATGTACGCCATGGAGTGTGCTGTGGGGGGAATTTTGCCCGCGATCTGAACTAATCTTATTTACAATTCAAACTGTCAAGGTTTCATTTACGCGCACGCCAATGTGTACACGGGACCTCGAGGTTTTGTATTATCCAAACGACTAGACACTATCCTTTCCAGGTCCTCTCCAGAGGGTAGAATTATGATATTTCCATCATATATTAATAGGGTTTTATGATCAAATGAAGAGTTGAAGGGGATATAAACATAATTTTTTTACATATAAGTCGATTCAATCAATTGTTATTTAGACAAAGTGTCAAGAGTATAAAACTTGTATTTTAAAATTTCTTTAATCATAAAAAAATCAATTGGGTGCAGAGGGGGGGCGTCACTGAAACTTTTGCCCTGAGGCACCACATAGGCTTGTGAGGGCCCTTGAATAATGCACTTAAACTATTTGACTCCGCCTTGTGGATTACAAATCACAGTAGACCTTTACTAAAACCACAAATCAAACAACCTTTATTTACCCCAAATTAAACTTGAAGTCGTGTTGTTATCTGCATTGGGGGGGTCACTTGGCTAAGTGGGTAAGACCCTGGCTCGCTAGCCTGGAGAACGGGTGTTCGATCCCTGCATTGGCCGAGAAAGTTCAACTCGTGGTTTCCCCTTGTCAGTGATGCAGGACGGACGGTCTGACAAGGACAGCTGTCTAGTCGTTCGGATGGGACGAAAAACCGATGTTCCGTGTACACATTGGGGTGCACGTAAAAGATCCCTTGGCAGTTGGAATTCGATATAAGAGTAGGCCGTAGCGCCGCTGCCCGGGCAAAATTTCCGACTTTGTTTGTCGTATGCCCGTCTTCATTAGCCCAGTTTAGGAGCAGAACAGTAGGACGTTAAACCCCACTTCATTTCATTTTTATCTATATTGATTTCCAATCCAGTGTATTAAAAAAGGAAGTTCATGCAAATCGTCTATCCACAGAAGAAGTACCATAATGGTTGTTGTAAAAACATTTTATTAAAATTTGAAATAGAAATATTAACTTTTATGTACAAAAAATACAAAATAAAATGTTGATCATTTAATAGATACATAGGCTACAAACAAATTGTTTCCCTTTCCCAATTTGAACAATACAGTCAGATAACTTCCAACTACAAATGGTAGCCTATTACTGGTTAAAACATTTAGCCTCGATCATTCTGGTCTATGTTTTCTCCGCTTCGACAACAACGAGAGAGAGAAAGAAAGGGGGTTTAACGTCCATTCGACACAAACTAGGTCATTTCGGGACTAACATACGGTTCAATTTTAATTCAACATAGTTAGGATAAACAGCGCTGAATTGATAAACTTTGTCAATGGTGATTTGGCGATTCTTGTTTTATTTTTTAGGTCGCGATTCCGCTTCAATCCTTTGAGAGTAGATTTTTTTTTCAGACGTAAATTGATTTTTGACAAAATAGAAGTCACCGTGTGTATGGTTAACTTCCGTACAGTTCACGCAATAACAGAAAATGTTGGGATAATGCATTCTTCAAATTTCAAATACAAGGTGAAGGTCAGCCATCTTCCAATCTCAAGCATCTGAATTCTGATTTCAGAATCTGCAGGAAACAAGCCCAATGGGTTCCGAATCTGGAAATTTCGGATTCGTGATAATTAACCACGCCTTAAGGACGAGTTTAATTGCCAAGTATCTAACTCTAAAGTATCTTTCAAGTTCCAACCCACAAAGAAACCGTTTCCTGTATACACGGGTGTGATTAAGGTGTTTTTGATTGCCCGGGATCCGGATTTAGAGTCCTTTTAGATTCGAAACCCACCGTGTTAACTGTCCTGTATGCTGATTTTCAAATCCGAATAGAGAAACTATTGTCGTGTTCAACGCACATGTCTGTCGCCTATTCAAACCTGGATTGTGAAAACTAATACAATTTTATTATATTATTATTATATTATATTATATTAATTGCCAATAATCCAGATCTGAATTCCGAGTTCATGGAAGATCGGCATGCTGTGTTCCCGATTTATATGAATGATCGTATGTGGAAAATAATCAATTCGGAATCCAGAAAGAACCTAGACCACGCCTCAAAGTCATCCGTATCTTCAGATATCCAGAGTAAATCATTAGCTTTTTTTTATTTATCAGGGTTAACCAGGGTTTCTAAATCAGTATGACCTATGGAACAATGCAGAACTGTTCAACTGAGCTTGCTGTCATTTATTCATACTGTTTCAAACGATCGGCCATAAAGTCTTTATAACTATCATATTCATCAGGCGGTAGGATAGGCACAGAACCCATGTTTGCCACTCGTTGTCTATGGGATTCGAAACTGTCACCGTCCGGGTTATTATAGTCAAAACCCACAGAGTTTTGGGATGGAGCTGCCCCGTCTGCTATGATGCCTGTAGCTGGGTTAAAGGGTCCGTTTTCATTTCTATATCCCGGTACAGGACTGGATGTTAAGGCAGGGAAGTCCTCATGATCACCCTCTCTTATCTCCCATTGTTCCAATTGTTTAGATGTTCTCTCTTGAACGACACCAATGGTTGTTTTATACTGATTAGGCATGAAGGCCGGTGGAAGCGGCTGGGCTTGTCGTTCAAACATGTCTGGAGTCGTGCTTTGACGGCGTTCATTTTTTTCAGACCGTCCATCATCAACATAATCTATGATTGTAAATTCTCCATCGTCTTTATAATAGCTGCCTGGTGGAATATTTTGAGTTCTAGTCTGATGAGCCGTTAATGGAAGATCATCATCTTCCTCTTGTCCAATATCCATGGCAGCACCCTGTAAGCGAAGTCAAAATATTTATATAAAAAAACAACTAAACAATGCAAGAGATAACCTATAATATATATATATCTAAACAATTGAAAATGAATTGGTTATTTCTATAAAATAAAAAGTGAAAAATATCACTTACAGTTTCGCCATAGTTGGAATTCAACCTGTAAGAAAACGAACACTTGTTTCAGTATCAAAGGCCAACATTATATCCTCCTTAATGTTACCAAAAGTAAGTATTTAGAAGGGGCTTGTTCAAATAGTGGTATGTACATGTGATCATTATAACCAGCTATACATAATTATGAGCTAATAATTCCAAGAACAGAAACAAATAGCTACCACAATAATAATGGCGATCTTAAAGATGTTTAATGTAAGATTTAGATAATCAACTGGTCTTTCGTGCTAGAATAGTTCCAGAATAGATAATTAAAAATGAATATATTGAAAATTTCAATCAAATTTCTTTTATTCTCAGTGACGTTATCACTGTTTAAAAATTTGAAATAGATTATTTAAGAGCTACATCTGACTATTGAAGGTCTTTTGGGTTTTTTTAAATGTTATATAAATTATAGCTTATACTCGTGCGAACGCTATAATTAAAATATGTTAATGTTAGTCTAATTTTATAATGATTAAAATTAGACGATCCTTTTCTTTGAATTTTCGTTTTTATGTTGATATCATTAAACTCTACAATCTGTGTCTGTTTCCAAATAGGCTATAGCTTACCCTGGCCTTACCCAGGCCTTACCCAACCCAGTTGGTTTACAATTAGCACCATAACAAATATTTATATCAAACTAAAATATGAAAAAAAAATAATACAATTTTGATAAGATGGAAACTCTTACATACTCACCAATCAGAAAGTCTTTTATGAGTTTTCTTTATAACTGAAAAAGAAAGAAAACTTAATGTAAATTTCACTAATAAAAGAACTATGTTTTAATCTATTGTCAACTAAATAGCAAAAATATAAAATTACAGCAAAAGTTGTTGCTTATCGGAACATCCCAGAAAATAATTGGTACTAGGTGTTCCGAGGAAAGTGAGCATAGCATGCCTCGTGCAAGACACTTATCACTAGTAATAGCGAAATGGAGCTGTATATACTATTAGTATGAACAAACTACTCCGATTTTGAAACCCTGCATGTCAACTAAATACATTTGCTGTCCCCTATAGACTAGAGGGCTACACTTCTTTCTCTTTGTAATAGTTTACAATTCACTAATACAATTTTGTGAACTCCTAAAACGAGAAGTGACATCGGGTGTTCTAGTCTGGCTATGTAAGACACGCATGGCCTTAGGACTTAGATTTCTGAAGCGATGGTAGAGGATACCTTTCTATTCAGAGTAATCATACCCTGTCTAGGTAATAATAACATTACCAATTCGTACCTTTGTGGTTAATATCCTCTATAACATGGCCCTCTGGGACATCACCCATAGTTTTAACCCGCCTTTCATCGTGCTCACGACGACTCTCTTCTACACCTTCATCGTACGTTGTTAGAACTTTTGGTCTATAAGATCCTAGTTGTTTGGGATGACCATAGAAATAAGGATCAGTGTAAAACCAGTTATCTGGGTATCCGTAGTTGACATAGCCGGACACGGTAGAATAGTCCTCTGGTAATCGACGTAAACCGGGTTGATTCTTCTCCAGACGTTTCTTTTCAATCAGTCTGAAATTAAAATGAATTATTTTAAAGGTCAAATCAAAAATATATCCTGTTAAATTTATGTCACAAATCTGGCAATGCCACTGCCAAATGCCCTTCCATTGTATTTGCTCGGGGTATCTGAGATAATAGCGTGCGTCTAAAACTAGTCCCCGTTGTCCAGAACTGTATTTTTTAGGACCAGTGGAAGAATATAGCGTCTGGGAAAAGTGGACAAATTTGATGTGTTGGCCTACAAATAGTGGTTATTAATTGTTAGAAAATGATTTAAAACGCGGGGGCAAGTCTTGTATAAAACCATCCCTACATATTTTATTGATACACTCCCAATAAATTTACTTCTAATTTACTCACATAAGATTTGTGCTGATTTTTTGGAACTTAATCTAGGGGATAAATTTAATAAAACGTAAAATTGCCCACCGGAATTTCTAATGCAAAGATAAATTTGAACTTTTAGAACGACTAGATACCGCCAGGACCTCCGACAAAAGGAAGCCATGCCGGAGAACCACGAGAACATTCTCGACCAACACCAGGAGCAAACCTGACACCCTCTGGTTCGCGAGCCAGCGTCTTACTCACTGAGCTACCACGACCCCCTTGTTCAATCAGTGCCAAACAATATTTGCCAATAGTATGATTGATCCGGATGATCTGGTATGCAGGTTAAGACAAAGATGCAGGTTAAGATCAAGATCAGATGAATTTTTAATCCTAAGAGAGGGTACACACGTGATGAATGTATAATGTGCTCATTTCCAGAATAATAAAACAAGGTGTTATAGCACCAGTTAATGGGATCCTCAGTGAGCAGTGCATGTTATATTGGAACAATAATAGTCTCATCTCATCTCATTAATTTAAAGTATAAACGATGCGTCATTTGCATTTTTTTTCGCTAACAGATCTAATTTCTTACGGCTTAATCCAGGGCCCTGTTTCACGAAATCTTAACTAAAGATAACATCCAAATTTTAGTAGATACTTCAATTTTGATTGGCTAAGCACTAAAATCAATCTAATATTATCCAATCAAAGTACTAAAATTTGGATTTTATCTTAGTTAAAATTTCGTGAAACAGGCCCCAGGCTAATATCTACTCGGACTATTATTTAACATTTTAGTTAAGAAAACAAAATTAAAATACCAACGCTAGATAATATACCTGGTTGGATTTAATCGGATTTAAAATTGGCCCATCAATAATTTTTCTTGACATGCAATATGCCGGTGGGCTTTTTGCGTAGCGAATAGCATAGATCGATCAAATTTCAATGCAACATATCTTTGGAAATACAGAACCGAATTGAAATATTTTTGGACCCAAATTCTTTTCACAATATTGAAGTTTTCAAGAGATTCCCTTTGCGCTGAAAATGAGACCTTAATATTACAGGTTTATAAACAAATTACCTATGACAGTAACAGGCTGTAAATATAATGGCTATGAGGGTGAATAATCCTAGAACTGCCGAGGCAGCTATAACTCCTATTAACGCTTCATCTAATGCTGCTGATACCCCTGAAACAAACAAAAAAAGAAATATTTATTGTACTTAATGTAATTTTCAATGCTTAAATTTTAAAGGGAGTGAACTCTTTTTGTCATGTATTTTTTTTTGTTGTAATTATTGCTATCAGACCAAGGACTTAAATGAAATGAGGTTTAACGTCCTGCTTTTTGCACCTACCAGGCTTATGAAGACTGGCATTCGCCATGTAGTGTGCTATGAGGACAATTTTTGTCCGGATAGCGGGCTTTTTCATATACTCTTCAGCGAATTCTGTCAAGTGTCCTTTACGTGCACGAGTACACCTCGGTTTTTCATAAGACCCGAACGCCTTAACTTATTTCTATGCTTTTGTTATTTGTAACATATCATACTAATTGCTATGTATATTGGCTTCTTCTCTTCAAACAGCAGTTTAGTTGATATCCAAATAAAGCACACTAACGGATGGGGACCTTAAAGACTTTTAATCTATGGTATTAGCCACCGTTGGTCCCATATCACTAATATAATAGATTGCTTCAATGGCAAATGAATGAATGAAATGGGGTTTAACGTCCTCGTTTTCTGTCCCAACCATGCTATTAAAACTGGAAATACAAATGACCCAATTCTATCGAAAATAATTACTGTTATTACTGAACGATGTTTCGACTGGGATTCTCTGACTAAAAAATGGTATTCGAAACGTCGCTTAGTGATAAACACTATCTGTATTCCACAGAATAGTCTTGTTCTTTGGACGATTAAATCAACCATCTTGGCTTCAACAAATGGTTAATGTCTTCATGGGAACATTAGCATCAGTGACCCATTCCTTACCTCTAAGATCGTATCTAAGAAGCTAGCGCTGAAATGAACTAAACATTTCCGAACATCGTAATCTTTGCTCCTTCGAATTATGTATAGACGCTATAGGATTAATAGAAATAAGTATTATAACCCTTTAAGGTACGACTTATATCTACTATCTATATCAAGCGAAATTGGTAGATTAATGCAAACACGCACCTTCAATTGCTGTTGGTTAATGCTCGTGTGAAGATATGAATAGGACAATATATGACAGACATTGTTGTATCGGGTATATGAATAAACAGGCGCGTTGCTTTTGTTTGTTTTCGTCAATTTGGATTTGTTGGGCTCGAATACCGAGTTTAACATTTACTACGTTTGTAAACAAAGCTAAAGATCCTTTATTTCTGTCTCTGTGTCATTCTACTAATATATCTCCACGTTTTAGTTACGCCACTATTTAGAGTATTTACACTACGACAAAAAAATACATTTAAAAACTTGAATAACAAACACTACGTTACGTAAAGAAATAGCCCGGCTAAACCATTTGCGGTTTAAGAGATTAACGTATTATCTCTTGGTTAAACAGTAGTTTAAATTGGGTTTTTAGGACTTAAAGTAGCTGCAACACTTTAGGTAAAAATAAAGAATGGAAATGGGTTAGTCCAATATCATTAAACATATATCGTTTTCTCGTTCTAATTAAAATGAAAGTGTTTATCGGATTTTCCCGTGTCCCCCCCCCACCCCTTGTCAGTGGTGTGGACCCCGGGGGACTGACAAGGGACACCGTGTGATTGTTTGGATGGGACGAAAACCCGAGGTCCCGTGTACACATTGGCGGGCCCGTAAAAGATCCAAAGCACGTTGTATTGCGTACGCCCCTCTTCATTACGTCGGTTGTACGTGACTAGCAGTAGGGGCGCCTGTGCAACCTCGTGGGTTTTATCGGGGTCCTCCGGTTTCCTCCCACTGCTAAAGACCCCTACACACAGGCGAATTATTGAAATAAAATAACTGACCCACATGTTAGTCCCGAAATGACCTAGTTCGTGTCGAGTGGACGCTAAACCCCATTTCTCTCTCTTTTTCTCTCTCTCCCCGTCTTCATTAGTCTAGTCGGGAGCTGAACAGTAGGACGTTTACCCCCTTTTCACTTTCTGTGTGTATTTAACGCCCATTTCATTTCTAATTTGTTCTACGCCACGTGCTTTCGCTTCGCTATGGGTCTAACCGTAAGGCGAAGCCGCTAATGCTGGAAGGAGCAAAGTTTGTGTCTGCACAGTTGACCGGGAGATAGGATTTTCCAGCCTGATTTCGCCTTGAATGTTGCCAGACGAAGGGCCTGGAAAGGAACAACGGCTGGCGATACAGATGGTATAACGGAAACCGAGGTCCAAGGCATACAATTAACAGCACGATAAAGACCCGGTGAGAGTTGGCAGTCCAAATAGGAATAGATTGTAGTGTCACGTTAAAGACTCGGCGAGAGTTGGCAATCCAAATAGGAATAGGTTGTAGTTCTAGTGCCAGTGCAACATTTCCTTCATTGCACAGTACACATTTCATTAGCCAACTTGACGCAGAAAAGTAAACGTTATACCCCACTTCATTTCATTTCCACTCCCACCCTTTCAGAAATCCTATCTATATTGAGATCTAATTAAGTCATCACTCTGATGATTTTTGACAAAAATCGAAAAGATCCTCTTGTTGAACACTGTATTGTGAATCGCGTAGGGCGTTGATGTAAAAATATTACTTCATAAAAACATTATTCTTATTAAAAGAAAATAGGGTGTGACCGTAAGTTAACGAATAACTGTAACGATGATAGGCGTTCCCTTTTATAACTTGGTATCATCATAATGGAATGAATCTTCTTTATGCTATATGATAATACAAGATTATTTTTTATATGAGACTAAAATAATCTATATAAATATATGATATATAGGTCAGTCTTCCACCAGGGACATCCATGTTTAGCACAAAGTTTCCGAAAAAAAAATACCATGTTGATATGGCTCGGCGAACACAGATTAGATCGAGCAACTTACTCGGGGTATTCCGTTGGCGTTCACGCAACAGTAGGAATTTGTCGCCGCCGCCTGAGCAAAATGCCCCTCATAGCACGGTGTACACCCGTCTTCACTATCCCGGTTGGTGTGGGACGTTAAACCGCATTTCATTTTAAAACTACACAATCATCTTTCTATGCCAATCAATGTCTTAAGCTATGAAGGGCCTGGTAAGAACAGTATCTAGTCGTTCGGATGGGACTACAAAACGATATCCTGTGTAAACATTATCATGCACGTAAAAGATCCACTGGCCGGGCAAGGTTTCCCTCATAGCACACTGTAAGGCGAAAGTCCGTCTTCATTAGCCCAATCGATGTATGAAGTAATGCATGAATCTACAATGCAATTTGTAAAGCCGATATTTATTAAAGATATAAAATAAGGTGACGAAGTAAACTATTTACTGACGTATTAAACATATTTGTTCAACTCGATCTTGCAGCATAAATTGATGTTTTAGTCTTAAGAAAATATTGACCTGGACTAATACAGAAAAGCGGGTTTTATTTCGGTACACTGCGTGGCCCATCCGCCGATTGATGCACGTACCATGATCTGCACCGTGATAACAATCTTTGCTTTGTGATTAACATAGAGAATACAGTGCTATGCTAAATAAAACACACCATGCAAATATTGAATGTTAATATTTACGTAATAGATATAGATAGGTCCCTTGTACACAAGCTCTCCAATTATAAAAGTACGATGAGCACATTACAAATGACTGCTCTCGAATAGAAATGTAAACATTATGATAAAAATATTAAATAATATAATTAATGATATTACTGTATTAATACGCACATACTGTGACAATAACAATAAGCTTTTTTGACATTAGATCGTGATATAATTAATGTATTTTCCGGTTTAAATTAAAATATAGTCAAGAATCTTCTGTATTTAAAAGGCGTATATTGTACATTAAGCTGTGTTTTTTTTTTATAAAAAAGAAACTACTACTTGACATGTAGGAAAAGTCAAATCGTTTACACTGACATACAGAGCCTAAGCTGTTCTAAATACTGAATTTGAGGGGAATTGACTCAACGCATACACTGAGGTAAATCATTGCACGATAGATTTATAAACATTTTATAGATGACCCACTAACTTCATCGAATTTGGGAGGATAGCTTGGTAGTGTTTTTAATCAGAATTTCCGCTTTTGTTTGTACGCAATGAAGTCATGCCTTTTGATTAGATTATCTGGCTATATATTTGCATGGGGGTAATTCCTATGCGTCATTTTGAGTGTTCAAAAAATAGGCATTTGATCGCATTTGTTGATCGCATTTCAGGATTTTTAATCCGAAATATCAAATAAAACCAAACTAAACCAACTCAGTGACTTAAGTAAATCAATACGGTTTAGCTCAATTCAATGTTATAATATTGATTCTCTCCGAGAAATCTTTTATTTCACGATGTTATATTGCGTATGAAAATATAATTAAGTGGTTGATCGGATCAATACATAATTAGTCTGTAACTATTGTATACAAACTTTGATTGCCGAAACTGATCATACATTTATTACAGAGAGAGAGAGAGAGAGAGAGAGAGAGAGGGGTAGGTTGGAAAGGCGACCCTATTCCTGGTCCCGTACAGCCGAGGAATCGAAACCACGTCAGTTGACTCAATGACAGACCTTATGATACAACGCACACGCGCCAATCATTCAGCCACCCAACCACCCTCCCAATTGTTTAACAGCCTTGTACTTTCCCCAAAGTGGACACAGAGATACATTATAAGGAATTTATTTTTGTCTATAACAGACTTTGTGTAATTGTTTACAGGTCAGAATTTTCGTAGGAATGTATGTTATTTATCTTAAAGAATGGTTTGAAGTATTTGAGTGAGGAGAGAAAGAATAGGTCATTTCAGGACTAACATATGGTTCAATTATATTTTTATAATCCGTTTGTGCGTAGGGGTTTTAAGCTGATTTTGTCAAGGGTTATCCCGCGCGGGATGTGAGCAATTTCTGCATCTCAAAATACCTTGGCGGATTTTAAACTGAAGATAGCTAGGTCAATAAACCTTGGCGGATATTATACTGAAGATAGCTAGGTCAATAAACCTTGTAGAGATTTGATTCTTCAGAAATGAAATGGGGTTGAACCCAGTGCTGCACCCACGGACAAGGGAATACCACGCCGGAAAATTCCGGGAAACTTTCCAGAACAACTCCGGGATTAAACACACGACGGCCTGGTTAGTAAGTCAGCTTCTTACTTAATGAACCACCGCGGCCCCTCTCACTTTAGGGCGTGTTTAATAAGATAAATTAATTATAATATTTACTATACTACTTAAATACGTGAAACGGTGAAGTGATGAGTATGTATTGTAGTTTAAAGATTCCATTAATACAAAACCTATATGTTTGACCCCAATTTACCATTGACACTAAAGACCCGAATACGAAATGATGTATCAATAGGAATGCTATTTAATATGATGAGGTTTAAGTACATACTGTAATATACTGTATATACAGTTAAGTCAATATCAGAAATAATTAGACTAACAAATGCTTACTTTCAAAGTATTAAGTGCACTTACAGAATATTAGAGACTAGCCCAGTTAAAATATCAAATTGGCAATGCTGAAACCCCAAATTGCATAAAGTTGTTAGATACTGGAACGTATTTTCTCGCGGCAGCACCCCCCTCACAAACCTAATTTGAAACAAAATGTGAAATCTAAAATTCAATTCACAGACAAAATGTGAAATCTGTAAACCATTTCACAGACAAAATCTACACCTCGATTATGGTATATATTTTTGTAGTGATGTATGGTATATATTTTTATAGTGATGTATGGTATACGTTTCCAGTGTGACGTATGGTATATATTTCCAGTGTGGTGTATGGTATATATTTCAAGTGTGATTTATTGTCTATAGTGATGTATGGTATATATAGCTATAGAGGTGTATGGATATTGTTATAGTGTTGTATGGTATATATCCATATAGTGCTGTATGGTATATGTTCCCTTTGTGACGTATGGTATATATTTCCAGTGTGGTGTATGGTATATATTTCAAGTGTGATTTGTTGTCTATAGTGATGTATGGTATATATAGCTATAGAGGTGTATGGATATTGTTATAGTGTTGTATGGTATATATCCATATAGTGCTGTATGGTATATGTTCCTTTGTGATGTATGTTATATATTTCCATTGTGATGTATGGTATATATTTCCATTGTGATGTATGGTATATATTTCCATTGTGATGCATGGTATATATTTCTGTAGTTACCTACCAAATAGATGAATCCCAGACAAATGGGAACTATATAATCTCAAGATTAGACGGACCAATTAGATAAATCCCAGACAATATATCGATATGAATCATGGTTCAGACAAAAACAAAACCCAGACACAACAAAACGTATTAACCCTAGTTTAGCTTAACAGATGCAATGTGTAGTGTTTTAAATGTGCAGAATGTGTAGTATGGATACAGTATAAACACTGATATACTATACCTGTATATACTAGTATTTACATCTAATATATGCCCTTAAACATTCTTACCAATTATACATGCATGTATACCACCTACATATCTACACAGATAACACTTGTCAACCACTCAACACAATCTATACCAACTCAGGACCAACACATGTTAAATCTTCAGTTCAATCATTCGTATGGGAGAAACTGTATTTAACACATATAGTAGTGCAAGCCCAAAGGTTAGGCAGGTCACCCTATTTCATGTCACGTACATATCCTTTTTTATTCTTCGAATCCTCTAGTCTAATAATAGGAGCATCCCACAAAGAAAGCTTCAAAATCTAATTTCTGGTATTTAGATGTGTTTAATTTCCGGCAATGTGATTTATAATATTTTACCAATTATAATGTCACATCTAGAAATATACGTTGATGCTGAGATTGCGACGATGATCATATAGCATATTCCCCAAGTAATGGTAACGCGTACTATCAGATGATTACCCATTGCCACATTCAGATGGTAATTACTGGCAAAAGTTTTCATTGGGATACTAAAATTGCGTGTAGATTACTCAAAATAGCGCATACAACTTCTGGTGTTTACACTTCTCAATTCTATTTTATAAAGCTTTTTCAGAAATGTATAGTCCGAACCAGTCTCAAGACAACCGTATCATGTCTGAATAACATAATCATGAAACACAGGCCAAGTTCCCAAAGAAAGTTTAACCCTCTTCTAAGATGATGTAGAACGAGGGTCCAAAGAAGATATAATAAGTGGTAAAGTAGATAATATTGAGATAATGATGGTCGTTACCAATGCTTCAAGAATATAAACGGGTGCTCAGGGTGGAAAAAATACATGTAGAAAGTGTGACAAAGTCGGAGTTCAATAGATATTGTTTCCTTTAGTGTTATTTCTGATTACTAAATGTGGGCACAGTGTTAACTGATGAAACGCAATAGCCAAGTGCGAAAACCAAGTTGGTCAACATTTGGGAATAAAAATACAAGTTTGTAATGATTTACATGATGTAAATAGAGAATTGTATGTATGTATGTACCTGCCATACTTAACATTGTTAAGATAAGTATACGTAGATAATACATCAAGTATGTGTTTTGTTGGGGTCATTTGTAAGGATAACTTTTACCTTTTTTTATTTGATATCAGCCACAGTATACCTCCATGTAACTATTTCCCCACGTTTCATAGGAACCATTTGAGAATAAGACAAAAATGATATAGATTTGAATAATGACTTTGTCCGAGAAGACTTTTCATAACAAACCATAACACTTTCGGAAACGTAACCACAGTCGTAAATAAAAAAAAATAACATTAATAGTATGCTAGTCTAAAAATGATTTAGGTAAGTATGGAGGAAAAATAAACCTTATCCATTCTTTCAGCTAATTATTATAAATTAAGATCCCTTTAGACGGGCAGAGGGAGTCGGGGTTTAACGTCCACTCGATACAAATTAAGTGATTTCCTCACTAACATAGGATTCAATTTTATTTCAATAATTTGCAGCTGGAAGAAACAGGAGGGCCTGGAGAAAACCCACGAGGTTGGACATTTGATCCTACTCCTTGTCACGTACAAGAGGGGAATCAAAACTAAACCACTTGACTTAATGGCAGACCTTCTGATCTAAAGCGCATACGTTAGACCATTCGGTTACCCAACACCTCTTTATCTGGAGGTGAGCGAAAATATGCAACCCAGTTGGTCTAACAGGACCAGGTGGGTTAGCAAGCTTGTTCTTTGGACAACTGCGCATCGATTGACGGACATTGATTTTGACTACTTTGACGGTCTGTTCGATTCCTGCTTTATGTATCTTAAAATGCTAGGTTACATGACTTCGTCCTGGTGTTGGCCGAGAAAGTTCATCGAGATTTTCCGGCGTGGTTTTCCCTTGTCAGTGATGTAGGGCGGAGGGACTGAATAGGACAGCTGTTTAGTCATTCAGATGGGACAAAAACTGAGGTTCCGTGTACACATTGACGTGCACGTAAGGAGCAAAACAGTAGGACGTTAAACAATCAAAAGAAAAAAAAGACATGTTTAAAACAAATGTGGTTAAAACGGATGTCGTTCCCAAGTAGAACATACATTACCTTTCCTATTTAGTAGATATCATATCTTTATTGTTAAAAACCTTTTCCCTCCAGGGGATAATTACTAAAACATCTCTTACTTTTCTGCGCATTCTGTACTTATCGTATCTTTACGCTTTAAAGTGTCCAGTTTTCTAACCTTTTCTATAGAAACATTAGTAAATGGTACGAAAATTGTATGTCTAAAGGTTTTCAGTAAACGTGCTGTGATATATCTCACGTAATTAGCTTCTCAGGTATGTATTGACATGCCAATAACAAGTGGCGATTAACGCCTATAATTGATTTAATGACATGCAAGGTGTTATAAAGGCGATAATAATGACAGTATGACGTTATCGGTCCCAATAAAGACCATTATGTCCTACATAATTTGTAACGTGTGTGACCTTAATGTATGTTGATCATAACAGAAATGATCCGCGGTGGCTCACTAGTTAGGAGGCCCGGGGTTCGATCCTGGTTTTGGTCGAGAAAGTTCCCCGGGATTTTCCAGCGTGGCTTACCTTGTTAGTGGTTCATGATGGAGGACAGTGTCTAATCGTTCGGGTGGGACGAACAGCAGAGGTCCCATGTACACATTGGCGTAAACCGTACAGTACTAGAACTCTTGACATTTGGAATTCTATATTGAGGAGGCTGTAGCGCCGCTGTTCGGGCAAGATTTCCCTCAAAGCGCACGACCGTCTTCATTATCTCAGTCGGTGCAGGAAAGTAGGACGTTAAACTACAAAAAACCGAGGTCCCGTGTACATATTGGCGAGCACGTAAAACAATCCTTGGCAGTTTGAATTCGAAATAAGAGTAGGCTGTAGCGCCGCTGTCCGGGCAAAATGCCCCTCATAGCAATCTGCATGGCGTTTGTTTGTCTACATATAGCCCAGTCGGAGCAGAAAAGTAGGAGCTTAATCCCCATTTCATTTTATAATAGAAAGTAATGTTACACAAACTACGTAGGAGTATCGCATTGAAAATTTAATAAAAGCTTTTATACATCTTGTATTCTGAATTGTTGATACGCCTATCCGAGTATAATATATTTGCTTAATAAAAAGTAGAATAAACATAATTATGAGATTTTATCTAAACGTGTTTGTTCAAGACAAAAATTGGATGAATGCACTGAACAACATACCAAGTCTTCACGGATATTATTTGTGAAAAAGATTTCAACTGGCAATCTGACTTACATCTGCTAGACTTACCCTTGTAATGCCTCGCAAACCACAAGAAATCCTAATATTTATACTTACAGGCCTAAAACTTATTAAATGTCCTGTTGTAGACTACACAACCAGAACCTGGATATTTCATTTTAAACCCTAATAAATATTTTTTCATAGATTGCAGACCTGAAACCTGATTATTACATTGCAAAGCCTAATAATTCTACTTCTTATATATCATATTTTATAGGCCTAGATCCGGAGGCCTGAAAACCCTCATAATTCCACTTCTTACAGAATAGAAACATATCACTTGAGTATTGCATTACAATTACTCTCCAGATTCTTCTAAACGGTCAATTTTTATAGAACCTAAGCTTGCTCCAGTTCAAATCCCATACATATTGTTCTACCAGTTACTTTTCTTTCAGGTCTTAACATGAAAGTTTTATCTTCCCATGGCTTAGGTAAAAAAAAAACCCTACTCAAAGTCTGTGGCTATGTAGGCCTAAACAAGTTCGACTACGTCTAGAGGAGTAGTCCAGTGAGTGGGCTTCATAATGAAGTTGCGGTGATTACCGGTGTTTCCGGTGACCAGTCATGTTCCGGTCACCAACGGTTGATCCGGGTGACAAAATTTTCACAAGAAAAGAAGGGGAAGAGAACATGAACGGCGATTAGACCCCGCATAGCGCTAACAACTTGTGCTTAAAACTCCTGTCTTGGGTTATGCTGTGGAGAAAAGAAACATATCAAAGGATATATTTAGTGAGTTTTTCCTGTGGGTTTTCTATCTGGATTTGTTTCCTTTCTGTGTATAAATGAGGAACGGGGTTTTTGATAAAAATATACTGCTTTACAAAAACACGATAGACGTTATTTTCACATACAGAATGGACTCCCAAAATCAAAGAAAATGTCGTCATATATACCTAGAATCCATTGGTATTGCATGCCAAACTCTAACAGTTCTACTTTCTATTTATTCTAACCCTAAACATATCCATGTCAACAACAAAGCGTGACAATTCTTGCTTTTCTAAACTTGAAACCTGTCTTTACTTTTTACCTTTTGGTGACATATCTGTTTTCATACCCTTGGGTTATCTATATACACAATTCTACACTGCTGTTTTCGGTTTTCTTGTCAAAGGCCTATAAATCTACTTTGATAGTGTAACTTTTAAATAAAGTTTCTGATTGTAAACATACATAATTATATAGCATATCGAGATACCCACGCATTAAGTACGACCTATAAGCTTACAAAACCTTAAATAATCTAAGCTTATTTTTTTATAAGTTTTTTATGGCATGCATGACTATAGTTTTTCGAATGGGTTTGTTTCAATAACAGATTAATTAATAGAGCCAGGAATTTAAAAAAGTTAGTAATAAAAATATGCAGTAGCCCATTTTTCAGTTATATTGTGCGTTCAACATCAGTGACCTGAATGAATCTACATAACGATAGTAATCATGAATATCTTATTTCGAGGTTGCATTTACTTTTATTAACATGAGGTTGGAAAGAGAGAGAGTGATAGAGAGAGAGAAAGAAATGGGGTTTAACGCCCACTCGACACAAACTAGGTCATTTCGGGACTAACATATGGTTTAATTTTATTTACATAATTCGCTTGCGCGTAGGGGTCTTTAGCAGTGGGAGGAAACCGGAGGACCCGGAGAAAACCCACGAGGTTGGACATGCGACCCTACTCCTTGCCACGTACAACCGGGGATTCGAAACAACGCCAGTCGACTCAATGACAGACTTTAAGAGAGGTTGGAAAGAAGTGAACGGGTTAAAACATTGGGTAGAAAAGAAGAAAACGGGATTAAAACGCGGGGTAGTAAAGAAGTAAATCGGATTAAAATATACAGAGCATATGAATGACGTAAATCGGATTAAAACAGGGGATGGGGAAGAAGTAAACTGGTTTTATACAGGCCATAGGAGTAGGGGTAGAAAAAAGTAAACCGGATTAAATAGGGGTAAGGAAAAAGTAAAGCGGATTAAATATTTGAACTGATTTCTTAGTATTTGTTATTCGATATCATTTTTTTTAAAAAAAACTAATGGAATGTGTTTGTATACCAACTGAACGACTACACGCCGCACCATGCAGCACTGACAAGGGGAACCACGTCTGAAAATGCCGAGGAACTATTTCGGGCAACACCGGTTACTTTGGTTAGTGAGCCAGCGCCTTACTCACTGAGCCACCGTAGCTTCCAATTGCAGGTATATTTTATTTGCTCTTATATACCTCTGTATATAAATACTGATGTTAATCAAATTTATACAAATCATATTGACTATTATATAACATACAAATACATATCTTACCTGGAACACAGCTTATGATGAGTTGGATACAGAACCACGCCCTCTTTACCTGTCCCACCCCCATTCTAGCAGTCGGTGTGGTATATCGATATTAAACTATTAGTAAGAAATACCACTCTTAGACAGGAGAAACGGTTATCCATACGGTTTATTCTCTCAAACACCCTATCATGGCTTACACTGGCCTCCAATAAACACATAAAACTTATTGCTGTGTTAAAAATAAAAAATCCATTCAAACACCTTTCATAGACCGCCTATTGAATCAAGCTATCTTTATAATAGTTTCTCGCTTATTGTTGAATATTGTATATGTTCAGTGAACAGCATACACTCGAGACCAACCCAATGATAAACCCCTATCACTCTACAAACTTGTCTTACAAACATCACTGCCGAGTACAGTCAACCGTGATGTATGTAGGCGCTCTCTTTTAATTAAAGGCTAGTGCACACTAAGTATCGCCGACAGCCCAATTTCAGCGCACATCATACCTATTGTTTCGCGCCGAGATTTCATCGCCGAAGATATTTCGGGAGTTGTCTCGTATGATGCAGCAGACATGTAGGCATTTAAACCCCATTTCATGCTAAAATCTACTGATCACTGCACATTATGCATCCTATATTCAAACGATTATTCTAGCCATCCATGCATCCTACCATGTTTTGTTTACTGTTCGAGAGAATACTATGATTATCACAGAAAAAACATGAATATAATTACTAATTTCTTTGATGGTCTTTGATTTCAAGATGGTGAGGGATTACGCGTGATTATCATTTGAAAAATGTATATTAAAAAACGAAGAGAATAAAGATTACATGTATAGTGCCATATCATATCTGCACTAAATGAAGATAATCAATGTACATTTTTGAATAAATAATGTGCATTTCAGAATTATCAATGCATATTTCAGAATGATCAATGCACATTTCAGGATGATCAATGCACATTGTTGGTCGCTCACTGACACCAAAACTGCCTTCGTGTGAGCTGGCCTTAATCGATTATTAAGGAATGTATGGTCTATTGAAGTTGCTCGATGAGAGTCACTTAGAAAGTGAAGCTTTACGATCGTTGATCGTATCAGATTTTTGTACCATAACTTCGTCGAATTATTTTTTATATCATAACAAAAACAAACAAAATTTCAGTACGTTTTTAATAAATGTAAAATTTGCTAGGAAACCTCGATCAAATGAAATGGGTTTAGTGTACTACTTTTCTGCTGCAGCTGAGTTAATGAAGCCGGGCATACGCCATACGGTGTCCCATGAGGAATATTTTGGCCGGACAAAAGCGCTACACCCTACTCTTATTTCGAATTCCAACTGTCAAGGTTTTTTTATGTATTAGTAAACGTGTCCGCAGGGCCTCACATTTTTGTCCCATCCGAACGACTAGACATGTCCTCCGCCCGGAACCACTGACACGGGGAAACCATCCCGTATACTACTGAGGAACGTTTGGCTCTCACATTGGACACAATTTCCGACTATTCCAGATCCAGGAATCCATAAAAATAAATTAAATCTATCTACGACACAGCCCTAATAATTAGAAGGCTGTACAGTAGGCCGAAGCAAGGTTGAAAATGAACCTTTAATTCAAATACACTTTAAAACGTCTGACTCCTAATCTTGCACCAAATACTTGTTTAAAGTAAATAAAGCCACTGCACACTCTAAAGCAAATATTATTATTCATTTTATGCTTTTAATATTAAAATAGTATAATATTACACATCTTGCTGAATTTATTTTATCTTTCTATTATTATGTTTTAAACACTGACCATAGCTATTAGGTTGCTGAAGAGATCAAGGGAGACAACAGTGACAGTGAATTAAGTGCAATGGAGTTTACAGTCTTATTCTTCTGCAGCGACTAGACTAATGAAGACGGACATACACCATACAGGATTTTTGCCCGGACAGCGGTGCTACAGCCTACTTATATTTCGAATTTCAACTGTCATGGTTCTTTTTTGTACCACCCGAACGACTAGTCCCTGTCTTTTCCAGGCCATCCGTCATTCACAGCTGACAAGGGTAAGTCAACCATAGAACATCCCTGTTAGCGAGCCACCGCCTTACCGAGCCACCGCGTCTCCCTGTTAAGTAAATAAATAAAATATTTGTTTTGTCTCATTGCATGGCATTTGTGTTATTTTTAGACAATAATGTTGTTTTATTAATTCGACTTTAACGTAATTAGATTTCAGGGACCTCACAAGATCTCAGATTTTTTACGCTTTAATAATTATACGTGGCAGTTTTTGAAATGGCTATGCAAATATTCTTCTTCGTTTGAAGTTTAAAAATATTAAAAGTAGATATGAAATATGTTCTACATCATTTTTGTATTATTACGAACATGTTTGTATGCTTGGTTTTCAAAGTATAGTTTTGTCATATATATATTGGTTTTGGAATGCAACCATATTAATTTTTCTCATGTAACATTTTCAACACGGGAACTAAAAAGTAAAAGAATGGCCTTGAAATTCACTCTGTTTAACTTTTCGACCAAAGCACCTTTACTAGACTTTACCACATAGACCATTGTTAACGCGAATTGCACGTGTTCAAATGTAACCTGGAATGTAGAGACTGCAACAACTTCCGAGACAAAATGGTAGGTCGTTAATGGCTAAATCTATTTGTTAAGGCCAGCTCAATTTGTTTGCCAAGGTCGCTGAAATGTAAATAAGGTTAGGGCACGAGATCGTTACCGAGATTGTAGGTTAGGGTAAGCCTTGGGGCTAGGTTCAGGGTTAGGTTTAAGAATTTGGGGGAGAGGTTGAATCTCCACATAAGCTCTGACTTAGGATAATGAAAATTTAGTTCGTGATATTTCCTGGTTTTAGCTCTAGTCCAGTTTAAATCTCGTGAGCTGACCTTATCATTTAGCACTAACCAATATAGCCATCAATACTAGACTGTATCACTTAGACTATTTTGTTAACGTGGATTGTATTTATTTCTACTTTTCGAGTTGCATTTTACTTGGTATGCGTGTTGGTTCCTTCTTACTGACACGAATAAATACAAAAAATATGTCGAAAGTCGACACCACGCTACACAAGCCAAAATGCAACTCGAAAAGTAGAATTCACAAGACAACTAGGGACGTTATATCGCATTGTGTTATTTCTGAATTTCCTATTTTCGAGTCGACGTTTGCTTGGTGTGCCTGCTGTCGCATTACATTTCGTCGTAACTTCTACTTTTCGATTTTCGCGTTCTGAAGGGGCGAAAAGTAGAAATAACTGATATAAAATATGGTAGTTAAAGACCTCCATACTTTATGAGGTGCTTTTTTAATTTCTTCAATTTATTAGATCATGGATATGAAAATAAGGAAGAAAATAATCTATGACACTACACTGTGTGAAGACTGTAAAAATCCTTTCTATAGTATTTTCTATATTTTACCTCCTAGTTTCTGAACTTCCTGTTTGTGTACAGTATTCATATAATTTATGTGAATTGTCTTTTTTTTATCATATTATATGTACCTTCCTTGTTTATGAATACACGCTTTGTGTATCACTGTTCCTGATATTGTATTTCATGGCATAAAATGTTGTCATTAAGTTGTATTCGAACAACCGACTATTGTCAAAAATGAATGTGGATATGATTTACACAATCTTAATATAAATCGCTGTAGAAAGGACATACATAACTAATGCTCGAAAACTAAATGACAGCTAGCTGTTTTTTTCTGCAGGTATAAATAGGGCGGGGCTGTTGTTCATGTTGTAGAAAGGAGGAAAGGGGGCTGCCATACTAGCTAGACGTAATGATTTATACATCGCCGAAAAAAGACCCCACGAGGTCTCCAGGAGAAACCAGCTGTACGACCTTGAAAATACGAAAACGACATAGCGCATCTCCAAAAATTTCCAGACAGTCGAAAAATAATATAAAGTTGCTTTCTTCATTAGAATTTGTGTATTATCAAGATAGCATATTTTAATATTTTACATTTTTCGAATAGACAAGGATAAACTTAGAACAAGAATTTATATTTTTAAAAAAAAGTCTGCTAAATATCATCGAAAAAAAGAATCCTCCTATAATTGAGGTATATCTTAAAGTTGATATAAATTAGATATATTAAAGTAGCTAAGTCTCTAACTCAATATCATCAAAAATCTTCGACATTGAAAACACGAATAATTTGTCAATTCAAATCAACATTGGTCTTGTGATCTTACAGGGAAAAGATGGACTTCTGATATCCAATATTCAAGACAAAATAAATATTTTACCATTGGTACACGAATCGTGTACCATAATGCGTTTCAGCGACATTTGGAACAAGGGACCTAAAGAACGAGGCTAGACATATGCCACAAGTCATGTCAAATGGTGACGCTATATTCTTATCTGGAGAGCATGCGCAATAAATACCATCGGTGTAGACTGGAATAACCTGACGCTAAAGATTGTCATTTAATTGAAACGATTGAATGTAAATCAGTTTATTTACATTCATATTACATTATTATATGCGTTGCGACCCATTTGTGTCAATTTCTAGATCCCAAATATTAGCGATTTAGCTCCTTTAAAGTTGATGTCTTTGTTCACGCGACAAAATAACTGTGCTTAAGTTCACACGAGTTATGTCCCCTGATATTTATTTTCACTAGCGTAATAATAAACCCCAGCGTGTCAGGTTATCCGGTTATATGACTATTGCTGTAACAACTATGGGTTTGGTCCATGCCCCGACGAACAGACAACCAACAGAGAAATTAGAATGACAAGAATCGATAGGTTCCATGCTAGCATTTTCCTAATTCATCAAACTAGAAAGCCTTTCAACTTTGTTACGCGTTTTGCATAAACGGCAGGGGTCATAACCAAGAAGTTGCATCAAAATTGAACTTATCCCAGATATTTTATCGGCGTATAAAATAGTCTGGCACAAATGGCCATATAGAGTAATATCCATTCCCAACCATACCGATATTGTTATTACACAAATCCAAACATCGATGTTTCTAGTTTGTTTAGTTCTTTCACTATTTAGGATCGTCTTTCCATAAATATTTATTGTCAGCGAGAAGTTCTGCTAATTCTTCATTATAACTTCTATATAAATCATCCAATATCTGTCTTGTTTCTTGCCACATCGGACCGATAGCTTGTTTCTTCACATTTTTTCGACTTTGCTTTACAATCTTCTCCATTTCTCCATCTGACAAAGTATCTGAAAGTGAAAACATGTATAAACAGTTCATGCATATATGTATATGGAGGTGTGGCAACTTTAAATGATATAACCAATAGTCATTTGGAATGTGGATGCGGTGGTTGTAACCGTTCCTTTAACCACACAAACTACTGCAACACTCAGATCAGATAAAATAAGAGTAATACCATTTCTACACTTACTTAAACCCAAAAACTGGAAAATTCTCTGAACATGTGTTTTAATATCTTGAGGATATTCTTCAGTTTTAATGATGAGAAATCTATCTTTTTCAAATACTTTAAACCATTCTTTAAGATAAACAACATACATTCCTACTAAAATTCTCACCTGTAAAAAAATACACACAGTCTGTTATACAAAAATAAATTCCTAATAGTGTATCTCTGTGTCCACTTTGAGGAGAGTACAAGGGTGTTATACAATTGAGAGGGTGGTTGGATGGCCGAATGGTTAGCGCGTGCGCGTTGTAACATAAGATCTGTCATTAAGTCAATTGAAGAAGTTCCGATTCCTCGGCTGTACGTGACAAGGAGTAGGGCATATTCCTGAAGCAATGGCTCAGGAAATCCCTCTCTAAGTAGGATTACGTCTCACCGCGAGGAGTATGGGAGTAGGGTCGCCTGTCCAACCTTGTGGTTTTTTTGTATCTCTGACATTTCATCCAAATGAAATTGAAATGGAATGGGGTTTAACCTACTACTGTTCTGTTCCATACAGTGTGTTATGAGTGACATTTTGACGGACAACGGTGATACGGTGTACTCTTATATCGAATTCCAGCGACCAAGGGCTCTTTTACGTCCCATCCGAACGACTATACATTCACGCCAACGTATACATGGAACCTCAGTTGTTCGTCACATCCAAACGACAAGACACTGTTATCCATCCTACACCACTGACAAGTAGGGGAGGGGAACCACGCCGGAAAAATCCGATAAACTTCCCCGGACAACACCACAATCGAACACTGGATCTCCAGGTTAGCGAGCCAACGTCTTACTCACTGATGACCTGCCTGACATTTATCCACATCCGCTCTTATCTATATATAAATGACCCTTACCGGCATACTCATATGTAACTCTTTATCATATAAACAACCTTTTAATGTTTTTATTTTCTTACAATCTTCAAACAGCTTGATAGATGTTATAACACTATGGTGAAAACTTTCTGCTGTTTTTTTATCTGCATTACGATCCCAATATATATAACCCGAATACAATCTGAATAGAAACACCGATACCTAATATATAGTATAATTGTGAGATATAATTTTAAAAAGAACAACTATTATTAACAGCATTTTAAATTAACACAAAGTAACTGAAAAAATAAAACTGGAGCCCTTACAACAACAGTGGAAAAAGAACATATTATTCTGGTCATTGTCAGTCACACTCACATAGGGAGGCAGACCACCATTAAATTTCATCATCTCGGTACCCACGAATTGTAGTTCGTCTATTTAGAGCAATTCTCTCTCTCTCTCTTTTCTCCCCTTTTGCATGCCCATTTTTGTTGATTTTTTGGTCTAGAATGGACGAAGAGGGTTTGAATTAACATTTTCTGCCAGGTTTTGGTATATATTCATGATTTTGAGGCGGAAGGATAAGAGGGTTATCAGGTTAGCTACGACGATATGTACGGCAACTAGTTACATGTTTTTAGTATGCTTCTTCAAGTTTGTGTATCTCAAAATTTTGGTGGTCAACCTCATACAAATTTTAGTGCAAAGACATGACCATTTGTTCCTCTGTCTGAAGTGAAAAGCATTCAGCCCAACGAAAATTTGGGGAAAAGTTGGAGGTGCGCAAAGAGGCCAAAATTAACATTGAAGTCAATGGGGAAATTAATGGTGGTCTGCCTCCATAGACCCATTCTCTTAAGCAGAGTTGTCACCCTTTACACTCGACACTATCAACGAATGAATGGAACGGAATGGGGTGTTTTGTGCCCCAACAGAGCTTATGAAGATGGGCATGCACCACGATGTCTGCTATGAGGAATAGTTTGCCGGTACATGATTTCTAATTGTCAAGGGTTCTGTTAAGCCCCTGTCCGACCGGAGTGGCAGAACACGTCATGTCTCGAAGCTTCTGACTTAATAAAATGCTCTGGTAACCTCCCAGATCTCACGCCAAACTTGAAGTTGTCTTCACCCCGGGCCCCTGCTGCTCAAATTCCTAGACACGCCCCAGATTGTCTAAGGCCCGACAGTCCATACTGCTTTTTATATCTTTAATAATATTGTAGCAACATAAAATAATAGCAATACAGATTACCTTTCTGTAGGATTTCGAAAAATTAATAGAAAGTAAGATTTGGGTAATAAATGGTGTAAAGCATCAGGTGTTAATAAAGCATTGTCTGCTGTTTTATCTTTATTCTGTGGCATGAGATCCCAACCAGTAAAATCCCAGAAAACATTAGGACTTCCATCCCCTGAAAAATATAACAAGCGAAAAGTCAAGTGGATTTTCGGCTGAATGTTAAATAAAAGCCACACCAGTTAGCAGAGTGGGGTCAAAGAAGGCAGAAATGCCAAACAGCAGAGTGGAGTCGGGGAGCAGAAATGCGAGATAGCAGAGTAAAGTCAGCGAGCAGAAATGTCAGAAAGCAGAGTGGGATCGGAAAGCAGAAATGCCAGATAGTAGAGTGAAGTCGGAAAGGAAAAATGTCGGACAGCAGAGCGAAGTCAGAAAGATAATAGAGTGAAGTCAGGAAGATAGCAAAATGAATGTCATATAGCATGCAGAGAAGGCAGAGAAAATGAGACTGAAACCACATGGAACAAATCCCAGATAACAGAGTGTGGTCAAAAGGTAGAATACAGTCAGTACATCGAAGTCAGAGAACAGTAGATTGGAGTCTGGTGATGCCCAGTCAGTAGAGTGAAGTCTGGGGATAGAGTAGAGTATAGCCATAGGAGTATGGGGGAGATACCAAGAATAATTTCGTGTAGTTACCAGTTATTAATGGGTGATAATCGTCTTCATTGTTCCTAGTTTTAGTTACAAAAGATTCTATTTTCCTTGCAGCAGCATCAAATTGGTTTAAATACTTCTCAAAGGTCCACGGAGTTCCTCCTTTAGACCAGACATCAAAACCTGAAGCAAACATCAGTAATCATACAATTAAATACTAAAAATTACAACAGAAATTATGAGAAGCGTGGATTTTCAAAATAAATGAGAAGGGTTCTATAGAAAAGGGTTTTATAGAAAATGCAAGCATACACTACCCCCATCCCGGGATGTTAGAGTGGTAGCATGGGCTTAGATTTCAGACGCCAAAGCTACTTGGTACACAGAAACCTCGGGGCAATAGCTAGTATCATCCATTTGTTAAATATGAAAATAACAGTATCCCTTTTCCTCCTGGGTGTATTTACAAAAATATGTTTATTTTTACATATACATGTATACTCTTCAAAAAAAAAGTAGGGGATATTCAGAAACAATACAAAACTGCGGAAATGCACTGCTGGTTTTATTAGAGGTAACCAGTGTATGTTAATAACAGACCAATTGCCTACATATGAACTTAAACATGACGCTCATTTACACGTCTCCAAACGCGAGCACGCCTATCGGTGAAATCCGGAGTAAATCTTGACTCATCTGAGAACATTACTCGCGCCCATCGATGATTACCCCAATTTCTACGCTGCCTACAACATTGAAGCCTGTTTGCCATGTGCTGGCGAGTCAATGGAGGCTCAACACGCGGTCGTCGCGCATGCAAATGGGCTGCATGTAGCCGATTTCTAATCGTTTGAGGTGTCACTCGAATTCCTGTAACTTAGTACAAGTTTACAAAAAGCTGATTGGTCGTTTGTCCTCGATTTCGCAGGACCTGTGTACGAATATATTGATCCCGGGATTGTGTAGTGGCACTAGGACGACCTGAACGAGGTCTATCATCAACATTATGTGTTTGTTGGTACTGGTTCCACAGTCTGCTATCACAGACTGTGACCATTTAAAGCATGCCAATAGCGCGTAGACGTTCATCATGTTGAAGACGTCACGTTGGGAATTAAACGTAACACTCTAAAGCAAAGATATGCTAAACAGTAAGTCTTATACAAGAACCGATAGGAAAGCAAACTAAATAGGATAAACCAGCACGCGACAGTTTTCATCGACCCTTCCTTGAAGTGTCAAATTTGACAATGACCCCCCCCCCCCCCCCACACACACACACACACGTGTATGACGTTATTGCGTGTCCCACATGCAGCTCAGTGGCTCTGTTGAGGCGATAAGTTCTTCATCTGTGAACATACTCTCAAAGCATGTCAAGTGTCCATGACTATTTATCATATCACAACCTGCATAGGTATTTGCATTTCAATATCCCCTATATGGTTTCGATTCCCCGGTTGTACGTGACAAGGAGTAGGGTCGCCTGTTCAACCGCGTGGGTTTACACCGACTGCTAAAGACCCCTACGTGCATGCGAATTATTGAAATAAAATTGAACCATATGTTAGTCCCAAAATGACCTAATTTGTGTCGAGTGGACGTTACCCCCCCCCCCCCGTCTCTCTCGACAAGCGATAAAACGGAAGTAGAAGTGAACATGCGCGCAAAGTTATTCGGTTACGGTAAACATGTTGATTTGAATCAAGCGAGTCACGCACTGTACATAACTCGATTCGGAAAAGTGTGAACGCGGCTTAAAATGATACAATTACTCTTTTTTCGGAAAGCAGTTTTAGACTATTCAACCGTTTTAAACGAGAAAATGTCATTGGCAACTCCTTCGTGACTAGGTATTTGATCTACGTACCAAATTTTACGGGCAGATACCCAACACTAGCGCCCACACTTCAGCCAAATTTGGCCCATTCGGCCCCATAGGGGCTGAGTACGGGCCCTTTTCCAGAGCAAAATCGGCCAAAAAAAACCGGCTAAAAATTGAAATACGCGCGCAGTGGTCATTTTCCCGGGGGTACATAAACTGAAACAAAAAATAGAGATGGAACTAGGTGTTCGATTTTAATTTTGAGATCATTTTTGGATGCCCCGATGTCGGAAATGAGGGGGTAGCCGAAGTTTCGAAGAAATAGGACCATTTTTTAAAAAAAATCCTTCATAACAACGTATTTAGCTGCTTTTGACTTCGCGCATGCGCGACGCTGGAACCAAAGGTACCATGACTACCAAATTCCGGCTAGGAACATTTTACGTTGATACCTAGGTGCCCTGAATATTTCAAGGCGATACCTGCATTCCTTCAAGTCGTTTGTTCTTGGCACGGCTCCCGGTCACTTGCAGTTCAATTCATTTTATTTTAAGTCTTGATAAGGCTTCCGTAAGGGGAAAAAAGGGGAATTTCGCCACGACACAGGCACCGGTTGTCGAAGAACCGTAAAATTTAGACACAATACGTCCATTGCCAACCCGGACTCTGTGCTTTTGTTCCGATTAAAAAAAAGAGTTTTAGCAAAAAAACTTTAACTTTCTAGGAACTCGTTCAAAGGGTATACCACCGTGCACGACTAACTTTCGATTAGGAAGGATTTCCTCAAACGCCGAGATAGGCCCATTGGCGGGACCCGAGGTTAGGTATTCTTAAACTATATCGACCGCGGAAAGACTTTCGGTATCGTCAAAATTTTCATAAATTGTTATCTGTAGTTTATTTTTCAATTAGAAAACAGCTATTCAAATAAAAGAGATTGAAGATTTTATATTAGGAGAGCTGGCTGAAAAGTTCTAAGCCTATCTACGAAATACCTATCTATTGCAAGATGGCTTTGAAAATTTCAGCTTCCTAGATTCAGTCAAAATGGTGATACATGTATGACACAATGCATGTCTAAACATGGCAAATTTGAGCGAATGTCAGTTCTGGATTGTCAAAGTGTTATCTATGTAATGCTCTGTATTGCATTCTATTATTGCAAGGATGCTGTAATTTGGAGTGGTACCTCTGCAGAGAAAGAGAAAGGGAGTTTAACGTCCACTCGACACAAACTAGGTCATTTCGGGACTAACATTGTTTTAATTTTTATTTCAATAATTCGCTTGCGCGTAGGGGTCTTTAGCAGTGGGAGGAAACCGGAGGACCCGGAGAAAACCCACGAGGTTGGACAGGCGACCCTACTCCTTGTCACGTACATTCGGGGATTCGAAACCACGTCAGTTGACTCAATGACAGGCTTTATGATACAGCGCGCACATGCTAACCATTCGGCCATCCAATCACCCGTACCTCTGCATGGTTTGGGGGAGAACATATAAGAATTTCAAGGAGATAGCGTGAACAGAAGTGACGAAGGCAGTGGAGTTCAGTTTTGCACTCTTCACAATTCTGTGTCTTTTGTGGCTATGTTCATGTATTAGCCATGATTTTTTTTTAAATATTGGAGCTATCATGCTAACATTTTCAGAGATTCATCCTACATGTATTCCTGGGTGGCTGTGAAAATTTCAGCTTGCTTGCTCAAGTAGAACTGTTCATTTGAGGCTGTGACAAGCCAGCAGTGGCATTTTCAATGAAAACCGCTCTATCCGCAGTCATTAAAAAAAATTGTTTGGACTTAAAAACAAACTTCTCGTTGGACTATTGCATTAAAATTTTCACAGGATTTGTAGAATCCCAATATCCATCTGATATTAAGAGCAGATTAGGGTGCGGTTCTGGGGGGATTGATTTTTTTGGGAAAATATGGTCAGTTCCGTGGAACTGCAGTGATACTTTTCATCGAACTGGGGAGGGCTGCATTTCCTTTTTTTTGCAGCTATGATCCTGATATTTTAACATCACCTTCCTATATATATGGCGTGGGTAGGACAGAAGTAACTGCTCTTAAATCTTTAATATTGATGCTAGTAGTCTGAAGTTGTTACACAACCTTCCTATATACATAATGTAAGCACTGGTCCTTTGTTTTACTATTAGATGAATGCAAGCAGTTTTATCTGCCAAATTGCTGTCCGAGTGTTGTATGAAGGCTAAATAGGCCTACTGCCGGCATATAGGGTCTAAAATCTTTAATATTGATGCTAGGAGCCAGAAATTTGCAAGGAAATTTCATAATGTATTAAGGTTGGATGTCTAAAAATTTTATCTTCCTTAAGTCAGGAGAAATTGAGATATGCAGAAATGAAATTTGGAAAAGGCGATTTCTCGGATAGGCCTTCATATGACACATAAATCCATTTTTAGTGGGACATGAATATGCCCACCTAGGGCTTGCAAGAGTTAATAGCAGTTGACCAAGATGTCCAGGAACCTTTTTGTGGAAGCCGATCTTTGAATATGGAGTTGTATTTCTTTATTTATCCAAAATCTGCTCACCATGAGAATTTGACTAAAAATCCAACATAACCACCATGTGGAACTGTGATCTTTATGCCATGCATTTGATTAATCCTGTAGCTATTGGGCCCCAACTTTCCCAAAATGTGTCTGTATTAATAAAAGATTTGTGTAAAAATGAGCTTGTTTGTCTCAGAATTAAAGATTCAGGGGCCAAGCGCTGCTACGTATGACGTCATTATGACGCTATATTTGCTTATATTTTAATAATTCCAAACGCTACAACGTTCTAATTTTAATGACAGTTTTAATAAATATCCAGGATCATTTTGCAATAAAAAAAAATAAGACTATTTGGTTTTGTTTTCTTTATTTAAGCAAAATAATGGGTCTGTATAAATGCAAATGGCCGCCAACGGGTCACATGACTAAATCCATCATGGCGGATAGCCTATGTGGACTTAAAATAACATTTTAATTTTTAGCCGATTTTTCCCTGGAAAAAAGGGCCCGTACTCAGCCCCTGTTGGCTGTAGGGTGGGCGCAAGCGTTAGGTTAGGTAAAATTTGGCTGCGATTGCCCCCACGGAAGGGGTCGAACATAGGCGTTAATATAGGTGACCACTTGGCCAAAATTTCCAAAGTCGACATTTTCACTTGAATATCCAAAGAATTCGTTTTAAAAATTGAGTAAGCTCTTCAAAATTTCAGAATCCCCCCCCTCCCAACCCCATTTCCCACCCTTGCGCATCCGAATAAGGTTTCAAAATTAAAATCGAAGCATTCTACCATTTTTCGAAAAAATGTTTTCTTTTCGGTAACCTCGGGAAAAAAACCACCCCTCAACTTGCAGAAGTCGGAACCAGAAGTGGGTGATATGGAAAGCTGTACAAGGTCCTGGGGTAAGTACCCAGTGATTTTCAGGTTTATACCCACGGATGTTGTGGGCAAACGGGCACGCGTATTTCGATTTTTGGCCGAATCTGGACTGATTTTGCGCTGAAAAGGGGCCCGTACTCAGCCCCCAGGGGTCCGAGGGAGTCCAAATGTGGCTGAGAGGTGTGCAATGAGGTGAGGTACTTTCCCTGAAACTTTGATGCCGATCGGCCCTCTTGAAGGTTCGGGCGTAGCGATAATCCACCTAAAAAAAAGACGAAAAGGGAAAAAGTCGATTTTGGCATTTCTTTGCCCCCTAGAAAAAGCCCATAACTCACCCTCTATGGGCAGCAGGTCCATGAAATTTAACGGGAGGCCAGTGGGGGTCCGTTGGCAGGTCCCCACCAAAGATGGGCATGATCGGCCAGGGGGTTCCGATTTTATTAAAGTTCTCCCGTAAAAGTCGAATTAAGGGTAGATAAGTGACGAATCAGAAACCTACTCGACCTTATTCCCCACCGGGGGTCTCAAGCGAAATCTTTATCGATTTCCTTGGTCTTAGGGGGTTAGGCCAAATTCCTTGGGCAACCTGTGGGTAAGGCTGCCCATCCCTAAACCTGACACCCCCGGCCATGACCTTTTTGTAAACCTTGCCTCGGGGTATAGGCCTCGGGGAGATACACTTAAACTTTACCCGTATTGGAGTCCCTACCTCCGTGGCGTTATTTCGTGGACCCATTCCAGGTAAAGAGGTGACATAGAGATAGGAAGGTGACATAGAGAAAGGGAAAATGGCCATCGCTCGACTTGCAGAGGTCAGAACCGGAAGATGGTGTTAACGAATCCCGTAAAGGTTCCTAGGGCAGGTCACCAGTGAATTTCAGACTGATACCCATGAAAGTACGGATGCTGTGAGCATACGGTCCAATTTCGCTCTGAAAAGGGTCCGTATTAAGCCCCTATGGGCCCGAGGAGGACCAAATTTGGCTGAGCAGGGGCAATCGGCTGATATACTGAAAATGTAGCGCCAATCGTCTTTCGGGAAGGGTCAAGTGTAACAATAATGCATCTGAAAACAAAGCGAAAAGGGAAAAAGTCGATTTTTCGGCATTTCGGTACCCCCTGGAAAAAGCCAATCACTCGGCCCCTATGGGTGGTAGGTAAATAAAATTAGGGTGGGGGGCAAATATGGGTACGATCGGCCAGGGGGTTCAAATTGTTTATTAAAGTTCTCCGGCAAAATCTAATTTATGGTAGGTAAAGTGTCGGATCATAGCCCTACTTGACACATTCCCCCTGGTGGGCCTTGAGGAAATTTTGCCCTTTTCTGACGGTTAGCGGGGTTAGCCTGAATTCATAAAAAAAGAATTGAGGCCAGAATAATCCCTTTTAATCCCTCTATTGCCATTTCTATCCCCGACTTGACCACTTTTCTCAAATCTTGCCCCCCCCCCTCCCCCTTGCTCCCAGGGCGCTGAAATTTCGCTTGTAGGTAGCCCTTGGGTAGACACATGTATGCGAGTGTTATAAGATGTGGCATCTCCATAATGCAGGTGAATGGGTTTTTTAAATACTTAAAATAAGTGTGTCAATTTAGGATGTAGTCAAAGGGGAGATAACTGCCTGACCCATTAATGTATGTAGCAAATGACAAAGGTTTATAAGAAGTCCTGGTAATGCTTGTTACTTATGGTGTGTAAGTGTTATGCAACATAATACACCTATCATTACGGGGACGTCCCCATAATGCAGCTAATATTGTGTTTTACTCTTAAATGGACTATAAGGCAATGATTTGTGTGGGAGAGAGGAATAACTATGCAAGGCAGACTATATTTGTGGGCAGCTATGCATCTGTTCCCATAATGTATTTGACAAATTCTTATTTAGGTGAAAATCATATTAATGCTTGTTGTTTATGGTGTGCAAGTGCTATACCCGTCAGTGTGGGGACGTCCCAATAATGAAGATATCGTAGTGATGGAACTATGGGTCTGGTTTCTGTCTAGAGGACTTTTTAATTATTTTGGTCTTCAAATCGGAACAAAATATATAAAAAGATTTTGTATGTGTTCTTCACATAGTTTCCATATTCTTCACGGCTATTTTAGCTTATTTCGCTATTTAGTAACTATCTTATTACTTTATTCAAACAATTAATATTAAATAGTTTAATTGTTAGCCGTAATCTTCAAAAGAACATACCCTTTATGCCTTTTCATTCAAAACTTTCCTCTCCCAGGTAGGGAAATTATTGGTCCTTGCTATGTATCTAAAACTAGGATAGAGTGTATGAGTGTGCTATTCCAATATACCCACCCTTGTGAGACTGTCCCCAGTATGATGGCAAGACTGAATAATAGTTTCAGGTCCCCACAATGATCAACAGGCCCCCACAACGATGTCCCCACAATGATAAATATCTTTATTTTCAATTTCATCAGTTTTTACAATATCTAATATTGATTAGAATGTCAAACTCTCTATAAATGCCAAAAATGGTCTTGATTGCATGGGTGGATCATGACGTCCCCATAAGTATTTTCTGAGTCAAGGGTCTGACAAATACCTATATGCCGGTATGTGTGGGTGCGTGTGTGTGTGTGTGTGTGGGGGGGGGGCGGCAATTTGAGACGCCTGACGAATTTACCCCACAACTGAAAATATGTAACATTTGGCACTTTTGATGTACGTGACGATGCTGAACATTATGGAACAAATTTCACGCAGTTGGTAAATGCGCGATCTAGCTTAGCTTGTGGAGTGGGGCAGTGGTAGTTTAGGACGTTTTTCCAATTAGAATTTCCCACCATGGGAATTATTGATTTTGTCGATGGTCTAAGAGCGGAAAAGCATTTGTGATGCACAAAAATATTCTCAGCATGCCGAAAAAAGTAACAAAAAGTTAGAAAAATTGTGGATTTTATACGTCGAATGGGTACGAAAACCAGAACGACTGTAAATTTTTTTTTTCTTTTTTGTCTTAGGCCGATTTTGTTGGATTTTTTTTCTCCTGAAGTTGTACTCATATAGACTTTTCATAAAAAGCAAGAATCCTTTGTTTCGGATTTTTTCCCTAGCTCATGTAAATCCGAAATGAAATGAAATAAAATGAAATGGGGTTTAACGTCCTACTGTTCTGCTCCTATACTGGGCTAATGAAGACGGGCATACGCCATACAGTGTGCTATGAGGGAAATTTTGCCCGGGCAGCGGCACTATCACCTACTCTTATATCGAATTCCAACTGCCAAGGGATCTTTTACGTGCATTCTAATGTATACACGGGAATGTAAATCCGAAGTTCTCCTACCATTATTCCTGCTTAAAGATGCATTATTCAAGAGCTAAATCTGCCCATTGTGGATCTTTATTTAAACCTTAAATGTTGTATAGAATATTAATTAGACATTTATTAACAGCCAAGACCACAATCAGCCATGGGATGGCTCCGATATTGAGTAGATTAGAACGGTTCGGCCATTTAATTTATAAATGAAGAAGTGAGGCTAAGTCTCGAATAACCAGTACCTAAGTACCATGGTAACGAAAATAAACAATTAATGCACACATCTTGTCAAAACTACAAACAGTGATAACTTCGCTCAGAGTAAAGTAATTTGAATGATATTTTCTCTCTCTCTCTCTGGATCCCAGAAGGATTAAGTTTAGGGTTAGTGGGAGATAATTACTAACTCTAAGCCGGGATTCCCTACAGACCAATCTTTCTAGTGGCAATGCCCTACCACATCGGCCTAACTTTCTTTTCCCTAACTAATCCGATTTAACTAAACGGCTTCTTCTCCCCCCAAAACGGATTCTTCAGATTCAAAATGGCGGCCATCAGAGAAACCACCGAATTGTATGTACATAATCTTCAAAAATGCAAACAGTAATATGAATAAATTGTGTAAGTGAACGGCATTTGACTTGTCTATTACACAGTTAATAGCATACGCGATATTAAACAAGTGTGTGAGAAAAACCCACAAACGAACATGTGTTCCTTCTCTTGGATCTGATGACACAGACGCTCGGGTAGTGTCTGCAACCATATTATTGACCCAAGCAGTATTCTAGTTCATTTCATAGCAAAAAAAAAACAATTTAGTTAAAAAAAAAAACAATTTGATTTCCAGAAGTGTACATGGCGACTTGGGTGTAAAAAATAATATATCTGTGGTAGATGATCTTGAGAATGAGTGCTCTCGATTTTTCAGGCATAAATTGCCTTCTCCTCGACTACATCTACTTTGTCTATACAAAATATTGTTTATTGTGCATACGATTCCTGATTGTATGGCTGTTCACGAATACAGATCACTCTGTAACCTATGGGATTTTTTTGTGTGTTAACAATCAATTCTAGTTTAGTTCAGTTATATTTTTTATTTGACCAGCCGTAAGACGTACACAGGTTACACACGGTACAACTTGTATTATACATTTTAAATTGTAGAAGAGACGGCTATTTGGACTAGACCGATCGAGATTAGCGAAGGGGTTAATAATGACTGGAAGATAACCACTCCACCCACCACCGCCCTAGTTCCATCATTTATCAATAATGTCGGTAAAATACACAAAATATGAATACAAGACTTATATACAGACAACCATTCAAAGGATTTTGAGTTGCAGATGAAGTAGGACACTTGGGTGGTGGTGGTGGTGGTAGTGTTGTTCGTTTCAGAAGTTGAGGAATATAATCCTGCCAGAATGTGACTCGTCTAGCGTGTATGTACGTCTTGATTTCAGGATTCCCCGAGTTGGGAAAATACAAATACTCTTGTTTATCGTTGGTGTAGAGTTTCCATTCTTGTGGTACAGCCCTGGGTTTGTTCGGGTTTCTGAAGAGAAAATTTGGATGGTTTGTTATTTCAGTACTGTTTGTTTTATGGTTTATTGATCAACTGGGCTGCATTGAACTTTTGAAACGCATTTTGCGGAAGCCGCCGTTGCTTAGTCAGTAAGACGCTTGCGATCCCGGGTTCGTTCCCGGGTTGCCCGAAGCGCTTATCACTTGTCAGTGGTGCAGGATGGAATGAAACAGAATGTCACGTGTACACATTGGCATGTTTGCAAAAGGGCCCTTGGCAGTTGGAATTCGATGTAAGAGTAGGCGTGGCGCCGATGTACGGGCAAAATTTCCCTTATTGTACATTGCAGGCCTATGGAGTGTGACCGTCTTCATTAGCCCAGTTGGTGCACAGCGGGTTGACATCCACCCGTCACAAACTAGGTCATTTCGGAAGTAACATATATGGTTCAATAAATTTTAATAATTCGTTTGCGGACTGGGGTCTTTAGCTGTGGGGGAAAATCGGAGGAACCGTAAGAAAACCTGCGAGGTTGGACAGGCATCAACTCCTTGCGAGATAGTAAAACCACACCACTTGACTCGATGACAGGCCTTATGATCTAAAGCCCGCGGGGTTGATCATTTAACTACACCCACCCCACCCCACCCCATACGACAGAAGAGTACATCATTTGGTTTGACTAAATAAATTTAGTTTAAAACGATGTAGTAATTCAGATCAAACGGTATGTTAGTTTCAAGTTACGTGTCGGCGATAATATAATCCATCACTTACCCTGATTTAGCAAAGTTAGTCCAATAGTCCATTACGATTTTACAAAATGGCCATTCAGCCGCTGCCTGTTCCTTTGTAAATCCATTGAGTTTCATAGAATCTGGGAACCCAAATATGTAAATCAGCTCCTGACCATGTGTAGCCCCTTTCAACCATTCGTTTCCCGGAGGCATGTAAGGATACTGATGATTGAATTCATACTGGTAGGTTTTAGTTTTACCGTTCATATAGGAATGACTTGCTGTATCTTTATAAGCAGGCAGAAGAAACCAGATATCCGTCAAGTAATCACTGACTTGTTTTAAATTAAAATTCACGTCGTTGGGATTCTCGGCGTTCGTGTATAGATGCATCGCAGCCTCCACCAGAGCTTCTAATGAGTTGGAATCGGGAGCTCTCGTCTTTAAAACGTCAGAATTTCTGATAAAATGGCGGAAAAGATTTCGCAAATCTTCAATGGATCCATTTTTCATCTTTTGAATCATGCCAACCCCGACGAATTGAAACATGTAATGTCCTTCATATCCATCGGTTCCCAGTAACAAATCTTTGCTCTGATAAATATTTTTTAATTCACCTGTATGGTTGGGCTTCTGTGGCCAATGGACGGTGTCTAATTTATCAAGCGGGAAACTCGGAGCCCAGGTAAAATCTTCTAGACCATATCCATATTTCAGCATATCCTGTACTGTAGCGTTCTGAAGACATTTCACAATCTGCTCACTGGTTATTTCTCTGTCTATTGGCGGTAACGAACAATTAAACCGCATAGCTAATTTTTTGGCCTGTTTAAAATTTCCTTCTGGTGTGGATTGGGCAAATGGTGAATTTAAGGAGCCACTTTGAGCTATACCTCTTTGAAATAATGTCTCGTTTTCAAATAGCATGTGATACATAACGCTGGAGCTCCCAGCAGATGATCCAAAGATGGTTATCATAGAGCTGTTTCCACCAAAACTATCAATGTTAGCGTTCACCCATTTTAGGGCAGTTCGCTGATCAATTATTCCAACATTTCCAGGAGCATGTTCATCCCCGGTCGATAAAAATCCAAAAGGTCCAAGTCTATAGTTGATGGTCACTAATATCACATCGGTGTAACCTGTCAGTAGTTCACCTCCATATAAGGAAGAATCACCGGAAACGAAGCCACCGCCATAAATAAAGACCATTACGGGGTATTGTTGATTCCCCCGAGAAACGTTATATGGTGTAAAAATGTTTAACCTCAAGCAATCCTCGTCCATTTTTGTTGATTGACCAGCCACATAGATAACTTGAAGACAAGATGGACCATAATCGTAGGCTTCAAATACATCGGTTACATTTCTTGATTTTAAAACGGAATGCTTGAAACGCTCGGGGGGCTCGGCAAAAGGGATACCTAAATACTGTACAATGGTCACATTATTATCGTCAATAGAGACTGTTTTTGTTTTGCCTTTGATGATCCCCGCATCGGTGGTACTTGTGGTTATAATTACAGCTTGATTTACAAACATCAAACAGCTTACAAAGAGTAACAAAATCTTGACTACCTTAGCCATGATGTTGATGTGTTTGTGAACTACGAGGGAGTAGTGCACGACGTTTGTGGTTGACTATACTATTTTAATCAAATCGGTTGAGTATATTGACTAAACCGGACAGACAACACTGAATAGCATTACTCAAGGTGTCTTTTTAAGCTAACAACTTGTATATAAACCGGTTTGAATAAGAATAATACCCTAACAGTATAGGCCGTTCTATTTATACTTTATGACCGACATAGCAAAGATCGCAATCTTTTATAATGGTGACTACAAAGAAGGATTGGTGTTGAATATGATTCATATATGTGTAATATTTTTTTTAAGACAAAATGAAAACTTATCGTTTCTCTGACGTACAAATACGTTTGACAGTAGAATATTGTCAGACTCAGAGTGCCCAAATAAAATGTTCGTTTCGTTTGTAACGTGTAAGTCCATGTAAAAGACATGCCGCCACTTTCCATTCTATGGTTACGTGAGGGGTTTTGCTCGAACAGAAAGTATATCTTGTCGTTTGTATGGTTCGAGTCTTTTATATAAATTGCTAGTTCATATAAAACATATGTTAACAGTTTGATTTTTACAGTTACATTTGCAAAAAGAGAGGGATTTTGCTCAGATTGAAAGTATGTCTTGTTTGTATGTACATTAGTCCATGTAAAAGATACACATATATCATAGCAGTTTCACCTCTATAGTTATGTTTGCAACAAGATAGGGATTTTGCTCTGACAGCAAGAATGACTTGTCCCTGGCATGGGGCAAAATTTCGATGTCCCGCACGTGAACTGTTATCCCACGTAAAAGACACTATATCTTGTAGTAAAGGGTTAGACCATATAAAATATCAAGTGGCAGTTTGATTTATATGGATACGGTTGTCAGTCAGAGAGCAAGTAAAAGACCCACTGTTTCACGTCCCTGCAGTATGATGAGGATTTTTCTGGAACAAAAAATATGTCGTGTTGCTGGTTGGGGACGCAAAATCGAGGTCCCAAGTACTATTATTGGTGGGTGTAAACGATTCCTTGCAATTCGACTAGGAGTATCCCCCCCCCCCCTAGACACAAATATTATTACAAAGATAACCCTAGAAACCAAATAACCAATCGTCAGTTTCAAAATGACACAAGGGAATGAATTGTGGCGGCTGAGTGAGTAAGGTCCGTGGTTCGACACCGGTGTTGGTCAAGAAAGTTCCGCAGGAACTTCCAGCGTCACGGGTCTACCGAGAAAGTGTCTAGTTCGGGTGGTTCGACCCCGTTGTTGGTTGACTCCGTACCGCGGAATATTCCGGTGTGGTTCCCGTTGTCAGCAGTGCAGGACTGCGGGTTTGGCAAGGCACAAGGGACGAAAAACCGAGGCCCCGTGTACACGTTGGTGTGCTTGTAATATAACCCTTGACAGTTAGAATTCGATATAAGAGTAGTGCCGCTGTCCGGGCAAAACTGCTTTCATAGCAAACTGTATGGTGCACGCCCGTCATCATTAGCACAGTCGATGCAGAAATGTAGGACATTAACCCGATTTCATTTCATTTCACAACTCTAGATCAAATCACCAGATCATATAACATAGCCAAACATTTTATCCCCGATTCAATTGGACATTCTGATACTATTGACAAAAACCTACAAAGCGTGTCGTGGAATTTCCCCATTATAAATTAAATTGTATGGTGAATAAACATTCACAGTCGCTGCTCCGTGGATTAAAATTAAATAAATCTGTATAAAGTCCGGTTGGTTTCGACATATCATATGGTTATTTTGCAATCTTTGTTTTGAGAATATAAACGGGCTGTCCCACAATAATTTAGTTAGATTACAATGTAGTGTAAAATAAAACGAAATTAAAATGTAATTTAATATTAAATAAACTGTAATTAAGCAGAAATCCAATTTTAAGTGCTCTGAATCCACTTCTTTTTGGGTGTGTGTGGGGGATGGGGGGTGGGGGAGGGGGCGGTTCTGACCTGAATTACTTCAGATTTATAAATATTTTACTACACGTCCGATAGATAAACCTTATAGTCTTCACGTTGATAAATAATTTAGATTAACGTTTATATCCTTCTTGTTGCTAAATAGTTTACTATATGTGGGTTAGATGAACGTTTATAGACTTCATGTTGCTGAATATGTTACTATATGTACGGTAGATGAACGTTTATAGTCTTCATGGTGATAAATAGTTTACTAATAATAGTCTTCAGATTTATAAATCGTTTAATATACGTACATTAGATAAACATAGTCTTCATGTTGCTAAATATTTTACTATATGTACGGTAGATAAACGTTTAGTCTTTATGGTTATAAATAGTTTACTATACGTACGTTAAATGCACGATTTATAAATCGTTTAATATACGTACATTAGATAAACGTTTAATTCCTTCTGTTTGGGATATTGTTTTCTACATCCCCATATTCGTTCTGGGCTCACTTTAAAGGACACTAATTAATGACACTGAGAATGAAATAGGCAATAGTAAATACACCACGGGTGAAAAGACTGAACAATGGGTTATACAACGCAGAGTTGACCTACCATATCTATCTATATATATAGAGAGAGCGAGAGAGCGTACAGGTATATATTTGTTCACACACAAATCTGAATTAACCCAAGCAAGACGTGCTGTGTACGGTGGGTATGTTGAAATTATTACTGTTAGTACTGACTGTAGTATAAACTTTTGTCAGTTATGTTAATAAAACTATGTAACGAAATGGGACACGGGGGGGAGAGAGAAATGGGACACTGGGGGAGAGAGAGCACTCGCTATCCAAAAGGTGAAATTTGTGGAAACCAGATCCTTTTGTCTATGTTTGTCTATGACCCTCACCAACAATCCACTAGTTTGAGATCGTTGGTGCAGAAAGGAGCTTTTCGGTGGAAACTATGGTGCATTATTTTTAAATAAACGAGAACTCGTACGGTAAACGATACTAGTCATTACTTATACACAGAATGTGACAGTATTTTAAAATAAATGAGAAGCGGTATCAGGTGTTATAGAATGAGTACAAGATAAGAATCATTACTTATACACAGTTGGCTTCATAAATCAGTATAAATTTATCACCGTATGATACAGTGAGTTTATCACCTTCTGTACGTTATTGTGAGGGATGAGGGTCGAATGGTGTAACGAGCACACGTTAGATCATACGGTCTGTCATTGAGTCAAGTGGTGTGGTGACATGGTGACAAGGAGTAGGGTCGCCTTTAAGACCTCGTGGGTTTTCTCCGGGTCCTTCGCCCCCCCCCCCCAAGTTAAATACCCCTTAATGCAAGCGAATTATTGAAATGACCTAGTTTGTGACGTTCAACCACATCTCCCGCTCCCCCCACCCCCCTCTCTCTCTCTCTCTCTCTCTCTCTCTCTCTCTCTTTTGAATAAATCAATCATATCATTTAGTCTCTAGAGCGTTTTGTTTATGTAATATGTGATTTACTGTTTGAATTTCAGTTCAACATTCTAATTAAGATGAGGTTGGTGACAGCGGCCCTTCTGTGCCTTCATCTTGTTCTACAAGCTGAATCTGCAGATCGAATCGTCACTACCAATGTTGGACTAATTAAAGGAAAATCAAAAACTGTTAACATAGACAATAGCAACAAGGAAATCTATGAATTTCTGGGAATTCCCTTTGCAGAGCCCCCTGTGCGCTTTATGAAACCAACAGCCAAAGCCAATTTTACAGAAACGTTTGAAGCCATGGAGTATGGGCTACCGTGTCCACAGTATGCTACAGGGGGAATTTATCTGACCATAAAAATGCCAGAGATTACCAGTGAAGATTGTTTAAGTTTGAACATCCACACACCTAATACCGTGGGTTCCTATCCCGTCATGATTTTTATCTACGGTGGAGGATTTTCCGTGGGACGATCATCTTCGTACAATGGGGAAATCTTAGCAGCTTATGGCGAAGTGATTGTTGTCACAATAAACTATAGAGTTGGACCGTTTGGATTTTTATCAACGGGAGATGACCAGGCACTAGGAAATTATGGCTTGTGGGATCAACATTTAGCTATAAAATGGGTGAACAATAATATTGATAGTTTCGGTGGAGATGTATCTCGTATTACAGTATTTGGTGAATCAGCAGGAGCCGGAAGTGTTAACCTACAAATGCTTCATGCGGGTAATGATGGATTATTTCAAAGGGGTATAGCTGAAAGCGGAGCGGCGAATACCATTTGGTACGACACCCCGGCTAATCTGATGTACAGTGCCGCTAAACAACTGGCTCTCAAGATGAACTGTTCTCTACCAGCAGATAAAAATAGCCAAGAATTGGTCAAATGCTTGAGAAGTCAAAACTTTACCGAAATAGCAAAACAGGCAGAAGGCATTACTTTTTCACCATGGGTGGATAGAGAGTTTCTAACAGCCGAATCCTTAGCGTCAATTCAATGGCCGACAACTCACAACAACTCCATACGATATCAGAATTTTGATTTCATAACTGGAGTCAATGGTTATGATGGACATTACTTTATGATGACTATATACTCACGCATGATTGATACCATGAAAACAAGCCCCACTAATGTTTTAAGAACTATGTTTCGGGGGTTTGTTAAGGGTTTTATGACACCGATGGCACCGAACCCAAATTCTCTAGAAGCTATCGTAGATGCGGCTATGTTTTTATACACAAATGCGGAGAACCCGGATGACCTGAACCATAACATGAAACAAGTAACAGACTTTGTCACTGATTACTTCTTTTTCGTCCCCGGTTATAAAGATGTACACATTCATAGCCACATGAACAACAAATCTAAAACATATCAGTATGAATTTAATCACGTGTTCCCATATATGCCACCGGGAAACGAGTATCTCTTGGGAGCCACGCATGCTTCCGAATTAATGTATGTGTTCGGCTTCCCTTCATCATTAAATGACTTTTTCAACTATACAAGAGATCAAGCAGCCACCCAATGGACTACATCTAAACAAGTAATGGACTATTGGACCAATTTTGCAAAAACAGGGTAAGCTAAATATTTGAATATGAACACTGAATGCTGTGAATATGCTCGAACTGTCCATAAACCAAACAACAGGGTCGTACCCACACCATCCACTCCCCAGAACAAAATTTTAAGTGAACATTCTTATAAATTTAAATCAAACTTTTTCAAGCAAAATCAATAGAAGCAAACTATTTTATCCGCGAAGATTGTTTGATGATTTGCCAGATTACTCAAGCAGGGCTATGCAGTCCTCTTTCGTAATGCCCATGATGTCTATAGAATAGCCTCGAAATATGCTAAACATTCATTGTGTTAAATGTATTACGCCATTTTAAATTTTATCCATTCTTAATCTTTAATGTTTTGTATCTTGCAGAAATCCAAATAAACCGAAATCTGTACTAGCGGAATGGAAACCGTTCAACCATGATAATCAAGACTATTTGTACTTTCCAATGACCGGAAATCCAAGAGGTGAAACGTTTCTGAACGCTCGTCGTGCCGAGTTTTGGGTACACCTTTTACCTAAAGTTATCAAAAACAGTGCTGCTGTGACACCTGAAACTAAACCATGCAAACCTACCTCCAGCAGTAGTACTATTTATAGCAATATTCTATTGTGCGTTATTCTTGTGGCAATGGTTTTGAAAGCAACACCGTAATGATCAGCAAAATGGAGGATGGCGTTTCTAACGGATATTTTTTGCTAAAACGGCATAATAGATGAGATAGTATATCACACCCATTAACAATTTTGTTGGCGCATTTTCTTAAACCGCATATTGATTAAAATGGCTTAGTTTTGATTTAAAAAAAAGTAATTGTCAATTTATTGCATTTATATTCTGAATTGTTTTATAAAGGGCATTTTTCAGAAACTGCATAAAATATTTTAATGGCTTGTATTTTTCGTATATTTCGTAACAAAAATACCAATTAACATTGCAAACCGATTTCTTTGGATTTGTTTGGTTAAGCGGGGTTTTGGCTATGTCCTAAAGAAGCTAAACCTTTAAAAGAAATAAAGTATTGAATTAGCATGATTAATAAGATTGGTTAGTCGGCTTGTTTACTAATTTTATCTTACTTCGTTATTCCACAAACAAATCAACATCTATTATTGAGTGAAGCGTGGGTAAGCGAATTATTGAAATAAAACTATATATTATGTATCCTATGTTAGTTCCAAAATGATCAGGTTTGGTTTATTTTTATGATAAATTATGACCTAATTAACTATCTTTACAATTTAATCAGTTTATATATTTATATACCAATAACAAATAAATATATTTTTTAAAATTCTTGTTGAGACCCGACTCTTTCCTTAGACTTGTTATAATTATTATGGGGGGTTTACGACCATACGAAAGAAATGAAATGAAATGCTCCTAACCTGGGCTAATGAAGACGGGCATACGCCATACAGTGTGCTATGAGGGACATTTTGCCGGGGCAGCGGCGCTACGGCCTACTCATATAACGAATTCCAACTGCCAAGGGACCTCGGGTTTTCGTCCAATCCGAACGACTAGACAGCTGTCCTTGTCAGGCCCTTCGTCCTGCATCACTGACAAGGGGAAACCACGCAGGAAAATCGGGATGAACTTTCTCCTCCAATGCAGGGATCGAACACCCGACCTCCAGGCTAGCGAGCCAGCGTCCTACCCACTTAGCCACGTGATCCCCCACCATACGAAAGACAGGGGAAACTGAGAAAAAATAGTCTTATACTTCTGAATCTGCAAAAATAGGGAATGGGTCCGAAATAGTGACGTCGGTTTTCGTGGGAGTGATATTAGGGCACGCGGGGGTCTTCAAACACGCCCAAAAGTCATTTGCTTATATAGTACGGTTCGAATATTTACAAACACCGCAAGGTTGGAAAAAAATGTATATGTCTTATAGCAAGTATAAGGGGTATGTCAGGATCCCACGACCATTTCCTTAACATTTGTTAGTGATTCATTGTCTAACGAGAATTTTATACATTGTCAGCTACTTAATGTCGAGTATAATGTTGAAAATAGAACGCGAGGCAGTGGCAGCATTAGCATTGGACAAGAAACTAAGAGTATTACATTATCGGAAACAAGGGGTCTTGTGGACCCCCCCCCCCCCCGTCTCCTTTAAATATTTTGCTGGTTACAAGTGCCAAATCTGTTCTGTGCTCGGTGCTAGCTTTGTATTTGAAATCTTTCTTACTATGATATTGTGTTGATCCTTGTAGTAATCTAGATCTGAAAACAAATCCAGGTACTCTGCCAACCCCGTAAAAAGACGACTCTATCTGGAAATGACAATTAAGGTATATTTGCCGATATTTATGGTTTCAAAAATATCTTATTAATCATATCTTCACTGTTAATGTCTCAAATATTTTTTTTACTTTGATTGATCGTTATGTAGTCTTTATATGAAGCTCTAGTTTGATCGTATTTGAATAACATTTTGCATCCAAAACCCTACTTATGTCTGGGGTCTTAGATTACCCCTTGTTGCCGACAAGGTTTTTCGTGCGATGTGTCTGCATAAGGTTTAAGGTGTCTAGAATACAACTTGTACCCCTGCTATCGGCATTGTAATTTTGTAGACATTAATGAATTCATGTCCTTCGATAGTTCCATAATATGTTTCACATTTACTTATTATATCTATCTATGGAAATGAATTGGGATTTAAGGTCCTACTATTCTACACTTACCGGGCTAATGAAGACGGGCATACGCCATACAGTGTGAGAGAAAATTGCAACGGACAAGCGGAAATCACACCGGAAAATTGTATTTATGCTCCGACTCCAACCCACAACTACTACTGAGGATTATCGCCCGCTTTCACCTAGAGTGACACAAACCCTATGTTTAACTACTACTAATATGGGATTGTGTCCACTTTCACCTTGGATGATTAGGTATTTATGCCAACTTCTACCAAGGTGCCCGAATCAGAAACAAAACGACCACAAGAAAGTAAACACTGACTGACTCGGTGTTATACTCAAAGTATTTTATCAATAAAGGTAGGGATCACGTAATTTCGTTTGTGATTGGGGTCTATAATCCGCTTCCCTCTACGGTGATATCGCAGACAAATGCTTCCTGTGAAACCTGCCAGCATTGCTAGTCGTGTTACAGTGTTTTGAAAAATTCCAAATCCCTTCCAAATTAAGAAATCTCTATGAGGAATATCAGTCAAAGTACGGTTCAATTCTTTTCCGTGTATACAAATATATGATGGATTCACTGCAGAAGAAATAAACAACATATAATTTTCTGATATCCTGATTACTCCAACTTATAATCTTCCACACATATATTAATAAATAAGTTAACTTTGGAAATGTTAAGTTGACCTGTGAATGAACTGTGTGAACACCTTGTCGCTTGACGTATTTGACAATCGTTCTCCATGAAAAGGTAACCACCTCTTGTTAGGCATGACTGAATGTTTTGTTGATAGTTGTATAAGAGATTTTATTTACGATGTCACCAGAAAGCTGTTATACAGATCAAACATATCTGATCGAAAGTATTAAAACGCAATTGTGTTAAATATATATACTTGACTCCAACTTTCCAAATAGAGAGATATCGTAGAAAACTGGAGATTTTTTTAGCGGATATTATAGGTTATCAAAATTCAAGCCGTGAACAGGTTTATGTAACGCCCGATTGGACGATTAAATGATATCACAGACACGAGACGGCTATTTCATTGTGATTATAAATAGCACGTATTACAAAGCGGATTCAAATTTTATACAGTTTTATTAGATCAAGCCGTGAACGAAGACGCAGTTTGGTTTCGTAGAAGACAACATGGGCATCTCTACACCTAAAGCGTTAAAAACATTACTTCTACTAAACGTGTTTCTTGTTGGACTTGCCGCTGAAATTAACACAACTACAACAACCGCGGGGATTATTAAAGGTAAAACAAAAACGGTCTCTATTGACAATGATAATAAAACAGTTGTGGAATATTTGGGCATACCCTTTGCCGAGCCTCCAGTTGGAAAGTTACGATTTCAACACTCCATTTTAAAATCCAGCAATTCAACCGATATGTTTGAAGCTTTTGAGTATGGTCCGTCTTGTCTCCAGATTCATCCGATTCTAATGAGGGCAGTGGAAAATGCTAGCGAGGATTGCTTAAGCTTGAATATCTTTAGTCCCATGACAGTAGGGACAGAAAGATATCCCGTCATGTTTTTCATCTACGGTGGAGGATTTGTGAACGGTGAGTCGTCTATATACGGTGGAAGTAGACTAGCGGCATATGGAGATGTAGTTGTTGTGACCATCAACTACAGACTTGGAGCTTTTGGATTTTTATCTACTGGGGATGAACGTGCTCCTGGAAATCTCGGAATAATTGATCAACGAACTGCCCTAAGATGGGTGAACGCTAACATTGATAGTTTTGGTGGAAACAGCTCGATGATAACCATCTTTGGAGAATCGGCCGGTAGTGCTAGCGTTATGTATCACATGCTATTTGAAAACGAGACATTATTTCAAAGAGCTATTGCTCAAAGTGGTTCTATTAATGCAGCTTGGACCCAATCAACACCAGAACGCCAGTTTAATAATGCTAAAAAATTAGCCATGTTCTTTAATTGTTCGATATCGAACGAAAGATCGAAAGCCAGTGAAGAGATTTTAAGTTGTCTCCAAACATTGAAAGCCGAGGATATTTTATTATTTGGTTCAGATTTGTTGGCCTATTCCTGGGTTCCAATTTTTGATAATTCTAAACTGGACACCATCCAGTGGCCCCAGAAACCCAACCATACAGGTGAATTAAAAGATGTTTATCAGGGCAGAGATTTGTTATTGGGAACTAATGGATATGAAGGTCATTATTTCATTGAAACAACATTTAGGAACATTGGTTCGATGATGAAAAATAGCACAATTTCAGGATTACGCACTCTCTTTAGACGTTTTCTAAAAGATCTCGTTACACAGGCCTATCTTGCAGCCGATGCTAATTCGATGGAAGCCTTGCTTGATGCCATGATGCATCTTTACACAAATGCCGAGAATCCAAATGATCTCGCCTTTAATTTGAAACAAGTTAGTGATTCCTTAACAGACATGTGGTTTCTTATCGCTGCTTATAAAGATGCCGCAAGTCATGCTTATATGAATGATCAGACCAAAACATATCAGTACGAATTTAACCATGTCTATCCCTATTTGACAATTGCTATGGGCAGCGACTGGTTGAAGGGTGCTTCACATGGCTTAGAACTTTTTTATGTGTTTGGATTTCCGACAACTTTAACTTCATTGATGCCATTTACCCCACAGATGGCTGCAAGCCAGTGGTCACTTTCTAAACAAGTCATGGATTACTGGACGAACTTTGCCAAAACCGGGTAAGCTTCATAATTCTTTTCAATAACTCATGTAAAATATATTGTATCACTTTTGGCTAATTTGGTGCGAAGGTTCGTTTGACTCTTTGAAAACATGGTCAATCGTAGGCCTGTGCTGTAGTAGATTATATCTGTGAATATTTCTAAAAGGTAAATCGATACTTTGTGTCGGCTAACAAACTCTGCAAAAAATAAATTTAATGACATTTGAAACATGACACAGCGACAGCGACGCTACGTCTTACTCGTATTTCGAATTCCATACACGCCAACGTTTATACGCGATCTGAGTTATCCGATTGGCTAGGCACTGTTTGTTGCCGGATCCTCCGCCCCGCAGCACTGACAATAGGAAACCACGCTGGAATATCAGGATTGAAGCCCGCATATCCTGATTAGTGAGTCAGCTCCTTATACGCTGCGCCCCCGTCATGGTTGCCTTGAAAAGTTGAATACGGCCCAATAGACCAGTAAAAAAAAACAGTACTGAAATAACTAAACAAACCATTCAAATTTTCTCTTCAGAAACCCGAATGAACCCAGTACTGTACCACTAGAATGGAAACCCTACACCAACGATAAACAAGAGTATTTGTATTTTCCCAACTCGGGGAATCCTGAAATCAAGACGTACATACATGCTAGACGAGTCACATTCTGGCAGGATTATGTTCCTCAACTTCTGAAACGAACAACACTACCACCACCACCACCACCACCCAAGTGTCCTACTTCATCTGCAACTCAAACCAGTTTGAATGGTTTTCTGTATATAAGTCTTGTATTCATATTGTTTGTATTTTATCGACACGACTGATAAATGATGGAAATAGGATCGAATGCTTATCGTCCAGTCAGTATTAACGCATTCGCTAATCTCAGTCGGTCCCATCAAAACTGCCCTCTCTTTCGCAGTACAAGGGTTACATTATATAACTGTATGGACTGGATAACAATACAATATAATGCTTGATAAATTTTAGACTTGAATATCTATTCTCTTCGGGTAAGGAGTTTTATCGCTTTTTGAAGACTAATCATTTAGAATGGCTATACATTTTGAATTCAGTAATGAGACTAACTGATCTGTGCTACCAAGCATTCTTTGGTCTTGTTTATGATACAATGTGATCAAGTAAAAAGTTATCCTAATCCTAAATATTGTGGTTTATGAATGATAGCTCCCTTATTTTTATTAAAGGACTCCTTAATAAAAGGCAAATGTAAACTTTCAATTCATTCATACTATTGAAGGCCAGCTCCTTTAAAAGCTATTATTTCGTTTCAAATTTCATAATATCGTTGACCTAGAATGCGAGATCGAAGAACGATATACATCATCGGTTGTCTATCTTTATGGAAGTGTATCGCTGCCAATGTTAAATGCTCTGCGACAATGTCGTTTCCACTGATTATATATATATGTAAAAAGTACAATATACAAAGTCCTAATACCGATAATGATAAAGTCAAAATACCTCTAAGGCAAAAGTTAAATGTAAAAAGTCAAATGTTAAGTGGTAAATGACCAAGGTTTTGTTGGGAAAAGCTTTTTTTGACGTGTCTACATTTTACATTTCTCTCATTACATTTTACTTTTGGGCTCTGTCACATATCCCATTTGTCTTTCACGCTTTCTACATAGCATCTTTCACACAGCATCAAGTTCCATATGCTAATGTTGGATACCACGTGACTTATTAACATATACGGAAACCCGGCACACTATAAACCAGCACACAAGAAGGATATTAACCGCACGATAACAGTAAATCAAGCTGGTATATAAGAAACTATCTAGACGACCGTGCGCAATTATGAATGTGCCAGGAAATAATTGATCGATTCAAAGAGCCAAAGAAACATACTTTCCAGTAAGTTATAACACAATAACTAGAATTTCGTATTAATACCCGTACTTTGATATATTAAACACCCCCTCCGGTCTCTCTATAAACAGAGTTGAGTACAGCCTAATTAACTTTGATCCATTAAAAAAAACAATATATAAGCATTGTGCCCAACAAATAAATAATATATTTAAAGAGAGGAATAACTATACATTTTTTAGTATGGAAATAGTTTTTGATTAAGCCCCGTATCTTTATTTTAGTTTAGTTTAGTTTGGCATAAAACTATGAGTATTACATTATCGGAAATAAGGAGTCTTGTGGACATCTCCCCTCTCCTCTCCGGTCAATATTTTGCTGGTTACAAGTGCCTTATCTGCTTTGGGCTCGGTACTAGCTTTGTATTTGGAATCTTTCTTACTGATGATTATGTGTTGATCCTTGTAGTAATCTACATCTGAAAACAAATCTAGGTACTCCACCAACCCCGTGAAAAGACGATTAAGGTATTTGCAGAATTTTTATGTCTCAAATATTTTTTTTTTACTTTAATTGATTATTATTCAGTCTTTATATAGCTCTAGTTTGATCGTATTTAAGTAACATTTTGCATCCAAAACCATATTTATGTCTGGGGTCTTAGATTACCCCTTGTTGCCGACAAGGTTTTTCGTGCGATGTGTCTGTATAAGGGTTAAGATGTCTAGAATACAACCTGTACCTCTCCTATCGGCATTGTAATTTTGTAGACATTAATGAATTCCTGTCCTCCGATAGTTCCATAATAGTTTTTAATTTTTACTGATTATATCTATGAAAATGAAATGGGATTTAACGTCCTACTATTCTACACTAACCGGGCTAATGAAGACGGGCATACGCCATACAGTGTGGGAAAAAATTGCAACGGACAAGCGGAAATCACACCGGAAAATTGTATTTATGCTCCGACTCCAACACAACTACTACTGAGAATTATCGCCCGCTTTCACCTAGAGTGATATAAACCCTATAATTAACTACTACTAATATGGGATTGTGTCCACTTTCACCTACGATGACTAGGTATTTATGCCAACTTCTACCACGGTGCCCGAATCAGAAACCAAACCACCACAGTCAAGTAAACACTGACTGGCTCGGTGTTGCTCAAAGTATTTGATCAATAAAGGTAGGGCTCACTTAATTTCGTTTGTGATTGGAGCCTAATATCCGCTTCCCTCTGCGGTGATATCGCAGACAAATGCTTCCGGTGAAACTTGCCAGCATTGCTAGTCGTGTTACGGGGCTTTGAAAAATTCTAAATCTCTTCCAAATTAAGAAATCTCTATGAGGAATATCAGTCAAACTACGGTTCAATTCTTTTCCGTATTTACAACTATATGCTGGATTCTCTGTAGAAGAGGGGTATCACGGTAGCTAAGTGGGTAAGACGCTGGCTCGCTAGCCTGGAGGTCGGGTGTTCGATCCCTGCATTGGCCGAGAAAGTTCATAAAGATTTCCCGGTATGGTTCCACCTTGTCAGTGATGCAGGACGAGGGCCTGACAAGGACAGCTGTCTAGTCGTTCGGATGCGACGAAAAACCGAGGTCCCGTGTACGCATTGACGTGCACGTATAAGATCCCTTGACAGTTGGAATTCGATATAAGAGTAGGACGTAGTGCCGATGTCCGGGAAAAATTTCCCTCATAGCACACTGTATGACGTATGCCCGTCTTCATTAGCCCAGTTCGGAGCGGAACAGTAGGGCGTTAAACCCCATTTCATTTCATTTCTCTGTAGAAGAAATAAACAACATATAATTGTCTGATATCCTTATTACCTCAACTTATAATCTTACACATATATTTAGTGAATCATGAGCTGTGTGAACACCTTGTCGCTTGACGTATTTGCCAATTGTTCTCCATGAAAAGGCAACCACCTCTTGTTCGGCAAGACTGAATGTTTTGTGGATAGTTACATAAGAAATTTTATTTACGATGTCACCCGAAAGCCGTTATGCAGATCAAATATATCTGATCGAAAGTGTTAAAACGCGATTGTGTTAAATATATATATATTTGACCCCAACTTTCCAAATAGAGAGATATCGTAGAAAACTGGAGATTTTTTACTGGATATTATAGGCTATCAAAATTCAAGCCGTGAACAGGTTTATGTAACGCCCGACTTGACAATTAAATGATATCACAGACACGAGGCAGCCATTTCATTGTGATTATAAATAGCACGTATTACAAAGCGGATTCAAATTTTATATAGTTTTCTTAGATCAAGCCGTAAACGAAGACGCAGTTCGTAGAAGACAACATGGGCATCTCTACACCTAAAGCGTTAAAAACATTACTTCTACTAAACGTGTTTCTTGTTGGACTTGCAGCTGAAATTATTAACACAACTACAACAACCGCGGGGATTATTAAAGGTAAAACAAAAACGGTCTCTATTGACAATGATTATAAAACAGTTGTGGAGTATTTGGGCATTCCCTTTGCCGAGCCTCCAGTTGGAAAGTTACGATTTCAACACTCCATTTTAAAATCCAGCAATTCAACCGATATGTTTGAAGCTTTCGAGTATGGCCCGTCTTGTCTCCAGATTAATCCGATTCTAATGAGGGCAGTGGAAAATTCTAGCGAGGATTGCTTAAGCTTGAATATCTTTAGTCCCATGCCAGTAGGGACAGAAAGATATCCCGTCATGTTTTTTATCTACGGTGGAGGATTTGTGAACGGTGCCTCGTCTGAACACGGTGGAAGTAGACTAGCGGCATATGGAGAGGTAGTTGTTGTGACCATCAACTACAGACTTGGAGCTTTTGGATTTTTATCTACTGGGGATGAACGTGCTCCTGGAAATCTCGGAATAATTGATCAACGAACTGCCCTGAGATGGGTGAACGCTAACATTGATAGTTTTGGTGGAAACAGCTCGATGATAACCATCTTTGGAGAATCAGCCGGTAGTGCTAGCGTTATGTATCACATGCTATTTGAGAACGAGACATTATTTCAAAGAGCTATTGCTCAAAGTGGTTCTATCAATGCAGCTTGGTCCCAATCAACACCAGAACGCCAGTTTAATAATGCTAAAAATCTAGCCATGTTCTTTAATTGTTCGATATCGAGCGAAAGATCGAAAGCCAGTGAAGAGATTTTAGGTTGTCTCCAAACACGGAAAGCCGAGGATATTTTATTATTTGGTTCAGATTTGTTGACCTCTTCCTGGGTTCCAATTTTTGATAATTCTAAACTGGACACCATCCAGTGGCCCCAGAAACCCAACCATACAGGTGAATTAAAAGATGTTTATCAGGGCAGAGATTTGTTATTGGGAATTAATAGATATGAAGGTCATTATTTCATTGAAACAACATTTAGGAACATTGGATCGATGATGAAAAATAGCACAATTTCAGGATTGCGCACTCTCTTTAGGCGGTTTTTGAAAAATCTCATTACACAGGCCTATCTTGCAGCCGATGCTAATTCGATGGAAGCCTTGCTTGATGCCATGATGCATCTTTACACAAATGCCGAGAATCCAAATGATCTCGCCTTTAATTTGAAACAAGTTAGTGATTCCTTAACAGACATGTGGTTTCTTATCGCTGCTTATAAAGATGCCGCAAGTCATGTTTATATGAATGATCAAACCAAAACATACCAGTATGAATTTAACCATGTCAATCCCGATTTGACCCTTGATATGGGCAGCGACTGGTTGAAGGGTGCTTCACATGGCGCAGAACTACCTTATTTGTTTGGATTTCCGACAACTTTCACTGCATTGACCCCACAGATGGCTGCAAGCCAGTGGTCATTTTCTAAACAAATCATGGATTACTGGACGAACTTTGCTAAATCAGGGTAAGCTTCATATTTCTTTTAAATAATTCATATAAAATATATTGTATCACTATTGGCAAGAATTTTGCTTACTGCAGCTAATTTTGTGCGAAGGTTAGATTGACTCTTTGAAGACATGGTCAATCGTAGGCCTGTGCTGTAGTAGATTATATCTGTGAATATTTCTAAAAGGTAAATCGATGCTTTGTGTCGGCTAACAAACCCTGGAAAAAATAAATTTAATGATATTTGAAACATGACACACCAGCGAGGCCCAGTGAAGACGGGCGAACTCCATGCAGTGTGATGTGTGGGAAATTTTGTCCGTACAGCGACGCTACGTCTTACTCGTATTTCGAATTCCATACACGCCAACGTTTATACGCGATCTGAGTTATCCGACTGGCTAGACACTGTTCGTTGCCGGATCCACTGCCCTGCAGCACTGACAATAGGAAACCACGCTGGAACATCAGGATTGAAGCCCGGATATCCTGATTAGTGAGTCAGCTCCTTATACGCTGCGCCGCCGTCATGGTTGCCTTGAAAAGTTGAATACGGCCCAATAGACCCGTAAACCATAAACACACACAGTTCTGAAATAAACCATCCAAATTTTCTCTTCAGAAACCCGAACAAACCCAGGGCTGTACCACAAGAATGGAAACTCTACACCAACGATAAACAAGAGTATTTGTATTTTCCCAACTCGGGGAATCCTGAACTCAAGCAGTTTATACACGCTAGACGAGTCACATTCTGGCAGGATTATGTTCCTCAACTTCTGAAACGAACAACACTACCACCACCAACACCACCAAGGTGTCCGACTTCATCTGCAACTCAAACCAGTTTGAATGGTTTTCTGTATATAAGTCTTGTATTCATATTGTTTGTATTTTACCGACACGGTTGATAAATGATGGAACCAGGGTCGAATGCTTATCGTCCAGTCAGTATTAACGCATTCGCTAATCTCAGTCGGTCCCATCAAAACTGCCCCCTCTTTCGCAGTACATGGGTTACATTATATAACTGTATGGACTGGATAACAATACAATATAATGTTTGATAAATTTTAGACTTGAATATCTATTCTACTCGGGTAAGGAATTTTATCGCTTTTTGAAGACTAATCATTTATAATGGCAATATATTTTGAATTCAATAATGAGACTAACTGCCCTGTGCTACCAAACATTCTTTGGACTTGTTTTTGATACAAAGTGATCCAGTAAAAAGTTACCTAAACACTGTGGTTTATGAATGATAGCTTCCTTATTTTTTATTATTCCTTAATAAAAGGCAAATGTAAACTTTCATTTCATTCATAACTTATACATGTACTATACTGAAGTCCAGCTCCTTTAATCCAAAACAAAGCAAATATTTCGTTTCAAATTTTATAATATCGTTGACCTACAATGCGAGATCGAAGAACGATGGACACATCAACGGTTGTCTATCTTGGCGAGTTATGACTTCCATCATTTCTGTCTACCGTTGATTAAGAAGTCTTATGTGCTAGACGTATGGGCAATAAGGATGGAAACAAGAACTGTCAAAAGTGGGGTGCCCCATGTGCCGAAAATTTTCCCTACTAAAAGTAAGACTCGACACGGTGAATGTCCACACTTCAGTGGAAGGTTTCGAATTGATTTCTGACTAGTAACACACTCGCTTTGAGTCGATAAATAGCCATCGCACGTGAAATTCTCAACTCATCTATCAACTATTACAGCCGTAAAAAAATCTTTTGTTGACGATTCTGAATAGCAGTAATATTTAGCTTTTTGGTTATTACAGCAGCTTGAGAAATTACGTTCGTTTTATTTTTTAAATTGCTTTATCATTAATTATACCGTTAGGAGAGGCATCCTTTGGTATAGTACAAATAATATCTCTGAAAAACTCGGGTTAGACAAGAACATGATACTAGCAGTAGTTTCATTTAACTTTTATAAGGTTTTTAAAACATTTGTTAAGTTGCCTACCGTGCGTTTTTTCTAAATTCAATTTCTTGTTTCAGCCTTCTGTCGTGGTTCGTAAAAGTAGTCTTGATTATCCCGGCCTGTCAATCAGACGGAGAATGGTCGGTAGACTGGTTAAGCGAGACTAATTTCAAAACAAGGGCGCGTAACCTATTTTTTGCTCAAAAGGGCCTGGATGTTATGGACGACACCGGGAACCATTTTTCAGTATATTATTTATCGATGGTTAAATGTTCATAGCTTATTAAAGAGAGAGAGAGAGAGAGAGAGAGAGAGAGAGAGGTTAACGTCAACTCGACACAAATTAGCTCATTTCGGGACTAACAAATGGTTCAATTTTATTTCAATAATTCGCTTGCGCGTATGGGTCTTTAGCAGTGGGAGGAAACCCACGAGGTTGGACAGGCGACCCTACTCCTTGTCACGTACAAACGGGAATCAAAACCACACCAGTTGACTCAATGACAGACTTTATGATACAGCGCGCACGTGTTAACCATTCAGCCAATTAACCCCCCTTATTGAGTAAAACATGGCCGTTTATTTAGTGACTATAAATGTACCAAACAGATTTAAGGATTGGTATATATATAAATATTGTGGTGTAATTGTCGAGCTATTTTGGGGATATTTATTTATGGTCGAGTATATCATGTTCAACGGGGACAAAAGTACATTTACATTGTCTATACAAATATCAACAGTATACGTAGGCCTTACTTATGTCCCCAGAACTTATTGTAGCGAAACGATAGTTACATGTCACGTTAACTTTAATTTCATAACATTGGTTTGGGACAAATTAAGAAATAAAACATTATTTATTTCCCTTATTACTTTTGAATTCAAATCGATTTAGCCTATAAATTGTAGGCCTACACTAGTGGACCTACGTTTGCGTGGTTTTTGGGGTCCAAGGTGGCTCGGTGAGTAAGGCGCTAGCCCACTAACCATGGGGAGGAGGGCTCAATCCTGTTGTTAGTCACGAAAGCGCCTTGGGATTTTCCAGCTTGGGTTCATTGTGACAGGACGGAGGGCCTAACAAGGTACAGCGTCCAGTAGTTCGGATCAATCTGAACGAGAGACTCACCCTACCTGCAGAGAAGTGACTCTGACACAGTGAATAGCCATGATATCCATATGACGTTATCTAAACGTCACAGGTCATGAGGTCACATCAACAAATAAATGTAAACACCATCATTATGATCATTATCAACATTACAGGACACAATGTTACATTGTAAACAATAGCCTCCTTGCAGCCTAGGACTGTATAATCCGTACAGAACGTCTTATCGCTTCTTCCAGTGATTTTTCACAAAAATAACATCATCTACAACTCTAGATTTGACGTCGGCATATTGACACTATTTTGTGCTTCGGTCGTGTCTATTTCAGATATACACAATCAATTCTGTTAATGTTTTTAGCGTGGGGATTGACTAAAAGTTAATTTATTTCAGTTCTAAACAAAAATTAAAAGCTTTAACGCAATTTTAAAAAAATAGCCAAATTCTGGCTGGGATTACTGAGCAAAATGGCCATTCACTGTATAAGTGCGAAAAAAAAAGCCAGCTACCATTTAATTTTCGTACGTTAGTTACGTACGTAGTTCGGATATAACGTAAAACAAAGGTCCAGTGTGTGCATAGGCGTGCATGTAAAAGAAACCTTGACAGTTGAAATTCGAAACAAAGAGTAGCCCTAGCGCCGTTGTCTGGGACAAAATTTCCGTTATCAAGATTTCGTATATAAAAGTAGGACGTTAAACCCCATTTTATCTTTAAACGAATCGTAACTCAAGTGGGCTGTACGAAGTTAAATCGCGTTTTGTTACTCTGGATTAAATTTTGAATAACAAATCACGAGACGGAAAGTGTTTATTAGGGATTGAAACAAAATTATTTTTTCTTATAAATTTCATATCAACGTTGTCCATTAGTCAGGTAAACTGTTTCGATTTAATTGATTTATAAGGATGCCTCAGCATTATATGAAATGAAATAGAGTTTAACGTCCTAATGTTCTGAACCGACTAGGATAAGGAAGACAAGACATATGCTAAAAGCAATGTGCTATACGGGTCAATTTTGCCACTCTTACTCAGATTTCCCACTTTCTTTTACGTACATGCCATGGAAACTCTGTTTTCGTACATTCCAAAGGGATATACGCGGTCACTTGTCAGCCCCCCCGCCTGCAACACAGTCATATGGGAACCAAACGGAGAAAAATCTCGATGAACTTTCTCTTCAAACAAGGGATTTCTTGGTTAACCAGCCAATGTCTTACTCACCGAGCCACCTCGGTTCATAATTAACTTATTAGAAGGATGCCTCGGCAGTCACCATTTTTCACGTTCATGCCATAAAACAGTCCATTTTGCTTTTCGAGTTTGAATAACGAGACAGGACGAGTCACGTTCATAGGGATTCAAATTTTGAAGAATAACGAGACAGAACGTGTCAAGTAAACTACTTTTTTTAATTGACTTATAAGAACGATCACCCGATACGATGCTTTAGCAGTAAAACACGTCTTTTCACTTCTTTTTAATAAAGCTATGCTTTACATGATCAAACCCCTTTCCGTAAGATAATACGAGTTGTGTCCCCTGTTAACGGGTTTCTCTTATGAAATGAATTTTACCCAGATGTTCTGTACAAAAGTAAAACATGGACTTGTTCATTTATCATTGTTGTGTTGCCGTAGTAGGATTATTGACGAGTCAGAATAAAAGATATTCCCTTATTGGAGCAGAAAAATGATTCCGAAAATAATGAAGGTACAGACAGGGGCATTGGTTGTGTTAAAGAGAAGGGTATACACGATACAGTCTGCTGTTAGGGAAATTTTACCCAGACAGCAGCGCTACGGCCCGCTCCTATTTTGAATTCCAACTGTCAGGGTTTCTTTTCCGTTACGCAAACAGGGCCTGTCTTTCGTCCCATCCGAACGATTAGACATTGTCCTTGCCAGACCCTCCGTCCTGCACCACTGACAATGGAAACTACACCGGGAAACCACTATTTAGGTTATCAGCCGTCACCGGGGACGAACTCGAGAAATCACGGTTAGCGAGCAAGCATCTTACTGAGCCATATTAGAGTCCAAACACAATGTAAGTCTACAGATATAATGATCAGAGTGACGTAGCATACTATAAACCTCCCAAGCACCCTCATACTGCTTAGTTACTGCATTCTTCGTGATCGGCTAACGTAGTTTGGGTCTTACAGTAATCAGTCTTACATCCCGTCTATCAAGTGTATATTTTTGTTAGGTAGATTGGGTCATACAGTGCTAAGGTTACAAGGCACTAAACAAAAACGTAATGGCCCTCGTCTGGAGAGCTATGGTCTATGCCCCAGGGGTTCATAATTCAAAATATGACATTGCATCTCAATGCTCCGATTAGAGAATATATGGCTTTTGGGGTAGGTGATGACCCCCGACACCCGCCTCCCCTTTCGTCCTAACATTCCCCGATTCGCGTTTCTTCTATCTTCTTTCGTATTTTAACAGATACCAGAGGAAACATTAAATATGACACCCGCCCCCTTTTCGTCCCAACATTCCCCGATTCGCGTTTCTTCTATCTACTTTCGTATTTTAGAAGAAACCAGAAGGGACATTAAATATGACGTTATCAAAGGGGTTAATGCAGCTGTTCTTAGTATTATTTAGTATTTCGGTATTTTAGAAGACTAAAATAAATAAAATCAAATAACAACCCGATTACTACCAGGGATATCAGAAATGAAATGAGGATTAACGTCCGAATTTTCTGCACCGACTGGGCTAATGAAGGGACCCAGACTAAGCAGGAGCGAAGTTGGCAACGCGGGGGAACCAGCGCTTCCCTACCTATCCCTGCGATCCTGATATTCTTATATTAGATGCAAGACTGTGCCTTACTTTTTGAACTTGGGCAGCACCCCTTTTCCAATAAGCTAGACTGGCCTTTTTTATTTAGTTTTAAATTAATGAAGTCTTGTGTTAAGACATGCCCCACGCCACCCAATACCATAGGATATAGCGTAGCTGGCTATAAGTTTGGCATAGCGGTTATAACTTCAATGAAAACCATTAGGACAGGGTTTTTTTGTTATATTTATATATTTATAACAATCTGTTTTTATTGCACGATCATTCCAGTAAATATGTCTGTTTAGTACGGAGAACAATCGTTTCTTCATCTCGACCTGAAAAGAATGGAACTTATTTTTATCATTAAAGCAAAACATTGATGGGGTCTAGAGTAAATGGGGTTTAACGTCCTACATTTTCTGAACCGACTGGGCTAATGAAGACGAACGTACGGCACAATGTGTGCGACGAGGGACAATTTTTCCCCGGATAGCGGCGCTACGACCTAGTCTTATATCGAATTCAAACTGCCAATGGTTATTTTACGTGCACACCAACGTGTACACAGGCTTCCCGGTGTTCATCCCACCCAAATGACTATACGTTGTTCCTTGTCAGGCCCTTATAAAAAGCTTGGAAACAGAAAACTACATAAATTATATCCAAAAATATATTCAACTAAATTTTTTTATTTTATAACTTATTTATATTATATTCTGATTTCATTATTATGTTTGCACTTGTATGCTATTTTATCATTTGAAATGAATTGAATCAACCGTGTTCCATAATGACGTCGGAGAAACTGAACAATTTGACGTTGAACATTGAAGGGCACTTTGAAAGAAGCTAAAAACTTGATTTTTCGTGTAATAAGGGGTCATAATCCAGGCAGTTACGGCCCGATATTCACAAATATCGTCAGGAACCGAAATCTTTGGGATATAAACATATTTTTTTTTAAGTTTTGTCAAAATCGGATAAAAATTGTGAGCTGTCGACTGTCCACAAAGAAAGGGCGAACGGGTGGACGTCCTGGAGGAGAGGGGCGACAACAATAATACGCCCACATGAAAATGTAGGCGTATCCTGATTTGCTCTATACTGACCCCTGAGTTAATCTCATTAGTCCGAATTAGCTCAGAAAGCGTCCCCAATCAAGAGTTGCTTCCGCCGGCCGTTTCTTTAGTGAAGATAACTGGAATAGCCCATGTTAATTTGGACATATTAAATTTAAATATTGTCCGAAAAATGTAAATAACGTCCAGTGACTTTAATGTATGCTATATTTACCAGTTGAACGCTTGCTTCTAGTGGCACATGAACTCTGAAAGGATAAACATGGGGATTTAATGTATGGTCAATAAATACACTATACAAGGATTAAAAACACTTTTTAATTAAAGCCGCCTTATATAATAGTTGATATAATAATTCAACAAGCGATTGCCATGCAAAATACGTCTACATTTTGCAAGAGATAGACAGAACAAGCTAACAATTTGCATACGAGGAGGGCGCTGCGTGGATAGAGCACTCTGGCGTTTTCTCATAAGAGTTTCGTAAAACCAGAAGTACATGTAGTAGAAGTCCGCAATTGTGCGCTACAGCCTACTCTTATATCTAATTCCAACTGTCAAATATTTTTTTTATGCGCATACCAACATGTACAAACGTGTTCCCACTGACAAGGGGAAACCACGCTGGAAAATCTTAGCGAACTTTCTCAACTTAAACGAATTCCGGACGCCCTCTATAGTGAGCCAGGGCCTTACTCAGTCACTGAGACACCCCAAAACAGATACTTAATAGCCATATTCATAAATACGTTTATAAATTTATACTCACTCCATCACAATTTTTAAAACACAAGGTAAACAAACATTCATACGCAATATATTTATCATCATTTACTTGGTAGATGTTGAAATATGGACTTCTCGTCTGTCGACCAGTCGTTTTGAAACCTACATTGTGTGTAAATATAATTCCTACACCACATCTGAAATAAATACATTCAGTAAGATGTACTCTTAAATTAACTCCGATTTCGGATTTAACGTCCCATGTTCAATTCCGCCCGGTCTAATGGAGACGTCCATACGCCATACAGTGCTACATATTCTGTATTTCGGGTTCTTTCACGTGCACGCAAACGTGTACACGGGATCACGGATTTCGTGCCATCCGAAAGTTCACTTACGGTTAATCATCAGAAACAAATCATCATAGAGAGCTTGCTGCATTATTAATCAAATTACCAATCAGGTCAACATGATTCGCCATTTTACATTTGTATTGGGGTATTGATAATCATCGACGCCTAGGCAACTAGACATGTTTACCCAGACTCGTATGTGGAATTTGGAGAGTTTGTAATCCGTTGCAAAAGTATCAACAAGTTTCGGATGGTTGCGCGGAGATAAGGTTTGAATACAATTAGCCCGTTTTATTCACTATAACATAAGGATTGTTTAAAGGACAATATTGGTGTCAGTCTTTATTACTTATGTGATAGAACTAATTAAACACATTCCAAATATAATTTTAACACAGATCATTGCTACGATAGGTGGGTAACGAAGATTTAAAGAAACGTAGCAATGATCTCTGTGTTTTAACTATATTTGGAACGTGTTTAACCAGTTCTATCACACCAATATTGTCCTTTAAATTCAAGAAAATGATATATTACCCGGCTCGTAGAAATTCGGCTGACTTACGAGTTGATGTACTTATAGCCTTACACGTTACAGGTCGTATTCCGACTTCTTTATCTGAAAAAAAAACAACATTGAACAGTTTGGAAATTAAAAGTGGTGTATAATGTTGTTCATCAACCGGACAAATGAAGACGGGCATATGTCATGAATGCAGTGTGCTATGAGGGAAACCAGTGGTTTTATTTCGAATTCCATTTGTAAAAGGACCTTTATGTACACACCATCGTGTATATGTAGACATTGGACTCTCTCCATTCCAAACAATTGGACACTGTTCTTTGCCAGATCCTCTGTACACTGCAACCATGAGAAGAGGAACCGCGTAGAACTATTCGGTCAACACCGGAATCGAAGCGGAACCACATGGTTATTGTATGAAATAGCTTTATGTAACGTTCGCTTCCACCGAAGCGATATGGCAAGCCAGCGCCTTAAATAGCCACCGCGACTCCAAAATAAGGCGAAGCAAAATAGAGTATCTTGTTTCAATGGCATTTAGTAATTGAACTGGAATATATAGGGTCCCAATTCCGTGGAATACAATTACTGCTTATTACTGAGCGACATTTCGAATAGGCTTCTCTAGTCAATAGGGACCTTTCGCACCGGTACGAAAACGAATACGAAAACGAAAACGTCATCAATTCGTGTGTACTTGTGGCGTCAATCCGTAATGAGTGTTCGGCCAGTGAAAAACGTTACGCGTATGGAGGTGGATTTACGTAGGTATGCAAACGATTTCTTGTCTCATAAATTGAATTTTTCACCATTTTTCGAGCCTTTGTGTATATTGTTGATTGTGTAGCGTTCGTAGAATGTGCTCACAAGGAATATTCTGCTTGATTTGTTGTATATCTGCCGAAAAATCGATTGAAAACTTTGCCTTGACCGAGAAGTTTATGGGCAGGAAATTAACGCCATCTAGGTATTATCGTACGTCGGATTGCGAAACCGCGTGTTAGAGGATACGAAAACGAAAACGTAAACGAACATATGTTCGTTTTGGTGTTCGTTTTCGAACCGATGCGAAAGGTCCCTATTATCAAAGTGACCTGTATATAAAGAGTATGTTTTTTGTGGATAAGACAGGGGATTATTAATTCGTGAATTACTTACTGCGTCCATCAGCTGTAGCTGCAAGATAAACGGTACGGCCATTTCGAACAGCACCGGTTATACGACTACCGCTAACATCATACAGATCTAAAGATAGTGTAGATGTTGTCTTTTTTCCTGCATCACCACGAACTTCTACTGGGGACATCAAACTGGAATAAAAGGGGAAAGTCGTACTTCATAATCAGATATCGGAGAGGAATAAGAAAGGTACAATCGGCCGCTAATTGATTATCAGAGAGGAATAAAGTAACCCCTAATCGGTTATCAGAGGAATAAAGGGGTAAAATCAGTTCCAAATCGATTATCAGAGAGGAATAAAACAGTACAATTAATCCCAAACCGTTCTAGAATCGACCTATATTGAGAGGGTACACTTAATCCCTAATCAGGCAATACTGGGAAGGGTACAATTAGCCCAAAATCGACTATCAAACGAGATCAGAACGATTGTGAGACTATACTTACCGGGAGTAGGCCACTAATCGGATCATTGTGCGATTATACTTAACTAGAATAAGACTATATTAAATGGGAATATACCACTAATCAGCCCGGACTCCACAGAAGACTATATTAAATGGGAATATACCCCTAATCAGCCCGAAGTTGACTCCACAGAAGATATTATTTATCGTCTTACCCACCCAATGGAGAAGGATGTACGCTATGTAGTGTGCTATGGTTGTGGGAAGTTACTGCCCGGACAGCAGCTGAATGACCTACTCTTATTTCGAATTCAAATCGTCCTTGGGTCTTTTACGTAGTATCTGCTTAGTAGTATCTGACCAACTAGAATTTTTATCTCGGCAGACCGGGACCTCCTGCTTAGACCGCCATTGCCTTACTGAGCCACAGCGGCTTCAATTTATTGACCTACCTTTTTAATAATCCATGTTGACTGGATTGTCGTATACCAGTTCTATCGAAAGTACACGTCATTGTTCGTTTCATAACATTTCTCTGTAGCGTGTTTGATGATTCGCCATATGCAATACCGATATCCACAGTATAAACGTTAGTATTGTTCCGCCTCTATTAAACATAAATAAATAGCGATCTAAGTTGAGGCTAAACGTCTTGTCAACAATTTACTTAGATCATTTTCAGAATAACAAATGTTATTTTTTTATTTCTTTGAGTGGTGGGGTGGGGTTAATTCGTCTTGGATAGCAACGTTTCTATCTACTATTATTCACGGTATATTTAATACACTATTTTTTTATCCTCATCCGTTTTTGGACCCGGTATCCTTAAAACCTGCCTTACGTTCACCGCGACCCCTAAATATAAATAACGTCTCCGATAGGACAATATCACAGTGCAGATGGGATTAATTGTGCAATTATCAATATTACTGTGAGAAAGCACATACATTATGAAATAATAGCAAACCTTACTGCGAGAAGGGACCAACATTGTTTAATTATCCCCAATTGTGTACTTCAAGACAGCATTACTGACGGAAGGCACATACATTGTGCGCCAAATTGAGAAGGCACAGACATTGCGTACCTTATTGTCAACACTACTGTGAGAAGACGCGGATATTGTCACCAAAATTATTTTGAGAAGGCACAGGCATTCTGTATTTTATTGCCAACACTACTATGAGAAGACGCGGATATTGTATACTTATCGCCAACTTACTGTGAGAAGGCAAAAATACTTGTCTGCAGTTAAATGCCTCCGAACAGCACTGGGGCCGTTGATTTTGCCATTTATTTGAAGTTTTTGGTTAGCGAGCTAGTGGCATACCCAATGGGCCATCATTTAAGTTCCATGGTTGATTATTTGTTAAGTTGGGTGCAATATTTACCTTAAATACACAGAAATTGCTTCCAGAGAAGAATGAACCTTTCAACTGATAATTAACTCTATCAAATGACACGAAACTCTTTTCTCCATTCACACATTCGGCATGGGCTTCTATGTTCAAATCAGAAGTAATTTTGATCATTGGGGAATTACTCTGTAAGTTCACGCCACAATTACCGCCAACTAGAAAAATATATTTTCACAAGATAATGAACTTACATATTTAGCCCAATTATAATTTCAAACCGTAAACTAAGACCAGTCAGTTCTCCGTCGACCCCTGATTTGGAACGATGAACATGCTCCCGTTGATACTCAGAAACATAAAGGACATTGGTTGTGTCAAAATTATTTGGAATCGGTGTAATCAAGTCTACCACATATGTAATATTAGTGGACACCAACATCGTCCTTTATTATCGGTATCGTTCGGTGCGTCGTGGTGTATCGCTTGACACTGGTTGAGCATTATGGTTAAGCTATAAAGCAGATCAGGGGCCAGGAAAATGTGGGCGTATTAAATCAAAACAAGATTCAAAGCGATATGAAATCGAATTTAGGAACTTAATATCCTACTTTTCTACCACAACCGGTATAATAACGACGGGCTTACGTTATGCAAATTCGAATTCGTTCTGTTAACGTTTCATTAAGAAGAACGGTGTTTAGTAAGAGATGATAAAATCTATTGAACAATATATAAAGTATTACATAATAGAAATATACTGTCAAACTACCATCAAGATACAAGACATGTAATGATATATTCAATAAGTATCTAGTAATTGAAATAGAGTATAAGGTTCTACTTTAATTTCTGCAGCGAGGGGATTGGCGCGCTTACTACAATGTGTGCTATGAGGGAATTGTTTCCCCGACAGCTGCGCTACAGCCAACGCTTACTTTCTCACCGAACCACCGCGACTCCCGGGTATCTAGTAACTTGGGACTAAAAAGGATTCGTTCGTAGGATATGAGCGAACTGAGCTAATGAAGACGGGCAATGTGTACACGGAGCTCGGTCGGATGGGACGAAAAACGGAGGTCTCGTGTACACATTGGCGTGCACGTAAAAAAAAATCCCTTGACAGTTGGAAATCGATATAAGAGTAGGCCGTAGTGTCGGTGTCCGGGCAAAATTTACCTCCAAGCATACTGTATGGCGTATGCCCGGCATCATTAGCCCAGTTCGGAGCAGAACAGTAGGACGTTAAACTCCATTTCATTTCGTCCATATCAGTTTATTAGCGTTTAAACCTAAACAGAATATCGTTTATATAAACTATCGTTTAAAGAAGATTCGTTCAAACCAGTTTATAAAGGCTAGTCTTCAAAGACGATTCGTACATATCAGTTTATATAGCCTGACTTTTGAAGATGATTGATCACAAAGATAAAAACAGACTTACCGTGAACGGTAAAACCATGCGGTATACTTTCTACACACTCATACTGAATTATCTACAAATAAATGAGACATATTTATTTAAAGGACAATATTGGTGTCAGTCATTATCACAGGTTATTGAACAGGTTAAACACGTTCCAAATATAATTTTAAAACCACAGAGATCATTGCTACGATGGACGCGTTATGAAGCTTTCAAGAAAGGGAAGTGTCGAAAACAAAAGGAAAACAAAAGGAAAACACGAGTTATCCTTCTATATAACTGACTGGAGTGACCAGTGATAACAGATATATGGGCGAATTTCTGCTCACTAATAATTTCTTCGAAGACCAAACGGAATGTAGTTCTGTATATGATATAGTGGGTCAGAGGTGGTAACTGTAAGAATCTGTAATAATATAGATTTAAGATTAGAGAAAATAAGCCATTTTGTTATACTAAAGCGATGGAGACAATAGGTTATTATCCAGACTTTTATTATGACTCGCACGGGGGTGTGGGTCGGGATGGGGGGGGGGGGGGTTAAGTAATAGGTGGAACACGTAACCCATGCCAGAACACCTAACCCTGAATTAAAACCGTTATTACCGGCAAAAATCTGTCAAGGGGTCTTTAAAAAGCTATCAGTGGTTTACATAGGACCTGGGTTTTTCTAGTATCTCGACTTTCCTTGCCAGTGCCACAACACTGACAAGGCGAGTTCGGGGTGGTGGAAATTTATGAGGAACTTTCTCGGCCAACACCGGGATCGAACATGGACTCCTCTGGTTAGTGAATTGAAATGGGATTAAACGTACTACTTTCTTACACCAAACGGGGGAATGAATTGTGGCATACGCCATGCAGTGTGTTATAAGGGAAATTTTGGCAGGGGATGACCGAAGACGGCATAGTTATCCGAAGATATTTACCAATAGTACAGCTACAAGACTAATCATTGGCATGTAAACAACTCCCATTTTCTCAGCTGGGCTAGAAACAAAAAATAAAACATAACAATAAATACACATTTTATCCAGGCACATACAAGGTACTGTTTACTTGAGCGCAAATTGCAAATACGAGCTGAAAGGCGTCAGTCGGTAAATTCCACATGCATTGCCTAGATTATTCAATGTGCCATCATTGAACAACAACTCACTGACAACGGCTGTCCAATAAACATGTTTACCCAAAATAACATTTACCGAAACCTCCCGGATTAAAACTTGACAAGCATGTTTGGATAGGTTGAACTATAATTTGACGTCTCAAATTTTACTAGAAACAAAATATAGTTTTATATAAATGTTGCTGTGTTTTCGACACTATATCTGTCCGGAGCATCAAATCAAGTGGAAATGTCTTAGGACAAGGTAGATAACTACAATAACAAATTAATTAACATTGAAAACAAATATATAAATTTCGTGTGGATTCCTGTTTAGAATTTGAATTTGCCGGAGTTCAACCAGTTCATTTCCTGTTTAAATGGTTTGCAGTTGCTTGTCGGTGATGAATAGCAAGGTGCTATGACGGACGTTTTGCCTCGACAACGGCGCTACGGTTTACACTTTTTTCGAATTCCAACTGTCAATTGTTCTTTTACTTGCACGCCAATGTGTACACTGAACCTCGGTTTTTCGTACTATCCGAACGACTATACGTTCTCTCTTGCCAGGTCCTCGCCGGAAAATCCCGATGAACTTTCTCGGCCAACGCAGGCATCTAACACGTGACCTCCAGGTTAACGAGCCAACGTCCTTCTCACCGAGCCACCGTGGTTGCCCTGGCTTACTTGAAACTGTAAGGAACGGTGGGCAAAGAGCGATGGTCAATTATTTAAGACATAGTGTGCTAGCCAAAAAAAACTTACTTCGTTCCAGAAACGAAACAAAGGCAATAGCGATAATTTTTATCCAATTCAAAATTCTGCATGGGAATTTCAGGACTCGCCGAACAATTACGTTTCGCATAAAAATTCGCGTTACTATGATTATTTCACTAAATTAAGTTATAAAAATTGGAAAATATCGTATTAGGAGGCAGACCACCATTAAATTTCACCATAGCGGTACAGACAAATTGTAGTTCGTCTATTTACAGCAATTATTTCTCTGTCTCATTTCTCCCAATTTGCATGCCGGTTTTTGTTGATTTTTTGGTCTAGAATGGATGAAGAGGGTTTGAATTAACATTTTCTGTCAGGTCAGGGGGAGGGGGGCAGAGCCTTTTCATTCGGATGGAATGAAGAGTCAATTACACATTGGTGTGCACGTAAAACGAGTAGGCGGAAAAGCCACTGTGTTAGCACATTGTTGCCGTATGCCCACATTAATTAGCCAGGTTGGCGTTATACAGCATTTCATTTCAATTCATTATAGCTGAATCAACATGTTGAAGAAATTGTCTGCCGCTTTATATAGCGTCTGAAAACTACTTTCTTTGATAATAATTCCCAGTTCCCGGTTTATTGCTGGGGTATACGCCTACTGATGAATATTGACTTTTGTTTATTGTTCCGGAAAAATGTCAGTCTCTTACCTTGTTCAAGTTAACACACAAACAGCTAATTCTTTTCGTACAACTTCGGTGAAGAAACACGTGATAAATGCACGTGCATTGTTAAACCCAGTTATCCACCCCTGCTAGTCTGCAAACCATTGATTACAAATCGCAATTTGAATTGTCCTTTACAGTACAACGATTCTTATTTATCAAAAAATGTATATTCTGTCCGCATTTACCATCATACAATTTCTGTTTCGATGCCAGAAACTGTCTACCAGTTTTCATTTAGCAGTATACCTAACCTAGACTTTAAATGGGGGAGTCCGGTGGGGTGGGGCGAATGGTTTGATCCGTGCGCTCTTGATCAGAGCCTATACGTCTATCATTGAGCCAAGTGGCCAGGTTCTGATTCCGCGCTTATACGCGACAAGGAATATGCCCAACCCCGTGACTTTCTCCTGATCACCCGACTGTTTAAGAGATCTCTCTCTCTCTCTCTCTCTCTCTGCCCAGCGAGGGTACCATAGCCATTGAGAATGTTACTTGAAAATCGAGAATATTGTTTGTCAATCAACCGATCGGTAATTCTCGTAGACGGCGCGGACATAGTTGATACCTGTTTCTAGACCAAACTTCCAACAGTTACAACTCCGTTCAGAATAAAGAAATTTGACTGAAATTTTCAATATTTTCTTTTTTATCATCAATTTTTGAATTATTATAGCAAGAATGGCCAACTCTTTATTGAACTGTTAACTAATGTATCTTTAAAAACTCACAAACGAAAATGTGTTCCTTCTCTTGGATCTGATGTCACAGGCGCTCGAATAGTGGCTGCAATCTGCCCCCCCCCCCACCCAACCAGATTATTGACTCAAGCAGTATTCTACTTCACAGCAATATGATTAAATTAGAAAAAAGGATAATTTCCAGAAGTAATTGTGTTTATCTTGGTGATTTGGGTGTAAATAAAAGATAATGTATATATATCTATATCTAAAATAAATTTTATCTTTATATTAAAATAAATTTGATCTTTATATTAAAATAAATTTGATCTTTATATTAAAATAAATTTTATCTTTAAATGAAATTACAATTAATTAAGTTAAACAAAAATACATTTTACAAATCTGATATTACGGAAGCGTATAGGGGTCATGCAAAATTTTGTAGAAGACCTCAAGATCCTGCGATGCTGTGATACTTTCTCGAGATCTCAATTTAATGTTCTCGAAATCTTCTCGAGAATCTCCCATCCTGTGTTAACGATCTCGAGAATTCGATTTAATGTTCTCGGGATCTTGCCATCCTGTGTAAATTTACTCGAGATCTCAGGTATTTTTAAGTGTGCGCGTAGTTTTAACGTATTCTCAGCCCCCACAAGCTGTCGTTTCGGAGTTTACCCCCCCCCCCTCCCCACACACACACTTTCCCGAAAACCTTAATAGCACGATAGAGCCTACAGTTTTTAACGGATTTGTTTCAAATTTAGCGTAAAGCATTGGGGCCATGAGAGGACGGTCCATGTCGCTTCTAGCGCACCTTGTCGTTCTGGAGTTATCTCCCTTTTCCGAAAAACTTGTTAACGCAATAGAGGCTACAGGACCTTTCGATTTTCGGTACTCCGCAAACTTCTGTACTCCGCAAACCCTCTTTGTCCGTATTTTTTTTCAAATATGTGACTATGAGAGGACGAACCCTATCGATATTCAGCATTTTGTGACCTTCTGTTCCTTAATATACCCCCACCTCCGCCCGCTCCCTGAAAGCCTTGTTCACGTCATAGAGGCTTCACTTTTACAATTTTGTGTGAAGTTTTGAGGTCATGAACTTTATTGATATTCAATGGTTAGCGAATTCCGTTCCGGAGTTATTCTCTCCATTCTTTGAAAATCTTGTTTTTAACGGATTTTCGGTATTCAGTGTTCCGCGACAAGGATGTCCCCTGTTATTTTTCAGAGATTAGTTTTCCTTTCGAATAATCTGCTGTTGGGGCATAGATGATGCGTGGGCGTATCTCCACATTTTGGTTGACTATTGTTCAAATTTCTTTTGAATCATTAGTGTCATAAGCAGAGGAACCCTATTTATTTTAGGCGGAACAATGAACCTTATTGATTTGCGGCGCTCCCTGACGTTTTGTTATGGGGTTATTCCTATTTTCCAGTAAACCTTGTGAACAAGACAATAAACTCTGTGTCTAGCTTTATTCTAAAACAAAATATGGTCCGAAAACCATGCAAAAAATGACATTTTCAATTAAACGTCACCCACACATTAAATTGAAATAATTTAACAAGCATGTCTGTAATTCAAAGCTTCACACATTAAAGCTAACGTGGTAGGGTTTTGAATTTCATATTCGGTGTGAAGTATTGGGGCCATAAGACGATAAACCCTATCGATTTTAATCATATTTCAAATTTAGTGTAAATCATGGGTACTCTATCGATTGTCTTTTTTTTCTTTCATAAGTTAGCAGTTTTCCTTTGTAACAAATGTTAAGAGTACTTTTTTTTATCAAATTTGGTACGAAGTACACTATCATATAAGGTTTCATATAAACTCGGGATCTCGAGAAAATTTACATAGGATGTCAATATCTCGAGAACATTAACTCGAATTCTCGAGAAAATTTACACAGGATGTCAGTATCTCAGGAAAATTATCAGGGGATTTCGAGAACATTAAATTGAAATCTCGAGAAAATTACCAGGTGATCACGGGATTTCGAAAAAGTATCACAAGATCGCAGGATCTCGAGACCTTCTACAAAATTTTGCATGGCTCCTATACGCTTTCGTATATGACAAATCTCTGATTTGTAAAACAAATATTGATTTTAAGATACAAATGTTAATTTTAGTGTATAAATGTCGGAATACGACAACAGATGAAGAAATAAGAATTAAGGACTAAGGACTATAAATAAAGAACTAAGAATATTGAATAAAGAGCTGTTTGGTCTTCCATAGTTTTTTGGTGTAAGTTTTTTTCCCAGGTTTAGTCCAATACATAGATCCGGGAACTGTACACAGGGGCCTAACTCTTCGAGTAATTCGCCACATTGACGGAATGTACGAGTTTCCTACTTGAAAACAGTATTTAAATTACGTTGGAAAGTTATTTATTTTGACACTGGAGTTTGTAAACAGAGAATAATATATTATGACTTGTAACATATTTCTAGCGCCATTTTATTGTCGAGATCTCGTAAGTGCCGTAAACACGACATGGTTCGAACAAAGCGTTATTCAGAGATCCCGTGTGGGTCTTACCAACAACAGAGGAGACAAAGGGAAGTAACTAACAATACAATATTATGATATGTAATAGACATTGATGACGTAGGTGTACACGTACTATCTGGAACCACTGCTTTGCCATGCTTGATTAATGTTGTAATATAATCCAACCAGAAGATGACACGTTGGGCATTAGGATAACTCTTATTTTCCGGGTTTCCGGTTATTGGGAAGTACAGGTAGTCCTGTTCATTAAAGTTGTATTCCCTCCAAGGTGTTGGCACCAATCTTGGTTTATTCGGGTCTCTGTAAAATATATATAAAGTATATTACACGGAAATTTCCAAAAAGACACGCATGATGCATGATTTTAGGCACAATACACGTTTGTAAAAGTAGATATTAACCTGGAAAGGCCGGTGCAATTATCAATCTGTTCGAGACGCCAAATTTTTTTAGATTTTTATACAAATATTTTTCGTTTAATTAATAGTTTTAGAGGAAAATTAAAACTGCGACGTGTTATCCATGATGCAATTTTCGATATTTACAGAGCTCTCTTGGTTCAAGTTCCTGCAGTTATGAAAGCACACACATACTTACCCTGTTTTTGCAAAGTTTGTCCAATAATCCATGACTAGTTTAGCAAATGGCCAACCGGCTTCAGCTCTTTCAGTAGTGTAGCCAAATAGTGAAGACGGAAACCCGAAAATAAAAGGCAACGCCCCACCGTGCGTCGCTCCTTGCAACCACGTATCTTCTGGCAACAGGAATGGGTATTGGTGGTTAAATTCATACTGGTACGTTTTAGTTCTGTTATTCATGTAGGCGTGATTCCTGGCATCGACTACTGTTGGAATAAACACCTGAACATCCGTAAGGAAATCACAGATCTGTTTTAGCTTATAGTCCCGATTATTCGGATTTTCCGATGCGCTGTAAGCAAACATTACAGCATCTACAACCTGGTCCATAGATTCTAGGGATTTGGGGAAAACTTCCCAGGATCGGGAGAAAACTTCCGGTAGGGTAATCTTAACAAGGTTCTTAAAAAGTTCTCTTAATTCTGTGATTGGCGCCTTTGTCATAGTGCTCAAGATTGACGGAAATGCTGTATGTAGAAAGAAATGACCTTCATATCCATTGGTTCCAAGCATCAGATCAAATTCCTGGTAGTTAGGTGTAGAAACTGACGGCCACTTTATTGACGCAATAACGTCTTCTCTGATGAAATCGTTATCTGGGGTTGGCGCCCAAACGGAATTGACCTCCGTTGTGGCAATTTCCGTTGCATTATCAATAGATCGTAAACACTTTAATATTTCGTCACTTTCCGTCTCCTTTGTTACAGAGCAGTTGAATTTAATAGCTAAATTCTTTGCATATTCCAGACCAGAATCTTTGGGTACACTCGCCCAGTTGGCTGTTGCTGAACCACTTATTGCTATGGCTCTTTGAAACAATCCATTATTACCTGCAAATAATGTTTGATACATTACGCTAGCGCTTCCTGATGATTCTCCAAATATGGTAATACGCGATGTATCTCCGCCGAAACTAGCAATATTATTCTTCACCCATTGGATAGCCAGATGTTGATCCCACAGACCATAATTTCCTGGGGCCTGGTCATCTCCCGTTGATAAAAATCCAAAAGGTCCAACTCTATAGTTGATTGTGACAACAATAACTTGGCCATAAGCTGCTAATATGTCTCCGCTATAAGAGGATGATTGTCCCACAACAAACCCTCCGCCGTGTATAAAGATCATCACAGGATATGTTTGTGAACTTCCGGTTTGAGGTATTTCTGATACCCCAATTTTAGGAGTATGGATGTTTAAACCCAGGCAATCTTCACTTGTCTCTCCAGTTTTCTTAAAATCGTAAACACCACCGCCTGGAAAATATTGGGGACATGGCAATCCATATCGCAAGGCCTCGAATGGTTTTGTAAAGTGAGCAACCGCCACAGGCTTTTTGAAACGCAAGTTTCCTACAGGAGGTTCTGCAAAGGGAATTCCTAAAAACTCGCCAACCTCTTTAATCGAATCGTCTATTGTAACATTCTTAATTCTACCTTTAATGACCCCAACTTGGGTTGTTACAGTATAATCCACTGCCTTGGTAAAACAGATTAAACTAAATGTAAGAAAACTGATAATTATAGACAATAGCATCTTTAGTCCAGTGTGGCACCGTATCCTGATATACCTGTAAGCATAAACGTGGTTCTATTCAAAGCAGTTAGAGGATTATTGAAATGCTCTCTCTCTCTCTCTCTCTCTCTTACTCTGTTGTTTCGTATTTACCAATTACTTGTGTCTTTCAAAATCCAATTCTAATCTGTCGTTCGATCCAATTAACTGTATAAAGTAGGAACGGATATTATGCTTTCTGTTAACATACACCAACCCTACTTCTTATCTAACTAAACACGACTTGCAAATTTTGTCCTATTTTATGTATTGTGTGGGGCACAATCATTCAGAGGGATGTTCTTTTGTGTACATACGACCTATATTAGAAATCTGAGATATAAATGTTTACATTTTATCTATAATGTTTTTATCCATGATTTTATAAGAATATACACTGTTACTATACAAGATATTATACAAGCTATTCTGTGTAAAGGAAAACGTCTCGCTTACTCAATATCTCGATCATTTTGGTAATTTTTATACGGCCACATTGAAATGTGGTCGTATATTGTCGTCGCTCCGGCGTCCACAATTGCTTGTGGGAGCTCTAGAGTCTAGCGATTTTCGATAATTACTGCCAGAGTAATGGTCCTTGATCGTTCAAAAAATCTTTTATATTTTGGCAGTTGTTGTTGTCAGGGTCAGAATCAGATGATAAACTATAATTATATCGCCGATATCTAGACTCAGAGTGAAGTCATTTTACTGAAAATTTCAGCATATTCTCTTTTTATTATCTATTTTTTAACTATTACAGCGAGAACTGTTAGCTCTTTATCTAACCTTACTTAATTCCGCTTTATGTAATTTAATGTGAGTAAATTTTTATCGTTAAAAATTAGATATTGTTCGATAGGCTGCTTTAACATGTCATATTTCAATTTACTTAAATGCCTTTAAACACGCACCTGTTCTCGATATACAACGTCTTTCTCCCGACTCTGAGTCTATTTATAGATACGTAACATGATAGTATATAGTGATCTATATACACCAGCTTGCCAGACAACCATGCATTCTTTGTAACTCACTGGAATGGAAGGGTATAAGCCTGAAAGTCTCGTCGACACATTTCATGGGTCACCTGGAGTTTAAGGTTATTTTGGGCCTAACATTTGGTCATTTGGGGACTGGCATTTGTTTTTTGGGAATTTACCATTAGAGGCTAACATCGGTCATTTGGGGACTGACATTTGTTTTCTTGGTTATTTGGGTACTAACATTAGTAGACAAATATTCGGATATTTCAATTTACTGTGTTTACCTGAGCAACGCGGGGATGGAATAGAATTCCTCCCGGACAGCGATGTTTGGCCTATTCTTCTATGCTTTCCAACTATCAAGAGGCCTATTTCGTTTCAACAAAGGGTACACGACTACACAATTAATGGCCTTGCGTCTTATTCGAACGACTATATACAGTACACGATTTTTGTTGCCTTTTGGACATTAACCTGAGAATACTCTCCCCCACCCATTTAGATTGGTCCCATTTAGTTGAGCAGGACAATTGCCGACGGGACAACTGCAATAATTGTCCAACCGGCAGTTGTCCGCCGGCAGTTGTCCCCCCCCCCCCCTCAGGACGGATCCAGGGCCTGACAAGGACAGCTGTCTAGTCCTTCGGATGAGACGAAAAACCGAGGTTCTGTGTATACATTGGAATGCACGTAAAAGATCTCTTGACAGTTGGAATTCGATATAATAGTAGGCGATAGTGCCGCTGCCCGGGCAAAATTTCACTCATAGCACACTGTATGGCGTATGCCCGTCTTCATTAGCCCAATATAGGAGCAGAACAGTAGGACGTTAAACCCCATTTCATTTCATTCCCCCCCCCCCCCATTTAGGTATAAATAGCGATATTAGTGTCGGGCACACGACAGGGTTACTTTCTCTCTAGAACACATAATACCACATCATATTATAGTTCTGGTGTAGCATTGTATTTGAATAAGATATTACATAAAATTAATAACATTTTTGTTCTTGTTAAAACTAGTATCCGGTGTTGCAGACAGATAAAGTATACCATATGCCCATGAGTTGTATATAGCTGATATATAGTACCTGTGGTGTGAGGCAACTATACATGTGACGTGTAGCCAACCTATCATACTAACATTTATCATTTGTGGTTTAGATAGGAGGTTGGTTTACATTTTGTCAGCTAAAGGGTCGTAATATTATTTATGGAAAGCCATTTACGGCAAAAGTTGATGAGCTAATATTGTCTATGAAGATTTAAACTTTGGCTCGATAACTCCGATAAAAGTATCTCTCAAGAAACTGACCTTTGTCGGAAGCTTCTTTCAGCCAATGTGTAAAAATATATTTGCCTGTTTATAGGACCAATTATACTGAGCACAAACGCGACCACGATCTCGAAAGCAACTACTGACCATTGCCCCATTCCGCGCGAATCATCGTTCGTATCGAAACTGATTGGCTAAGGAATTGCTCCGGTTTTCCGCACGAACAAAAATTCGCCGCCAGTATAAACGACTTCATTGAAATATTAGTTAACCAATCAAACGCGACCGCTGCGTTCGCGCGGATGGCCGTGTTCGCGGTCGCGTTCGGGCTCAGCATAAAGGGCCCTTAAGAGTTATACTTTCAAGATTGGTTTTATTAAATTTTATCTGTAGGTGAAGCACGAATAGATTATTATTAGTGATATATACCTGCGCCAGGCCGCGTTCTCTGAGAGGTATATCCTTAGACATTTTGTCAGATTGTGACGTTTTTAAAGTGTATCGAGGTATCCGCCTTAATCTGACTACATGGTTTTCGTTTAAGACCAGTTTTATCAAAACACTGTATCAAAAGAATACCATAATGGATTTTTGACGCTGATAGCTTCCCATACAAATTTCACATTCATCATTGTCTATTTAGTGTTTCATGCCATAATGTTATACGATACAACTGACTGTAAGTTCATCTTCCTTGTTTCAGCTTAATCATCTATCTATATTCAACGAGTACTGATAGATATTCAAGTACAGTGACTCAAACGGACTTAAATGTAGGAAGAGTGGTGGGAAACTCCGGCAATCTTAAAGGTTTGTACATCTGCCATCCATAGCATGCCATCGCCCGTCTTGCGTCTATATTAACGAGAGTTGAGTGAATGGTTTGAATATAGGACGCTTGGTGGGTGGGAAGCCTGAATGATCTAAAGCGCTGTTCTGGTGGATATAACAGGCACCACGGACTCGACTTACTGTGTCTAATAGCCCGTTCAGACGCTTATTTTTAAACCAGTTCATAATCGCTGGGGTTTTTAAGACAGCATCGTGTTGCGTTCACACGTACTATAAGCCAAACCAGTTTAACTATTCTAACCTCTTCGGTCGGTGGTTAGAGTTAACTGCGCATTGGTAGCTTCATATTCTTAATTCGGTTCTCGCACGCTTTCGATAACATTGGCACTGTCTGACCCCAATATTTCCACAGGAATGTAACTAACTGCGTACTGCGCATGCTTATTTTAAGTCAACCCGTTCAGACGCCTAAGATGAACCAGTTTAAAATAAAAAGCCTTCTCGAAGACAGGTCGCGAGCAGGGGTTTTTAAACTGGTTTATTTGTGCCACATCTGCGTTCAGACGCTTAAGTTAAACTGGTTTAACGATCCCCGGGGTTTTTAAACCAGTTCAACTTAAGCGTCTGAACGGGCTATAAGTGTCAGTGCTTTATTTATAGTACGGTGGGTGGACGATTTTCTTACAATTAAGAGATAAACACCGACTGTTTATAATTTAGAAGACTGTTATTGCCCATTTCATACCGCTTATATCATTAGAGTCCGTGATTTAAAGTCATTCTTTTCTGCACATACCGGGCTAATGAAGACGGACACACGCCAAGCAGTGTGCAATGATGGACATATAGAGTAGATAGTGGTATTACCACCGCCTGAAGGGAAATTTGGATTAGACAGCTTACCGCCTACCCCTCGTCTTCCACAATGGTTATTTTATGCGCAATCCATTGTGTACACGGGTCCGGCTTCATTAGTCCAGTTGGTGCAGAAAACCCTATTTCAGTTCATTTGGCGCATAGGGGACCCCATTTTTGTCCCACCCGAACTACTAGATGATGTTATTTTCCAGCCCTCAGTTCAACACCACTGGCAAGAGGAAACCAGTCTGGAAAATGCGCAATGAATTGTATGTAAAATTCGAGAAACTATTGTTTTTACAAGGTTATTTTCAATATTGAGATTTATCATAAATCCGTTAAGCGATTTCACCAAAATATAGTTTAATTAAATTGTCAATTGTAAAATTCGAAACACAAGGATAGCTTCTATTTATGATTAATTTAGACTTTAATGTGACATTAATATTGTGGAAGGTTACGTGCACGTTTCGTGGATATGTCACTGATAACAGAAACTCAAATACAGTATCGAAGAAACAGATAAATAATGTGCTATAATGGATCTGGACATTGTGGCGATAAAGTAACTTGATTATCTAAGACCACCCACTCCCTTCACTAATCTCATATTGATAACAGTAAACAATGACATATTTGTTTTTAAAGACAATGACATCTAGCGTTTCCTGGCTCGTCAATGAAACGCAGTAAAATCTGAATGCCCTTTCCCCAATGCCGTTAATCTAATACTGTGTGGCCCAGTGCCCTTGTGGTATAGAATTCTCCATTGACATCAATCCAAAGATGGATCAAAGAATTGTACTATCCAGTGAGCCTAGTAACTGAGAACAACAGAACGGAGATTTATAGAAGATGTAGGGATCAATTTTACAGGATCAATTTTGATAATTAATACGTTTACAGAGATCGTTGATCCCATTAAAAGAGTGCGGCCCCTGGTCATGGCTCTGGTGGTAAAATACCACAAAATTAATAATAATCAATATATAACATCAGGTGCGCAAATTTTCCTTTGGGCGCTGGTCTAGCTACCATGCCCGTCTATTAATAACTATGCTGCTCACCCCCCCCCCCCCCCAATATTTTCAGATTTATATTTAGATAAAGAACTGACCGTTCTTGCTATAGATCGCTACGATATTAAATAAAGTCTCGATTATCCATTTTAACGTTAAATTATCCATTCAGTATCTTTGCCATCCGATGTTCTAGAAAGTTAATTTTGGGCTTGGCAGGTGAATAAATGTGTGTGAAATACCTTTATTTAACGTCCGCTTCCACCGAGGTGATATCGCAGACAAATGTGAATAATGCCTAAATAATAATTTACATAGTATTTGAAGCCATTACGTTTTTTCGTTGTGTCAGACTCAACTGAGAACAACAGAACGGAGATTTATAGAAGATGTAGGGATCAATTTTAAAGGATCAATTTTGATAATTAATACGTTTACAGAGATCGTTGATCCCATTAAAAGAGTGCGGCCCCTGATCATATAACATCAGGTGCGCAAATTTTCCTTTGGGCGCTGGTCTAGCTACCATGCCCGTCTATTAATAACTATGCTGCTCACCCCCCCCCCCCAATATTTTCAGATTTATATTTAGATAAAGAACTGACCGTTCTTGCTATAGATCGCTACGATATTAAATAAAGTCTCGATTATCCATTTTAACGTTAAATTATCCATTCAGTATCTTTGCCATCCGATGGTCTAGAAAGTTAATTTTGGGCCTGGCAGGTGAATAAATGTGTGTGAAATACCTTTATTTAACGTCCGCTTCCACCGAGGTGATATCGCAGACAAATGTGAATAATGCCTAAATAATAATTTACATAGTATTTGAAGCCAGCAATAATAACTGTAATAGGCCAATTAAGCTCTTGCATAATGCATCGTTAATATGCAATTTCACATTATATCGCAAAATAAGCCGAAATTATGAAAAACCGTGTGGGAGCGCCAAAATGCCTCTAGGTAATCGCTTACAACCTAATATCGAATTAAGCCACCCTTTGTCGAGTCATATATTTGATTTAGGGATGTAGTCACTGTTAAGATATACACTCGAGTAGATACATGTAACCCATTGCTACCACGGGGACAACCTACTGGTCTATAACTGTTATCTTGTTCTTTACTTCAGAAAAAAGATTCGGGTGCTGTGCCGAGGAGGGAATTAATCAAAAATGGATGTTTTAAAATTCTGTTGGTTCTTGATTTTGTTTCTAGAGCCTGTTTATTATACGGAAGCTGTAGAAAGAACAGTGACTACTAAAGTAGGATCTATTAAAGGCAAAATTGTTACAGTCCAGTTACCTGATGGAACAAGTAAAGAAATAGCAGAGTTTTTAGGAATTCCATACGGTGCTCCTCCCGTCGGTGATCTTCGTTTTGAAAAATCTGTTCCTGCTGCTAAATTTAATCAACCATATGATGCGTTAAACTATGGATTACCATGTCCCCAGCATTACAAGATTGACAATATCTTTACTATAGCACCGCCGCCATTGACGAGTGAGGATTGTTTAAAATTAGATATCTATTCTCCACAGACGAGTGGATCTAACATATATCCCGTCATGCTTTTTTTTTATGGTGGAAGTTTTACTCAAGGACAATCATCGATGTACAATGGACAGAATCTGGCAGCGTATGGGGAGGTTGTCATGGTAACAATCAACTACCGTGTTGGGCCTTTTGGATTTTTATCAACGGGAGATGACGAGGCTCCGGGAAATTATGGCTTGTGGGATCAACACCTTGCTATCAAATGGGTGAAGAATAATATTCATAGTTTCGGTGGAGATGACTCGCGTATTACCATATTTGGTCAGTCTGCTGGGGGAGTAAGTGTTGCGTTTCAGACACTTTATTCGGGAAATAAAGGCATGTTCCAAAGAGCTATCACAGAAAGCGGACCTGCGAATGCTAAATGGGCTACCAAAGACGAAGCAACCGCTTTCTTTGATGCTAAAAAATTAGCACTGAAATTTAACTGTACACTTCCCCAGAAACAAGCTAGCAGTGAAATTGTAAGATGTCTGAAATCTGTTAAAAATTTCTCTTTGCTGGCCATGTATGCATCTGATGACAATGGTTTTAGTTGGGGTCCGATGATTGAAAACGATTTCATTAAAAATCAAGAAATCATAACCGTAGGTCAAAAGCCACCATCTTCCAAGGCTTTCTTTCAGAATTTTGACATGATCATAGGTACGAATGGCTATGAAGGTCATTTTGTTATGAGTGTGATGTATCAATCAGTTTTAGCTCATCTTAAAACGGTGCCAATCGGCATGTTGAGGACAGCTATGAGAGGAATATTAGAGACCTCAATCAAGTCTCAATCACCTAACACAAAATCCTTGCAAGCAATGGTAGACGCCGCTATGTTTGTGTACAGCAACGCTGAAAATCCGAATGACATAAATTTTAATTTGAAACAAATCAACGATTTTGTCACTGACAATGTCTTTTTCATGGCGGCAGTGCAAGATGTGGTCAGTCATGCGTACATGAACAATAGAACCAAAACATACCAATATGAATTCAATCATGCGTATCCAGCACTTCCTCCTGGAAATGAATGGCTGAAAGGAGCGACACATGGTGGTGAACTACCCTTCGTTTTTGGATTCCCTTCTACCTTGCCAGGATATGAACCTCAAATAGCCAAAATGGCGTGGCCCTTTTCTAAGATAGTTATGGATTATTGGACAAACTTTGCTAAAACAGGGTACGTAAAATTTCTTGATTGTAGTAAATGTATAATCAGCGTTAAATGTGATGTATGCTTTTTAAGATTAGACATTGTGTCAAAACATATTCATTTTAAAATGACTTGTGAATTAAGTCGTTTGCCAGTCACTTACATCGGCCTTGCTGCAGCAAATATCTTTAGCAAGTAGACTTTTCCTGTTATAAAGTGTCAGTATATTTATATATATTCAACAACTGGTATGATTAAAGGCTGACTTAATATCCTGGCTTGCATAGATTTATTTCAGCTTTAATCATTAAGTTAGTCCAATATATATTTGGTCTAACTTAATGATTAAAGCTTGGTCTAACTTAATGATTAAAGCTGAAATAAATCTAGGCAAACCAGAATAGTCAATATACATATTCAACAACTAGTATGATTAAAGGCTGACTTAATATTCTGGCTTGCATAGATTTATTTCAGCTTTAATCATTAAGTTAGTCCAATATATATTTGGTCTAACTTAATGATTAAAGCTTGGTCTAACTTAATGATTAAAGCTGAAATAAATCTAGGCAAGCCAGAATATTAAGTCAGCCTTTAATCATACTAGTTGTTGAATATGTATATTGACATAGGCAAAGGGGCCCGATCTCAGTCACCCGAATTTTCAGAATGAACCATTCATAAACTAAAACGTGTTTTTCGCAAATGTTATGGCGCTAGGTTTTAAGTATTAGAGTATTCAGATCGTAAACCCCGAGTGATTTCATTTTGCAATTATACAATTATATTTCTTTGATATATGGGCTAATTCTCTGGTCTTTGTGCCCGAAAATGGAAATATATTGCCGGAAAATGGACAAACCACCGATTTTATTATTTTTATTATTTATTTTTTTTTTGGGGGGGGGGGATTCTGGTGGTTTGTAAGCTTATATAAGTTTGATCTTAATAGGATGTATTTGATCTTCATACAAAGACTCGGTGTGGTTTGTTACTAATATATTGCTACTTCAGGCTTCACACTTATTGAACCCGGATGGTTTTATCGGAAATATCGTTCCTCTATTTCGTCAATAGGAGTTTGAGTTATCCCTGTCAGAATGGAAATGAAATGAAATGAAATGGGGTTTAACCTGGGCTAATGAAGACGGGCATACGCCATACAGTGTGCTATGAGGGAAATTTTGCCCGGGCAGCGGCACTATCGCCTACTCTTATATCGAATTCCAACTGCCAAGGGATCTTTTACGTGCATTCCTATGTATACACGGGACCTCGGTTTTTCGTCTCATCCAAAGGACTAGACAGCTGTCCTTGTCAGGCCCTCCGTCCTGCATCACTGACAAGGGGGAACCACGCCGGAAAATCGGGATGAACTTTCTCGGCGAATGCAGGGATCGAACACCCGACCTCCAGGCTAGCGAGCCAGCGCCTTACCAACTTAGCCACGTGGTCCCCTGTCAGAATGGGCAAATCGAAGTAAAATTTTAATCAAGAATTTTATATCCCCGCTGTTTACACTGCACCTAACTTTCGGTCACACACTGCACCTACGGTGTAACAAATAAGGCCTTTGACATGATATTCACAAGATCTAACGTTTTACGGGATTTTAATTTCTTTTAAAAATATGTTCAACTAGATTTAGTCTCGGGCCTTAGACGTCTCCTCTTCGAGTCTACCGAAACTTCAAGTACGATATCAGCACCCCTGTTAAACACGAGGGTTGATATCTTGAACACAGGGGGCGACACTATTATTGAAAATTAATGGCGACAGCATCGCGACTTAATTGAAGCTCACACTTGGCCACAGTGGCGGACTGGGTCTGAAAATATTGGTTGCCAAGAGACAAGGGGGCCCACCCACAAATACACTTCTACCATTTAATTTTTAAAATGAATAAATTAAATTTTCAAAAAATATGTTAGTGGACAATAGTAATTATCATAACCCTGTAATAGAATTGAAGATATACTTTTACAATATTTTCATGCTAATCATTTTTTTCTAATATTTATATATTTTTTGATAATTTATATTTCAATTATATTGTCTAGTGTCTAAGGGGGGCCCAATTCCTCAGGGGCCCACTTGCCATTGGGCAAGCTGACAACCTGGCCAATCCGCCACTGCTTGGTTACATACAAAAAGGCTTCCGAACGTCATTGGGTTGACCTACAGTATGCTATTATTGTGCTCGGTGTTATATTTCCAGGAATCCGAATAAACCAAGAGATGTTGCAACAGAATGGAAGGCATATAATTCTAAGGATGAAGATTATCTCTACTTTCCCATGACGGGAACCACAGAAGCTGGACGTTATTTACATGCTCGTAGAAAAAACTTCTGGTTAAATTATTTACCTCAGATTGTTAGCCGTGGAATAGAATCGGGTACAAAGCATGTAACTTGTGAACCTACTTCATCTAGTAATATGATTATGTTTTCTAGTTTACTTTATTCAGTATTAGCCATTCTATCTCTACTAATTTGGTAACATTATTGCAATATACATAACATATTCAAGAACGTATACTGCAAAACAGTTTGCATACTTAAAAAAGAAAACGAAAATGTAACGAAAACGATGTTATCTTAGGGTGGAGTTGGAATGGACGCAAAGTTTACCCCTGAGTTATTGAACATTGTCATATACAGTGTTTATATTAGCGACATGTATGGATCTGTTAGTTTTCAAAGATGTTTAATAAATTATAAGAATTTTTTCCCCTTTTTTAACATGGAAAAATCTTGTGAACGTTCTATAGTATAAATAAAAAATCTTTTAAATTGTATGAGCAATATTGACATTATTGAGCCTATTATTTATGGAGTTTTATTTACATTCAACAATGCTTGTATTTTTACTCTTAAAAACTTTACTGTAGAGTTCATAAAGTTCAGATAACGAAGATGATTTCAAATTTGACGAGAAATGAAATGAACAGGCATTAAATTTCCGATCGAATCAAGCTCCGAATGTGTCTAGATTCACTTCAACCATTCCCTTGGATCTTCTTTGAAAATTATGTGCACGTATAAATTTAAATCATTGTGGCTTTATATTGTGTATAATAGTTTATTTATATATAATGTGTTTGGTTTATATATATATATATATATATATATATATATATATATATATATATATATATATATATATAATAGGAGAAGAATTTATTTTTTATTTTTCATGCGAGCTTTTGCATTTTGACTCTTTTGGCACTTCAGAATAAATTTCAATAAAACAAACATTTTGATTTTAATTTTATGACTTCATGTCTTTAAGAATACAGAATAAGTTGCTGACGACAGAGCTCAGACAAGTGTCTTGGCGATAGAAATGAAATGAAATGGGATTCAATGCCCTACTTTTCTGCTCCATCCAGGATATTGAGGGGAATTTTGTTAGGGTAATTCCAACGTCATCGTTTACACGGGGCGTCGACTGTTGCGCCCCAGCCGAAGGACTAGACGTTTTTCTCTGAACCAAAGTGGCTTGACTATAGAATGTATAACATCACGTAAGCCATTTTCAGACTATCGTGTGGTAATTTGTATTATAGATTCGTGTGCAATATGTGGGAAATAATTCTGCCCAAACAGCGGCATTTCCGGCCACTAGACGAGTAGACGTCGATTTTACGACTCAAACAAAATACTTCCATTGTCAGTCCAATAGATAAGAAGCGGGTAAGAAACCCCACGAACCAGGTCGATTCTTGTGAAGTGAACAAATAGAGCTACGTGGAAATAAGGGAACACGTTCTATATCTAATGCCCCCTTCAGACCAGGGTGGCGTCCTTACTGCGCTGCTACGACCGTACGGCGACCAGAAAATGCACAAGGTCGCCGGCAAACGTGAACACAACGCGAGAAAATGTCTCAAAAAATTACAAAATTGAAAAAAGTCGCCTTCTCACAGCTTCCCAGGTCAGATCGAAGAACCTTGGCGTTTGTTTTGAACAAACGCCGTGACTCGGCGATCATTGACGACCACGGAGACGACATAACGATATCTGGCGTTTCCATTACGCTAATGAGGATCTTGACGCGCTCTGAGACCATTTTCCGTCGCCGTAACAGCGCAGTTAGGACGCCACCCCGGTGTGACGGGGGTATAAATGAGCAACCAGGTCTTCTCAAGAAAGTTGATATTGTGTAAATGTAGTTATATTGATGATGTCAACTGGACAGTTTGCAACTCGTAGCTGAAAATATTGTTCATGGAAGGTTGTGGTTGGATAAACCAGTAATCAAAGACAACACTGGTTTCGCCAATCAACAATTGAAATATAAAAAATCTTACGAGAACTTGTTCTGGGAAATTTAATTAGTTAAAGAATGATTTTTGGACGCGTAAATTTTCTAACACGTATCAGTCCTATCTATGGCAATAGGAAATGAAATGAAATGAAATGGCGTTTAACGTCCTACTGCTTTGCTCCGAACTGGACTAATGAAGACGGGCATACGCCATACAGTGTGCTATGAGGGAAATTTTGCCCGGACAGTGGCACTACGGCCTACTCTTATATCGAATTCCAACTGTCAAGGGATCTTTTACGTGCACGCCAATGTGTACACGGGACCTCGGTTTTTCGTCTTATCCGAATGACTAGACAGCTGTCCTTGTCAGGCCCTCCGTCCTGCATCACTGACAAGGGGAAACCACGCCGGAAAATCTGGATGAACTTTCTCGGCCAATGCAGGCATCGAACACCCGACCTCCAGGCTAGCGAGCCAGCGCGTTACCCACTTAGCCACCGTGACTAAAGATAGTCAGTGATCGAATCTTAGACAAACAGAAATGTTTCTATTTTACTAATATTTCTTTGTGACTTCGCTGATAAAATAAGGAGGTGAATATAAAATATTTAACATTCAGCTATTCAGATATTAGGTATGTTAGATTTTAAATTTGTTGATATACTCCATTAGCAGCAATATGTATAGGACATTGATGACTGCAATATAATGTAATATACATCAATACTGCAATATAGCTTCTTTCTGGTATCTGGATTTTCCAGCATGACTATTGTCAGTGGTACAGGACTGGAGGCTAGGGATGATAAAGCGTCTAGTCGTTTGATTGGACGACAAACCGAGGTCGCCGTATGCAATTAGTTACGACCCGACATACAATATACATAAATACTGCAATATATACGATACGACCCTAGCTGCAATATATACGGCTCTGTCCTGTCTGCGATATATATGACCCTGATTGAAATACATACGCACTGCAAGATATACGGCTCTCGCTACAATATATGATATAATGCAAGATATACGGTCCTAACTACAATATGTACTATACTTCAATATATACGGTCCTAACTACAATATTTAATATACTGCAACATATACGGTCCTAAACACAATACATAATATATTGAAATATAACTACAAAATGTAATAAACTGTAATATATACGGACCTAACTACAAAATGTAATATACTGTAATATATACGGTCCTAACTACAATATGTATATACTGCAACATATACGGTCCTAAACACAATACATAATATATTAAAATCTACACGGACCTAACTACAAAATGTAATATACTGTAATATATACGGTCCTAACTACAATATGTATATACTGCAACATATACGGTTCTAAACACAATACATAATATATTAAAATCTACACGGACCTAACTACAAAATGTAATATATTGTAATATATACGGTCCTAACTACAATATGTATATACTGCAACATATACGGTCCTAAACACAATACATAATATATTAAAATCTACACGGACCTAACTACAAAATGTAATATACTGTAATATATACGGTCCTAACTACAATATGTAATATTTAGAGATTATTCCAATTAAAAACAAAATATCAAATTCATCTTAGTGGGACACGCCTGTCCTCCTCCAGAAGTAAATTGTGTATAAGAGCCAAACCCGGGCACTCACATTAGCTAATGACACGCTAGTGTGATAGCCCGTAGACGTTATTAAATGACAATATTAGTGCCAGTCATTATCACATATGTAATAGAGCTGGTTAAACACATTCCAAATATAATTTTAACACAGAGATCATTGCTACTATAGCTGAGTAATACAGGTTTCCTGATCGGAAGTGACGAACGCCAAAGGAAAACAAGAGTCATCTCTTTATATAACCAACTGATGTGACGAGTGATAACGGATATACGGCCGAATTTCTGCTCACTAATAATTCCTTCGAAGACCAAAAGTTGATATATGGCACTGTAAGAGGATACCTGACAATTCAATAAAGTAATTGAATGTCATTAGATAAGAGAACACGAGAAAAATAGAAATAGTCCGTACATTTCCTTGTTTATATTCATTTCTATATCTTATAAAAACATGGTAATGCACAGACTTTTTCTGTTTTTCTTTCGTGTTCACTTATCTAGTGGCAGTCAATTCTTTTTGTGAATTGTCAGATATCCTCTCACAATCTCATACAACAACTTTTTTTCATCGAATAAATTATTAGTGAACAGAAATATCCGTTATCACTCGTCACATCAGTCAGTTATATAGAGAGATGTCTCATATTTTCCTTTGGCGTTCGTCACTTCCGTTTCTGGAAAACTGTATTACTCAGCTATCGTAGCAATGATCTCTGTGTTAAAATTATATTTGGAATGTATTTAACCAGCTCTATGGCATATGTGATAATGACTGGCACCAATATTGTCCTTTAAGAACCATACAGTATGAACTGGCCTGATTGTAGTGTAATCTTACTTGATTGATGACGATTCTCTGATCGTTGGTCAACAGCGTTGGCGGCCCACAAAGTTTCTTTAACTAAACTATTGATTCAGTTACTAATTTAGAGTAATTGAAATACGAAATCCGTCTTCGTATAATCATGGTCAGGAGAAGATCGTTACTAACTATGAACAAAGTGTGTCGTATCTATGTGCCGTGCGTTTGAGGTTTGTTCTCACGATTCACAGTGCCAACAGACAAAGATGAACGTCGTCATTTCCCTATACGGGAGTAAAATGTATTAGCACCACACGAAGCGTTATTGGTAAATTGCGGGGGGTGGGGGTCATAAGTGGGTAAGACGCTGGCTCGCTAGCCTGGAGGTCGGGTGTTCGATCCCTGCATTGGCCGAGAAAGTTCATCCAGATTTTCCGGCGTGATTTCCCCCTTTGTCAGTGATGCAGGACGGAGAGCCTGACAAGGACAGCTGTCTAGTCGTTCGGATGTGACGAAAAGCCGAAGTCCCGTGTACACATTGGCGTGCACGTAAAAGATCCCTTGACAGTTAGAATTCGATATAAGAGTAGGCCGTAGTGCCGCTGCCCGAGCAAACTTTCTCTCATAGAACACTGTACGGCGTATGCCCGTCTTCATTAGCCCAGTTCGGAGCAGAACAATAGAACGTTAAACCCCATTTCATTTCATTTCATTTTATCGGTAATTTGGAGCCAATTTGAGTCCAAGGTGGCCGCTGCATATTAATGAATATACTGGTGAATTCCAACCCTAACCCTTATTAGAGGGGTAAAAGGTAAATTGGACCCAAGCTCAGTCTTCTAAAAAGGGTAAGGGTTATGGTTGGTATTTCCCAAGTAGACTCATTAATATGCGGCGGCCATGTTGGACTCAAATTGGCTCCAATTTACCGCTGATCCCACACGAAACCCGGTATTCAAATTTATGCTCTTTTTTCGCAAATTGGCCACGACCATTACCCATATGAAAGCATTGTCCGTACTAGAATAGCATGTGTCACTCTTTCTCTCTTGATTTCGGGTCGTGCTTTTTTAAAAACTATTTTGAATACTTGGGCTCGAGCTCTGTGTATGTGACATAGTTTATTTTAAAGTCAGCTTCCAAACGGAAGTGATGTAAGAGTTCTCCTTCAAATAATATATATATATATATAGATATATTGACGTCACTGGAATACAGTTAGTAGTTCTGATTCAGGGGTACTGTGCCCTGTTGACACTGATACGTCAACTATAGGAATTTGAAGTCTTGCGCATGACTCGGAAGCCAATGTATGGATTTCAGGACAGGGGTAATGTGTGATTACTTGTTTGTTCTGGATAAGATC